CATGGTATTTGAAAAAATGCTGCTAAGACTGATGTCAAAGAGGGTACTGCCTATGTTTTCTTCTGGAACTTTCATGGTTTCAGATCTTACCTTCAAGTCTTTAATCCATTTTGAGTTGATTTTTGTGTATGCTGTAAGATAGTGGTCTACTTTCATTCTTGTGCATGTGGCTGTCCAGTTTTCCCAACACCATTTATTGAAGAGACTCTTCTTTCTCCATTGTATGTTCTTGGCTCCCTTGTCAAAAATTAGTTGTCCATATTACAATTTAAATTCTTTTAAATTTGTTGAGGTTTGTTTTATGGCCCAGGATAAGGTCTATCTTACTATATCTTCCATGTGTGCTTGAGAAGAATGTGTATTCTGCTCTTGGGTGAAGTGTTCTATAAACATTGATTAGATCCTACTGGTTGATGGTGTTGTTGAGTTCTTCTGTATCCTTGCTGGCTTTCTCTTTAGTTGTTCAGCTTGGGTCATTTTTATTGTTCTGTTTTCAAGTTTGTGGATTCCTTCCTCTGTTCCTTCCATTTTGTTGTTTAGCCCATCTATTGAGATTTTAATTTTGGTTATTTTAATTTTTAGTTCCAAAATTTCCAAATGGTTCCTCTTTCTATCTTCTTTTTCTTTGCCGAGACTATTCCTTTAGTGAGACTTTTTACTTTTTCACTTGTTTCAAGTGTGTTTATGATTGATCACTGAAGCCTTTTTATGATGACTGCTTTAACATCCTTGTCAGAGCATTCTAACATCTGCATCCTCTTGGTGTTGGCATTTGTTGATTGTCTTTTCTCATTCAAGTTGATATTTCCCCAGTTCTTGGTATGATGAGTGGTTTTCTGGGAAGTTTGGGTATTATGTTAAGAAACTGTAGATCTCATTTAAATCTTCTGTTTTAGTAGAACTCTTCTGACATCACCGTGGTGGGAGAAGAGGGACACCACCTGATTGCTGTTGGATGGGGTTGGAAGTCCAGGCTCTTACTCCACTTCTGTTGACACTTGGCAAGTTACTGGCTCCTTGTTACTGCTGGTTGTGGGGGGTGGGAGTTTAGGCTCCCTCCAGGCCTATGCTGATGCCACCCTGGCTGGGAGCATTGAGGGTGCCTCATTGCTCCCCATGTGGCCTTCGCTGACACCACTGGGCAATGGCTTTGCTACTGTGGGCTGTGGTGAAGGTCCTGCCTCTCCACTAGTCCTGTTCTGTCACCAGCCCAGTGGGAAGGGGAGAGTGCCACCTTATTACCACTGGGTAGGGTGGGAGTTCAAGCTCCCCACTTGGTCTCCACTGACTCCAGAGAGAGGGGCTCATTACTGCTTAGCCGGGGCGAATGTCCTGGCCCCTCCTGTGGCCTTTCTGTCACCACCCTAGCAGGGGGCCTGAGGAGCCTCTTTACAGCTTGGGAAGAGTAGAATTCTAGGCTCCCCAGCTGGCATGAGTGTGGATGGAGCCACGGTTTTCCTGTGAGATTTGCTGGAATCGAGCAACTGTTATCTAAGAGTTCTCTCTCTTGCCCGGCTGCTCTTTTCCTGGACCTTTGGCTCAAGAGACTTTACTTGGAGCTTTTTGAGGTCTGTGCTCATTGGCATTTCTAGTTGCTGGCTTCTCTAGCATCCAGTCTGAGATGTGAGAGGCGTGATGAAGTCCATGAGCTTAAGACTGTATTGCTCCTCTGGTCCTGAGGTTGCTCACGGGCTGTCTTCTTCTATCCACCTTTCAGTGTCTTCTTCTGTTGTTTTACGGATAGTATCTGGGTTTTTGTTAGCTGTGCTTCACAGGAAAAATAGGGAAATGTATGTCTTTCCCATCTTTCCGGAAGCAGAAGTCAAGTACCAGGAATTTTGATTATTGCTCACACAGCCCAGAATAAGGGGGGATGTGGTCTGGTCACTGGGTGTGTGGGAGATGGGGAGAAGCTGTCCAAGGCAGTGGCCTGGCAGCCAGCAACATGGCGACAGGCTGGGTTAGGGGAGAGATGGCTGGTGAGCGATTCTCTGTTGTGGGTGACAGCTGATGGATGTCAGAAACAGTGACATCTGATGTTTGTTTTGCAGTAATTTCCTCCTCTGCCTTCCAGTTACTCTCCCTTTCTCCCAAATCTTCGGTGAGTGCTTATTATACACCCTAGTGTTAGAGAAGGAAGGAGATGAAAGAGGTTATCTGAATTGGGGCCAAGGAGAGTGGGACAGGTGGCAGGGCCAGCGATGAAGAGCCTGCCCGAGCGATGGAGGCCTGAGCCAGGAGCAGGTTGGTGAAGACCAAAGCAGGGCATGGCCACCTGGAGTTCCCGTGGGAGCCTGCTTGTCCTCCCTGCTCAGTGGAGATGAGGTGAGAGCAAGGAGCTGAGTCATTATGAGAAAGGGTTTTCGTGGTGAGGAGGCGATGCCTTGGCGTGGTTCTCTCTAGGCTCCTCGCTCTGTTGCTTGGGCGGAGAGAAGCACCTCTCCTTCTGGGTGCTCTTCTCGCCGACTTGGAAGGAACCCCTTGCCTTTCTGGCCCACTGAGCGCTCTCACGCTCGCAGATGTCCGAGCAGCGCCCCTTCTCCAGGTGGAGTCTGAAGTGCGGTCAGCTCACGCTCTGCCCTTCCTCTCCCTCACAACGCCCTTCATTCCGGGGATATCTTGACTGCTTCACGGCCCCGGTGTCCAATTAGACGACCCACCCCCCCAAGACACACACACCCAGGCCAGGAGGCGTTGATTGATTCCACTCTGTTGTTTCCCGGGGGCCAGGCCAGCGAGAATGACTCAGCACACAGGCTGAGCCGTGCAAGCTCTATGCATGCATTTTAGGGGCTGGGAAGCTTGGTGAGTGGGGTTTGTGGTCAACCTCGAACCCCGTTCAACATTTCATAAAACTTGTCTGCTTTAGAACACCTGGAAATGGAGAGATGACAGGGGCTGCCCAAGGCGTCGCTTCTCATGTGATTGTGTCTATGGAGTGAAGAGATGCTGCTGGCCCTCTGAAGCACACGCAGTGTTACTTGGCCCATTTAATGGGGGCAGCAGAGGACCCGGTGGAGCGAGTTCTTCCTCTTGTGTCTCCTTTTCCAGTAAATGCCAACACATCTCAAATCATCTGAGCCTGAAATCTAAGTCCCATTATCAGTTATCTCCCTCACTCCCCATGGCTAGAGGGTCTCCGGGACCTGCTGGTGCTTCCTCCTGCACACCTGTGGGGTGACTCTGCATCCCTCCCCCCTGCAGCTGGAGAAGCAGCCTGGTGAGGGCAGGGGTGGAGACTGTGCCAGTGGGCTAGGCCAGAGCTGGGGTACCCCCCTCTGCCGCCCCCAGGAGGCAGGAGGAGTAAGGAGGGGTCAGGCCCAAAGAATGAGAATGAAGCCTTGCTGGTGGGATTCAGACGCTGGTGGGCTGTGAGGGGAGATATGTGGGATAGCACTCATCCTAGAGAGAAAGCAAAAGCATGTTAAGCTGCGGAGTTGGGAGAAGTGTCGAGGAGTTCGGTTGGGGATGTGTTGAACTTGAAATGTCTGTGAAAGGTCCAGGCAGCATGGACCTGAAGCTTAGCTGAGAAGTCTGGCCAGAGCTGGAGCCGGAGCTAGAGCTGGAGCTGGAGCCAGAGCCGGAGCTGGAGCTGAGATGCTGGAGCCACAGTCACCTCTGAGTCCCCAGGGAGGTCATGCAGAGCAGGGTTCCTCACTCGTTTCTAATCCCACATCCTGCCGGTGAAAATAACTGTCGCATTTTACTTTGTGTGGTTTGTATCACGAATATAAAGATGCGGATTGTAAGCGGCACTGGGTGCTTATCCTATACAGGTACTGTTGAAAGCCCTGTACCGGTGCTAACTCTTGTAACAGTCGTGGCAACTGTGTTAGGTCGCACAGTGCACTGCCCTGCCGTCACGCCCCTTCATCCTCCTCCTCCTGCACAGCGGGCTCCCCTCCCAGCCTTCCTCCACCCATCCCTCCCCCTGGGACATGTCCCTCCCTCTCCATTCGGGGGGCCACATGCTCAGCCGGGTCTTCCCTGCTCACCCACCACTCCTGCCCCTGCACTGTCACTCGCCCCTCACCTGCAGGCTTGTTCTCCTGCGTGCCCGTCATTCCCCGGTACGATGTCATTTACAAAAATGAGAAAATCAATAGTGACAATGGCCAGCATCCCCTGAGCCCGTCCTCGTCAATGTCTCATCATTCCCTCATGGCCACCCCAGCAAGTGGGCACAGGGCATTTTTCTCCTCTTGTGTCTGTTTCCTAGAGAAGGAGCCTAGGGCTCAGGGGGGATGAGGTGATTTGACAGGTCCTGTGGCGACAGGAGCGAAGGAAGGAAGCTGGCTTTGCTAAGAGAAAACACACTGATGCACAGGCTTTGTGGGGAAGCCCCAGCTGGCATTCCCTTTAGGCTGGCGGGCGACGTCTGAAGGCCTGGGGCAGAGGGGAAAGGAGGATAAGTATGAACGAAAATGCGTGTGTGCGCCTGTGTGTATTTGGCTCCCTCAGTAAAATCCTCATATTCCGTATTAATGGCTTTGCCTGTGTTGTTCTCCGCACTATCCTCATTGCCTAGAATAGTGTCTGCTGCTGTTGAGCGCTAAAAATACTGGTGGAAGGAAGGAGGGAGGGAGAAAAGGAAGCAAGGAGGGAAGAAAGGAGGGAAGCAAGGAAGGAGGGAAAGAGAGAAGGGACGGAGGCAGAGGGGATGGCTTTGACTTCAGTGGCCTGAGCTTGTTGCCCACAAAGCCACAGACCTTTGACCTTCACCTGCACAGATGAATTTCAAAGCCACTTCACCCAGTTCTGCCCCCCTGGAGCCTCGACAAGGTTCTTGTCCCCCACTGGCCACATGAGTGTCCTCAGAGGGAGCAGACACAAGTGGAGGGACTCCTTGTGACCAGCAGAAAAAACAGGGCGGGCACTGCTTCGCTGAGTGCCCGCAGGCGGGGGAGCGGGGCCCACAGCAGCTCTATAAGAGCTCCCTAGCCAGAGCCCTGGGGTGGGCAGTGGCTTGTACCCTTCCAGCCCTGGGAGGGCCTGGAAAAATGGCCCTGGCCCTGTGGGTCTGCAGTCTGCTGGGCTCCGCCTGCTTGGCGTCAGCCAACATCTTCGGTGAGTTCCAGGGGAGGCCACAGAGCAGGGGTCTGGAGGGAGCCCTCAGGCCGGAGCCCCCATATCAGCTAGGCTCTGCCCCAGGGCCTTGGAATGTCTGCGATCTCATTTAATCCCTCAAGGTCCCGGGGGTCGGTTATTGGCTGTTTCCTTTTCAGATGAAGAGACAGAGCTTCTGAGAGGGGGGCTGAATTGCCTGAATTCACGGAGCTGGTGGTTGGTGGAGAGGAGGGGGAAACCAGGTCTTCCTGATTCAGTCCTAGCTCCCCCTACCCCACCCTGTTAGCAAACTTTTGACGTTGACGTTGGGTTTTTTATTCCCTTAGCTATTTCAAGGCCTAGGTCATCCCTGGGAGGGAGCTGAGAAGCAGTCAGCAGGTAGTGAAACAGGCAAACCTACCTGTGGAGTGGAATAGACCTCGGGTCTAGCCACGGCTCAGCCATTTGCCTCGTGGCTTTGGGTAACTGAGCTTCCGCGTCCTCATTGGAAAAACTAGCAAATGACTCTTAACCTCACGACGTGGTTGTGATTTCTGAGCAAGCTCCTGAGTGTTACAGGCCTTCTCAATGGAAAATAGGACAGTGGGAGCTAGTAGTTAATTTGCATTCCTACGTTGTGCCAGGAATATGCTCTGTCTGCAGAGAGAGCTTGATAAACTCAGGAACACCTTTGTGGTGTTCTCACCCAACCCCACCACAGCTTGGGGGAATGTGCGGGCTGAGGGCTTATTTTGGACCCTTCTCTGGTGAGCTGTGTGACCTTGAGTCGGTTACTTTCCCCGCCAGAGTCCAGGGCCACATCCGTAAAACGGAGATAGCGCCTCCCAGGGGAGCGCTGAGGAGTCAGTGAGCTAACGCCATCCTGGGAAAAGCGCGCAGAGCTGCGAAGCGGCACGTTAGAACGTAGTTGTTGGTGATGATGCTAGAAAGAAATCCGGAAGCGCGTCTGTGCTTAGGGGAGCCCATCTTTGTCGGCGGAACCCGGTCCACGCTCCCCTCTGAGGAGCCGCTTCTCTTCTCCTAGAGTACCAGGTGGATGCCCAGCCTCTTCGGCCTTGCGAGCTGCAGAGGGAAAGGGCGTTCCTGACTCGAGCGGACTACGTTCCCCAGTGCGCGGAGGACGGCAGCTTCCAGTAAGGCCTGCTTCCGCGTGCCATCTCAGGGACCTCAGACGCCTTAAAGCCATCTCGTTCCCCCTCTGCCCCAGTGCTCTGCTCCGCCCTCGCTCCTCCACGTACGGGAGATGTGGCCGCTGTCACTGGGAGGGTGCCTGCCTCTCAGTCCCCCAGGCTCATCAACACTCAATAATCTGACCCCGAGCTCCCCAATCCACGCTTCCTCCCAGCCACATCCCTTCTTTTCCTACCAAAACTCTTCCCATAATCGCTTTAATCAAAGCTGCTAGGGACCGATGGTTTCGCTTGGGTGCCTCCCCCTCCTCCTCTATCCTCTTGAGAAGCCAGAGCCGGAGGGAAGCAGGAGCTGGCTGGACTTCAGGCCAGTGGCCGCCTCGGAGCCCTGCTGAGTCCAGCTCTGCGCGGCAGCGCTAATGTGTCCCCGGTGAGCTCCTCTCCGAAAGGGAGTTTTCAGCGGCCCTAACAGGAGCTTGGGTCCGAGACCCTCCCCTTGGAAAGCAGAGTGATAATCTAAACAGCTCCCCGTGCGGAGTGCGCAGGAATCTTCTGCATGTGCGTGCACTACAACTCGCTGGTGCAGTCATCTTGAACTAGGAGGTCCCCGTCTACACGACTGTGTTCTGAGAAACGTCCCTCCTTCCCTCTATTTCATATATGCTCTTAGTGTCCCGAGCACACTCTTATGTTCTCTCAAGAGTGCAAAGGGAGCCTCTAGTCCAGTCCCTGCGTGGATCCTGGGAATTCTGGGGCGGCAGAAGGAGTCAGGAGGACGGTCCCCCTCTCTTGTTCCAGTCCCTGCAGTTTCAAGCTGGCCCTGTTCCTCCGCAGGAGGCTTTGCGGATGCTGTTCTCTCTACCTGGAACACCTTTACCTTCTTATGCCCCTGGTGTAACACCTGATCATCTCCCTGGCCTCAGTTTACCCGTCACTTCCCCTGGGAAACCCCAGGAGTGTGCTTCCCTGTGTCACCCATACCGAGGCCCTGTCTCTGCCACCCTGACCTCCTGGGGGGTCCCCTGCCCCTGGGCCGTGTTAGGAGGGCTTGGCCTTTACCCTCGGCAGCCGCGAGGTGGCAGAAGCGTCGCCCGGTGGGGCGGGGGTTTGCCCCAGGGCTGCAGACTGGAGGTGGACAGTGAGTGGCAGGGGTAGGGGCTGCAGCAGGGTTAGTGCTCCTGCTTTCCCACGTCCCCTGGCCCTCTCCACGCCAGTCTCACCTTAGTTGGAGCGAATTAAAACTCGGAAGGATGGAGAGGAAGAGGGGAGGTGACCAGGGATGTGGCTTCGGGAGCCGATAACAGCATCCGCGTGCTGTGTCTTTCCCGCCCTCAGGACCGTCCAGTGCGGGGACGGCGGCCGCGCCTGCTGGTGTGTGGGTGCCGACGGCCTGGAGGTGCCCGGCAGCAGGCAGCCTGGGCGGCCGGCGGCGTGTAAGTGGGAAAGGGGTCCTGGGTGGGAAGGGGGCCGAGGGGAGGAGGGACCCGCCAGGACACCTCACATCCTGAAACAGCGTTGGGCTGGGGTGTGTGACAGGCCAGGCTCCCTCTGGGCTGCTGGTTCTTTCTCTTCGAATTAGGATGACAGTCACGGCAGTGAGGCCCTGTTTCCTCCGGGACTGCTGGGAAAGTCAAACAGGACAATCGAGTCATTTCCTGAGCAAAAAGCTACTGGGTCTGTCCCCCCCACCGTGCCGGGCATGGTGCCTGGTGCTAGGAGTCATGGGGAACAGCCATCGAAGGCTCCGCCACCAGAAGGCGGCCACGTCCACTCAGCGTTCTGTCCCCTGAGGGCTTTTAAATTTCAGACTCTGGTGAAAACTTTCCTGTTCAAATTGTTATTCTGACGAGGAGTCAAAGCAACACGGTCTCCATTTAAAGCACGTCATAGTTAAGCCTAAAACAAAGGCCAGTTTAAGCTGGTCACCTTAAAATGGGCAAATTGGGTCTGGAGTCAGTGCACTCCTGTAATGGACAAAAGCTCTGTTCGGGGAGCTGGTTTCTCGTGGCCGGCATGGCAGGCTCGGGGAGCAGGCTGGCTCCCACCCGCCCCCGGCTGAATGAGCTGTCTGTAGGATCCGCCTTGCAGGGTGTGAGGATTTAAAACACATGTAGAGCAGCGGGCACACAGTGGGTATGCCACAGGGGCAGTCACTGTCAATGTCACTCATCCTCATGCCCCCGGGGAAGGCAGTTGTATTTCAGTTCTGCAGATAAGGCAAGTGAGGCCCAGAGTGGTACAGCAACTTCCCCCAGGCTACACAGCGAGGGACTGGGGAAATTTGGATTCAAATGAGGTCTGTTCGTGGCCAGCCTGTGCTCCACGCACACCTCACCTCTGCAGTGCCAGGGTTCTGGGGTGGCTGGGTGACTGTTGGAGCCAGGAAATCGGCCCTTCCCTGATTAGGATGCTGGAGGGAATCCTGGGGCAGAGTTGGACAATCGGAGTGCTGGTCCTGAGCCGGCCCCCACCTCCCTGAGCGTCCCTGGGCTGGTTTGGTTCCCTCTCAGCTGTGGGAAGGGCCACCTTCTCCCCTCCAGGGAGGGAGCGGGAGTTCTGCCGGGTGAGGCCCCCTAAGGTGGTCCCAGAAGCTCTGCCCTGACACTGCTCTTGCTGCCCTTAGGTCTGTCGTTCTGCCAGCTGCAGAGGCAGCGGATCTTACTTGACGGCCACGCTAACAGCTCAGCCACATCCTACCTCCCCCAGTGTGAGGATTCGGGGGACTATGCACCCGTGCAGTGTGACATTCGGGGGATGCAGTGCTGGTGTGTGGACGCGGACGGGATGGAGGTGTACGGGACCCGCCAGCTGGGGAGGCCGACCAGGTGTAAGTCTCGGGGACGCCAGCACCCCGACAGGAGGTGCCCCACCCTAACCAAACCTTTGTCGGGGCTCCATGACGGAAGGCAGAGGACCTGGCCCTCAGTACAGAAAGCTTTTTTTTTTATTTATTTATTTTTGGAGGGGAAGATTAGCCCTGAGCTAACATCTGCTGCCAATCCTCCTCTTTTTGCTGAGAAAGACTGGCCCTGAGCTAACATCCATGCCCACCTTCCTCTACTTTATATGTGGGATGCCTGCCGTGTCCACACCCAGGATCCGAACCGGCAAACTCTGGGCCGCTGAAGCAGAACGTGCACACTTAACCGCTGCATCACTGGGCCAGCCCCCAGAAAGCTTTTAAGGAAGGTTTTACGACTTCTAACATTTCCACTCGGTGGACCATCAGTATTCGCCAGTGGATCATTAGAAGCATGAACAGAATATGCACCCAACGAGGTTTTCAAGCTCCCTGTACAGACCTTGGTCCCCATTTGGGTCTCTAACTGTCACGCGTGTAGTCTGAATAGATGCTTCTAGACTGCAGAAGCACATGCACTGAGTGGTACATAACAGTGTAACATGTTTTCCTCGGAAACGTTTAGGTCCAAGGAGCTGTGAGATAAGGAATCGCCGACTTCTCCACGGGGTGGGAGAGAAGTCGCCTCCGCAGTGTTCTCCTGAGGGAGAGTTTCTGCCTGTCCAGTGCAAGTTTGTCAACACCACGGACATGATGATTTTCGACCTGGTCCATAGCTACAACAGGTAAGGGGGGCGGCCTCTGGGGCGTGCCCGTCGCTGGGCCATCCCTTCCCGTCTCCTGCCAACGCGCTTGCTCACATCCAGGCGGATGCTGCGGTGCGTGATACACACAGTCTGGTGGGAATGAGGGAGGCCTCGCTTTCGTGTCCCACCAGTGCATATCAGAAGGGCCACAGCATTTTTAACAAAGCAAGCTGGCAGCGGCTACTCAAACTAAAAATATGTGAGCCCTCTGGCCCAGCCAGCCCGTGGAAATAAAACCGCCAGAAAGCAAAGACATCTGTACTAAGATGTCTACTGGGTCATTTTTCATCATAGCAGAAAATTGGGAACAAAGTGACTGATCAACCCAAGGTGGGTGGCTCTATAAATATTTATGCAGCTGTTAAATAGGATGCATCAGACTATGCCAGTGGGCTAGGAGAGGATTCCACAGCGTATTATGATAATATAAGATAGAAAATACAAATAATATACTATGATTTAATTTTTAGAAAACAAGCAAAAAGATCCTTTGATATGCATGTGTGATTATATGATCATGCTTGTGTCTGTATAGAACTAGGTGAGCGCAGAGAATAATATGAATAAACACATACCGGGTGGTTATCACGGCTGCCTGGAGAGTCAGGGCTGCTGTGGGGGAGGCGAGAGGGGAGAAGGAAATTGGCAGAAAAGGAAAAAGGACGGCACTGTAAAAAGTGGGGATGTGATCATCTTTATGCATTTCTGTAAGTTGTGTGTATGTATGCCCTTCCAGGTAAGTTTAACTTAAAGATTTAAGTGACAAATATAAAGAGGGAGATGCATCATGGATCTTGGCCCAAATAATCAGGGAGCTTCTGGTTATTCAAGATGGTGACTTCATAATTGTAAAGGGCTGCACAGACTCAGATATAGTTGAAACAAATAAGTAAGAATATTAGGCTGAGAATACTGATAGAAATTCTCTTGGAGAACCTGAGCCTTTATGTGGCTGGCTTCCAGACAACCAGTTTCTTCCCCTGTGGGAGAGGGAGTTCTCATGGGCTGTGTCAGGAAGGGTCACGGACTAGCAGCCTGTGAACAGGAACAGTTCCCTAGACAGAGCTTTTTGGAGCTGCACTATATTTTTAAAACTGGGGGGTTTTAAGTTGAACTCTGACATTTCCGTTTGCGTGGGTAGAAGTAGTTGAACATCCGCAATTTCATATGTTCCACCTAATACAAAAAATTCCAAATTCCTGATTTTAACAAGGGTCGGGGGCTGTGTGCATTCTCCCACGACACCAAGAAGCTGCCCTCGCACTGTCCTTTGTGGACAAAGTGCACACTTTCCAGTGCTCCTGGCCCCTCCATGTCCTGTTGCCATCCTCCTGCCTGGTCCGTGCATCTGCATCACCTGTCTGGCACCGTAACATTTGCCTTTGTGACCGTCATTCTGACTCTGCCACTGCTTGCTTGGCCAAGTGACCTGGTCACTTATCTTCTCTGGGCCTCAATGTCTCCATCTGTAAAATGGAGACAACGCCCCGCTCATTAGGTCGTGGTGGAGATCTGATGAGCCCTCGTCTAGGAAACCACTGCGAAAATTGTAAATTATTATGCCTCTGGAGGGAGTCCTCATGCATCACGCAGCCTTAGCAAATGTAGGTTAGATTCCCCCCACCCCCGCCCCCAGGGTCTAGAGAATGACTGCCTGCGAGCACATAAGAATCTCCAAACAGCCTGATTTACCGATGCTCATTGATGCCAAGCAGTGTGTGCTCAGTTCAAGTTCAACTGAACTGTATACAGGGAATTTGACATCCTTTTATCCCCTTTAATATTTATAAAAATAGTTAGGTAATTATGATCTCTATCATGTAACGGAGGAATCTGAAACACAGGTTTAGGAATTCACTTTTGGAAGCACAATTAGTGGGTGCTAGAGCTGTCTGGCTCCTTTTACTAATTCCAACAAACTCGATTCATCTCTGTTCCCCCATGGTGCCTAGCACAGAAACTTGCACACAGTAGGCCTAAGATCAATGCATACTGAGTAGGCCAGTGCATCAAAGAACTTTGCCAGAGCTAGCTTGAGGCGCAATTCACAGCTCCGTCCACAAGAGGGCAGTCGAGTTAAATGCATGAGTTCAGGACTAAGCACCCATTGTTTGAGACAAAAAAATTTACTCCTGAAATGGGATCCTTTCTTTTTTGTAAGCAAGCATGTCTCGAGGTGAATTCTAATTTCGGAAGGTCATGGGAAGGGTCAGGTGGTTGGTTACTGGAAGCCCGTACAGTACATATTCAGGAATTTTCTGATAAGCAGACCTGGGCAGCACCAGGCCCAGGGACTCCACTGGGCGAAGTGGAAGGAGCATGGAAGCCACGTGGAGAGTCTAGACTTGGCACCGAGGGTTGCAGATAAAATACAGGATGGTCAGTTACATTTGAATTTCAGATGAGCAGGGAATAGTTATTTAGTCTCCAATATTGCATCGAGAATTTTAAGCCTGGGCTTAAAATTGAGTTGTGTATATCTCAATAACCACTGGACTTGGGTTTCTAAAAGGATGGTCTGGGGTCAGGGAAGAGCAGAGTGGCTGCTGGGAGACGACTCCACAAGCTTGGAGGCTGCTGGACTGGTCCAGGTGAGGGCTGATTTTGACTTGGACTGGAGCAGGTGATGCAGAGGACCATGGAGAGATGGGGCACGGTCGGGGAAATATTTACTAGGCCGAATCCACGCAACTTGGTGAAGGAATAGATATGGAAGCTGAAGGAGAGGAAGAATCAAGGATGACTCCGAGGTCTGGTTTCTAGAGGGATGGTAGACGATGAGTTTGGAAAGAAAAAAGTCACAAATTTGATTTTGAAATATTGAATCCGAGGCATTTCTTTGGGGAACTCAATTGGAGAAGTGGCGTAAGGCAGTTGGCTTACTCCCATGGGGCACAGGGAGGCTGGAAGCCTGAGGGCAGCTCTTTGCCAACCTGTTGCGGGTTCTTAATGTGCTGGGTGACGATTTGCACTTGAACTTGGCCATAGCATTTCCCCAATGGAAGCAGGTCTTTTTGCCTCTTGAGGAAGGTCACTGCTGACTATACCTATTGGGCTGGTGACTTAAAAAAAAAAAATGATGGGGTGTAAGCTTTGCTAGTTTCTTCTGACTCTTCTCCCATCTTCCATATTGCCCTTCCCCACCCACCCGCTAGGGAAGATATTCTGGCTAAGCAGATTGTAGGCAAAGGTACCTTAAGAGCTGATGTTGTTACCCAGGCCTTAGGGACCCAAGGTGAAATTCAGTTGATTGGTTTCTTTATCAGCCCTTGTCCTTAGTGACTAAGCTCACTCAAGCTTCCTTAGCAACCTGTCTCACCTCAAATGCCTTGGCAACCCGGGCTCTCCAGATAATCCAGTGAGAAGGGTCGGATGCATCTTAATATGTGGCAAAGAGGCATCGTTAACTGAATATGTGAGCGACCATGGGGAGCAAGCCTCATAGACTAGTCATCCAATTGCCCTCCCAGAGACGTCTGTGGGGGCCTGCTGTGCACCAGGCTCTGTGCTCTGCCACAGCTCCTGCTGTAAGGAACTCTCCTCCCGCAAAGGAGAGAATTCAATAAATTGCTAATTGATTAATTGATGGTTAGGTTTCTGGAGGGACTGCCTGTGGGAGGAGCTGAGGAATCTGACTGAGGAGGGGGCGTTGGCTACTCGGGGGCCCAGAGGCAAGAACCCTGCTCTGCACGTGAACAGGACTAGCAGTCCCGCGGGAACTGACGTTTTCTATCCGCCGAGCCTGCTGTGTGATTTCTCTGACTCTAGGTCGGCCACAGTCTGAGCATAAACTCAGAAATGCCATCATTTCTCCCTCCGCTGCAATTTTCTTTCTTGAGTGCTCTTCTAGGATCATCCTGAGATTTCGCTTTTTGTTCAACGAAAGGGAAGCATCCTTTTCCAGTGGATGAAATCCATATTATTTTCGGGTTTTAAAATTTGGTGTTGATTTTCTCTTCCTCCTTTCTTCCAATATTCCCAGAACAGGATAGAAGTGGAAAATAGAGGAAATCATGAGGAAGGCAAAATAAGCGTAGAAAATAAGAATAAAACAAGGTGAAGATTGGTGCACACCATTCCTTCTCTGAAGTTACCTTATAACAGACGTGAGGGGCTGCGCACTGTTTCCTGTCACCAGAGAAAGAGGAACTAGTCTAAGATATTCTGTTTCCACCAGGTAAAAATAAACCAGTTTCTCAGAGGAATACGATTTTTCTTCTATTGAGGATGGAAAGAACTGTGTTCCTTGGATCCTCATTAAGGGGATAATGTCATATGCTATAGGGTACTGTATGACTTGACAACAAGACCATGGATTTCCTAAGGCCAGTGCCTATAAGGAGCAGGGGGCACGGCATTTTCAGGAATGGCGTCTCAATGATTGAGATGCTTGGGTCCCAGCATTCTCCATGGGGCTTGTGCCTCCCTCTGTGACTGCCAGCCTCTCGGCTTTCCCTTCTGCCCACCCTGTGGTCTCTGTCTCTCATCTTGAAGCTGGAAGCACGTTAATGATCCCAGACATGGTCTCCATTCCTCGATTCTCCCCTCGTCAGATCCATCGTTCTCAGCTTTAGGATCCAACTCAAGACTCACTTCCTTTGAGGACATTCTTTGGCCACATGCAGGCTCCAAACCCGGTTGGCCCCATGTGAGGATGGAGCCAGAGCTGCCTGCCTCTCGTTAAGACTGTAGGTTCAGTTTCAGTGGTTTGGCTTTTCTTCTCCTCAAAGCCCCCCGGTCCATAGTTGTGTTTTCTAGTGGTGAGTGCCTCATGTTGTGCTGTGTGGGATGCTGTCTTAGCATGGCCTGATGAGCGGTGCCATGTCCGTGCCAAGGATCCAAACCAGTGAAACCCCAGGCTGCTGAAGCGGAGTGCGCGGACTTACCACTCAGCCATGGGGCTGGCCCCAGTGGTTTGGCTTTTCTTGGGGTGACAGAGAAGGGTTGGGAATCTAATAAGAAGAAGGTTGGAAGCACGGCTGAGGCCCCCTTGCCCTGGCTGACAGCAAAGCGCCAATGACAGTAGCAGACATGGCAGCTAAACCAGGTGAGTGCTAATTATTACGCTGGGGGAGGAGTCCGAAATTCATAGATAGTGATACCATCTCAGAGATCAGCCACAAGAATCAGATTGTATCAAATCGGACTGTGGGAACAAAGGAAATCGGGGGGGATTCAGAGTTTGAATTTACTGTCGATCACAGGGCGGGAACCTAACGACCGACCGTGGTCTATTTAAGTGGTGGCCTCCCCACCCGGCCAGCTGATAGTGTTGACGGAGCATTGGCCGTGGACTCAGGATACCTGGCTCCTGGTCTTGGCTGGGTGATCTTGAACTGGTCAATTCACCACTCTGAATCCCAGTTTTCTTATTTGCGAATGGAGCTTTTTAAAGGTAGTTGTGAGGATTAAATGAGATAAAAATATGGAGAGTGCTTGGTGCAGTGTCCGATTGTTCGATATATGTCACCGATTATTGTTTTTATTAGTAGTAGTGAATAGAGATAATTATATGTGGCTAGGCCAGGAATGAAATTCTGATATGTCTGGCCCCAGGCCCTTAGCACTGCATACAGATTGACAAGGAGAGACTAGAGATGACAGTGCAGGGTGTCTGCCAGAGAGGAGCAGAGGACAGCCTGAGAGACCAGGTGGCAGTAGCGGGCCTCCAGGTGGTCTTCCTGGGAGGATGGGAGGACTCTCCCTCCGGCTGAAGCCACGGCGATCTCCATTAGGCAAGAAGTTGGGTATTGAGAGTGAGGTCCATGCAAAAAGCCCAGGGAGGCCCAGGTACTGGGCAGCTTATAAGATCAGAAACCCAGAGAGAAGGACTCTGGCCCTAAAGTGGTGGGATGAAGATGGCACAGAGATCCTGCTGGTTGCGTTGGCCCTGGGATGGGGCACTGAGGTAGAACTTTAAGTTGAATCAGCAGAACATGGGACTAGAATGACTTAAACTTCCCGTGCCTCGTGCTGGAATGGGTTTCAGAACCTCAGGGCAGCCAGGTGACCCGTCGGTGTGTGCATTCAGCATGTGTGTCTTCAACATCTATGAGATGCCAGGAAAAGCGAGGTGGTGGGCGTACAGAGAGGAGTGTCAGGACAGAACAGAGTCATGTGCCTTTCAAGATATGGGACAGGGACCAGGTACAGCCCAGTACACACTGAGTAACACCATTGGGAGACATCAATATCATGGTGAGTAAGACCTAGATTTGAACCCTAGCTCCTACCACGATTTCAAGATGGTGGCCAACATACCTCACCTTCTTAACCTCTAAAATGGAGATGGAAAAATACCACCTGCCTTGTGGGCGTGTTAAGTGGATTAAACAAGTCAAGGTATGTTAAACATTTTGCAGATTGTCTTATACAAAGTAGTGCTCAATAAATGGAAGTGATTATTATACTATTATTAGCACTTTTTGAATTGAATTATCCCAGGTCCCAGTGAATGAACTTTTATTATATATCTCCAATCAGGGGCAACTGGGCAAAGTGAGTTTTTAGTTTCTGTTATGCATAACTCACTTACTAGAATGTTCTTTTTTATTTAGCTCACAAACACACAATAAGAGATCAGCAACATGGAAAAAACCCGTAGTTCTATAGTGCTTTCATAGGTTTTGTTTTGCATATTCATTTTCATTCAAATTAACTAACTTGTTGCCCCCTACCCCATGTTCGGGCTCTGAGCAGTTCCTGCACAATATATTGCCTTCCCGTACTGGTTCATTTACATAGTCATAATTGCAGGTGTGTGTACAGGCCATTTTGTATTCTAACCTTTTTTTAAAAAAAAATTATTTTATTAAGGTCATCTTGCTTTATAACATTGTGTAAATTTCAAGCGTACATTATTGTATTTGAGCATCTGTATGGACTGCCTTGTGTTCACCACCAATAGTCTAGTTTCCGTCTGTCACCATACATATGTGCCCTTTACCCCTTTTGCCCTCCCCCAATCCCCTTCCCCTCTGATAACTACTAGTCTGTTCTCCTTATCCATGTGAAATCATATGGTGTTTGTCTTTCTCCCTCTGACTTATTTTGCTCAGCGTAATACCCTCAAGGTCCATCCATGTTGTTGCAAACAGCATGATTTTGTCTTTTTTCTGGCTGAGTAGTATTCCATTGCACATACATACCACATCTTCTTTGTCCATTCATCCATTGAGGGTTGGCGAGTGCTTGAGTTGCTTCCAAGTCTTGGCTATTGTGAATAATGCTGCGGTGAACATAGGGGTGCATGTGTCTTTTTGAATTAGTGTTTTCATGTTCTTTGGATAAATACCCAGAAGTAGAATAGCTGGATCATACGGTATTTCTATTTTTAATCTTTTGAGAAATCTCTATCCTTCTAACCTTTTTATTTCATGTTATGCATGCACCCATTTAAGGGATTTACTATAATTTACTTCTTAATTTTCCTATCCTTGGACATTAAGATCATTTTCAGTCTTTTGCTTGGATAGATTACACAGAAACAGACCTAACTGTGCAGAGAGCTGCTGCTCCTGCTAACTGATGGTTTGGGGATGTATTTCCAGACACAGGTAGAAGCACATTATGCTTGGTTCTCATGCTGTAGCTGTATAGGGCATAAAAACAAATCTCTCCATCTCGTATAAAGAGGAAAAATTCCTCTGTGGTTGCTAAATCATTGCACACGGAAAGAACTCCTTCACATGGCTTTACATTGCCTACGCTCCATCTTACGTCCAGGGTGGGGAACCCGGCCAATTAGCTGCTTACAGGAATTGCCAGGGGGGACACGACTGAGGCAAACTTGTCCTCCACTTGTGGAAAGGCGTGCCTAGCCCTTGTGAGTGACGCCAGACTGATTTTGTGTTTTTTTGACCCTGGGACTGGGACATGTCCATCTTAAGAATTTCCTCCGCTGGAATCTGGCTGCTTTTCAAGCTCTTGAAAAGTTGTAAAGTGCTCTGAAGTCGTTTGATCTCCCAGAATGAGATCATGTACGATGTACCATATGTCTGTAAAGCAAACTTGGCCTTGAGTCTCTCGTTCTGTTCTGGTAAAGCAACTAGTTCCCGCGATGTTCGTTACGTGCTTTCCGCCCGATCCTATGGGACACCTGCTTGGGGACAAACTGGTCCAATGCCACGAGAGAGGAAAACAGCTCCTTAGTAGATGACAGCTAAGCACAGCTTTATTTGAACAGGTTCAGCCTGGCTCTGGCCAGGTAAAACCAATTTAGAAAAGAAGTACATTGACTGCAGGGAGCATGGAGTGGATAGCATGAGATCGAAAATCAGAGAGTCCTTTTCCCCAGATGAGACGAGGCCACGTTTAGTTATTTCCACAGGAAAAGCTGGGGGTGACTTGCCTTTTATGACATGGCGACCGTGCCTCATTCTCTCTTAGGTTTCCAGATGCGTTCGTGACCTTCAGTGCCTTCCGGAGCAGGTTCCCCGAGGTGTCTGGGTATTGTCACTGCGCTGACAGTCAAGGGCGCGAACTGGCTGAGACAGGTGAGCACACCTCAGGCAACCTGAGGGGAGGGAGTGGCAGTCACAGCTCCGAGAGCCTAAAGAGCGTTACCTGTGAAGCAGAAAGAGCAGTGACTACCGCTCTTCTGCCAGGCGGCATGGGTATGGAAGAGGGTGTGGTTAGCAAGCTTTGAGTCTGGGGTACCTCGAGCACAGCTGCTGCTGGCCCACATGGTGCCTTTGTGCATGCTGGAAAAAGGCACCCCCTCCGGGCAGATGCAGCTCTGAGCTTGGCAAGTGGAACAGGGACTGGATTTCAGTCTCCTCTCACTCTCTCCTCAGTGCTCCTTTGTGCTGTGGACAACCTACACAACCATACACAGTGGCCCTGACTTGGGAAACCATTCAAGTCTTTGGTTCAGACTCAATATCAATGATGCCAGTGAAGGCTCTGGCCCTCTTAATATGTGTTTGCACGGCCAGGTCAGGACGTTCTTTCTGAATGAACTCCTCCCTTGAAATGCTTGCTGTCCTTGCTCAGGTTTGGAGCTGTTGCTTGATGAAATTTACGACACCATTTTTGCTGGCCTGGACCTTCCTTCCACCTTCTCTGAGACCACCCTGTACCGGATACTGCAGAGACGCTTCCTAGCAGTTCAACTGGTCATCTCCGGCAGATTCCGATGTAAGTAGGAAGCCGACAACAGATGTGCATGTTTCTGCCAGGAGCAAGCCACTTGGGTTTTAAAGTGGCTGCGGTCTCCATGGCAGTTCCACCAAAGTGGGTTCAGGGACTTTAAATATTTTAACAGCCAACAGAATGCATGCTGTGAATGCTTCAAGCGTTGTTGACACCCTGTCTTTGCTGCGTGGATTTCTCCTAGGCCCCACGAAATGTGAAGTGGAGCGGTTTACAGCAAGCAGCTTCGGTCACCCCTATGTCCCCAGCTGCCACCGAAATGGGGACTACCAGGCAGTGCAGTGCCAGAGGGAAGGGCCGTGCTGGTGTGCCGATGCCCAGGGAAAGGAGATCTACGGGACTCGGCGGCAAGGGGAGCCGCCATCTTGCGGTGGGTTTCCGCTCCAGGGCTTTTTCTTTGGGCCTCATCAGGTCACGTTACTTTAACTGTTTCTCCAGACCAACCACGCCAGAACCATTAATTCCCCTGCATCCTGAGTGTGCCCCACCGGCGCTTCAGGTTCCACAGGGTGGAAAGCTTGTTTGTCGTCGTTTACTTCCAACATGGTTCTCATCCTGTGTCAGACATCGTCTGTAGCAGGAGAAGCAAAATTATAAGGACATAAATAATAGGCATTGATATGCTGATGGACACTGAGTCTGCAAGAAAGATAGAGAAAAACACGGTTGGAGGATGGTTAGGGTGGTGTTTTGAGCTTTAAGACTGAAGGGAAGGCAGGGGTAAGACACTGAAGTCTTTGAGATCATACAAAGGCTTGGGGGCGTCATCCTGGAGGTCGGGAGCAGACGTTGAGGGGTATTAAGCTGGAGGGTGCCATGACAACTGTTGTGTATAAGAAAGATCGACCAGGCATTTTGTAGGAGAGATTGAAAGGAGTGTTAGACTGCAGGCAGTGGGGCCAATTTGAAGGTCATTGCAATGTCCTAGAGAGGGATGAGGGGACTAAATCTGTTTCCTGGGGCTGCCATAACAAATTACTACCAACTGAATGCTTAGAACAACAGAAATGTATTCTCTCACGGTTCTGGAGGCTAGAAGTCCAAAATCGAGGTGTCGGCAGGGCCGTGCTCCCACTGAAGCCTCCAGCGGAGGATCCTTCCTTGTCCCTTCCTAGCTTGTGGTAGTTGCTGACAGTCTCTGGCATTCCTTGGCTTGTGGCAGCGTAAGTCCAAACTCTGCCTGTGTCGTCACATGGCTGTCTTCCCTCTGTGTCTGCCTCTGTGTCTCTTCTCCTCTCCTTATGACACCAGTTACAGAGGATTAAGAGCCCACTCTACTCTGGGATGACTTCGTCTTAACTCCTTCCATCTACAATGACCCTATTTTCAAATAAAGTCACTTTCTTAGGTTCCAGGTAGGATAAAAGTTTTGGGGAGACACTATTCAGTGCAGTATGGGGACCAATACGAAAGGAGAAGCAGAGGGCTGAGGAGAAGAATGTGGCTTGAGAGATGTCACTGGGCATTCCAAGAAGACTCCATTCCATCGTACCAGCAAGACTGCAGGAGGATAGAAGAGGGCGGGGGAGGAATCCAGGGGCACTCACGGGCTTCCCACTCAGTGAGCTGGATGGACTCAGCCAGACCTGAAACTGTGAAGAGAGAGTGCAGGGCTTTTTATGGCCTCAAAACAGATATGTATTCATTCAATTCCTATTAAATCATTTCTCCAGCTCAACATTTTGAGTACTCCGCGTGGTGTTTGGTAGCACGCTCCCTGCCAGGTTGTAGGTAGAGGATAGATAGAGGACATAGAAAAAGACAGTTTTGAAGATCTGCCTTGAAAATATTTACAATTATATTTTATTAAAACCTGGAGTATATAGTGCCCTCCAATTTCCAGGTGGAAGTGGTCTTCCAAATTAAAACCAAGAGTGCACCCAGTGCATGGATCATATAGTTTTATTTTCTCTCTCTGGCGTATCAGTCCTATTTCCGTGGAAACAAACGCCACATGGAACCAATATCTGAATTTTTTTGCCTTGGAAACACTTCATAACAAATGAATGGAAGGGATATGCTCTTAATTTGGAAAAAGAACAAGCAGAGCCATGAACTTGGTTTCTTGCATACCTTCCTGTAACATCCATTAGAGGAAGCCATGGCCTCGTTGACGGATGTGTTCTGTGTTTGAGGTTGCCAGTCTTTTTGTCCTTTCTCTCTGACCACATGTTCCAGTTCTTTCTCTGTTGCCTGGTTACAGAAGGAAATTGGCTGACTTCCTTTTTGGCATCCATGTGAACCAAGGGGAAAGAATTATTTTAAAACTTTGGTGGGGGGGGGTGGTTGAAAACCTGTAAGATTTATGGTTTTATGGAGAAAAGTGGAGCTTTCTTACTTCCACCTATGTGGCTGAGACACTTGGAATTTGAATTTAGAAATTTCTCAGTGTGATTACAGTCACTGCAGGGTATTCAGAGAGAATGATCTGACCATGCGTGGAGTTGACTGAGTCAATCACTGTTTAATTAGTAATTTCAAGGAAACGTCAAGAAGCCTAGAAGGATGTGCTAAGTGTGTTTGCCAAGTGGGCATCATCGTATTATATTATAGGAAATCAGATTTCCTAGAATATATTAAAATATTAAATATTGCAACATAGGATAATATTTCTTGTTATGGGAAATACTAATAGCATTGAAGTGTGGTTCTTATCCTCAAAAAGATTATAAACTCCTTAGCCTAGACGAGGCTACCCACAAGGAGGAAGGAGACAGCCTCATGAAGAGCATATAATGAAGCATTAAAGTCCGCTAAGAAGTCCAACAAGAGATGCTGGAAAACAACGTTTCATTAGAAACAAATAGGAATTTGTTGATTTATTAGTTTCCTAGGACTGCCGTAACAAATTACCGCAAACTGGCTGGCTTAAAGCGACAGAAATGTATTCTCTCATAGCTCTGGAGGCAGAAGTCTGAAATCAAGGTATGGGCAGGGCCGCACTCCCTCAGATGGCTCCAGCAAAGAGTCCTTCCTTGGCCCTTCCTTGCTTTCAGTGGTTGCTGGCATTCCTTGGCTTACAGCTGCAGGACTCCAGTCTCTGCATCTATCTTCACGTGGCCTTCTTCTGTGTGTGTGTCTCTCTGTGTCTTCATATGACCTTCTTATAAGGACACCAGTCATTGGATTTAGGGCCCACCCTGATTAGTTAAGACTGATTACATCTGCAAAGACCCTATTTCCAAATAAAGTCACATTCTGAGGATCCGAGTGGATGCGAACATTGGGTGGAGGCGGTGGGGTGGACCCCATTCAACCCACCAAAGTCGGTGCGTGTATGTGGTCAGGTTTTCAGAAAGTAAGCTGGCGTCTGTGAGCCTTGCCTTCCAAGGGGGTCACCCTCTAGTAAAAGCTGGGAGAGGCAGTTAACGTCAACTGAAAAACTTATTCCCCAAAATGGCCGCCACAGCTCTGCTCAGAGGGAAAATAAAAGATAAAGGGTAAAGGGAAGAAAGAGGTACAAAATGTAGGTGTCCTTGATTGAATTTCTTGACATCTTCCTACCAGAAAGATCTGAAGGGTTGTCTCAGGATTACTTGGGATGTTGACACCATTTCTCCCGTTTGCTCTGTGCAGCTGAGGACCAGTCTTGTACCTCAGAGAGGCGCCAGGCCCTGTCCAGACTCCACTTCGGGCCCTCAGGCTACTTCAGCCGGCACAGCTTGTTCCTGGCTCCTGAGAAAAGACAGGTCTCTCAGCGAGTAGCCAGATTGGCCACATCCTGCCCACTCTTGATCAAGGAGCTCTTTGTGGATTCTGGGATTCTCCAACCAATGGTAGAAGGGCTGGATAAACAGTTTTCTGCCTCAGAAAGTCTCCTCAAAGAAGCCATCAGAGTGATTTTTCCCTCCCGAGAGCTGGCTCGTCTTGCCCTTCAGTTTACCACCAACCCAAAGCGGCTCCAGCAAAACCTCTTCGGAGGGAAATTTTTGGTGAATGCTGGCCAGTTTAACTTGTCTGGAGCCCTTGGCACAAGAGGCACGTTTAACTTCAGTCAATTTTTCCAGCAATTTGGTCTCCCAGGCTTCCAGAACAGAGGGCCACCAGCAGATCGAGCCGAGCCTCTCTCCCTGGGATTGGATTCAAGTCCTGCCACAGAATCTCCTGAAGCCTCTAAGAAGGGTGTTGCTATGAATAAGCCAGTTGTGGGCAGCTTTGGCTTTGAAATCAACTTGCAAGAGAACCTAAATGCCCTGAAATTCCTTGTTTCTCTTCTGGAGCTTCCAGAATTCCTTCTCTTCTTACAGCAGGCTATTTCTGTGCCGGAAGACATAGCGAGGGATTTAGGTGATGTGATGGAACTGGTGCTCAGCTCCCAGGGCTGTGAGCAGACCCCTGGTGGCCTTTTTGTCCCATCATGCACTGCAGAAGGAAGCTATGAGGATGTCCAGTGCTTTGCTGGAGAATGCTGGTGTGTGGATTCCCGGGGCAAAGAGCTTCCCGGCTCGAGGGTTAGAGGTGGACGACCCAGGTGCCCTACGAAGTGTGAAAAGCAAAGGGCTCGCATGCAAAGCCTGTCGGGTAGCCAGCCCGCTGGGTCCAGCCTGCTTGTCCCTTCTTGTACCAGCGAGGGGCATTTCCTACCTGTCCAGTGTTTTAGCTCAGAGTGCTACTGTGTCGACGCTGAGGGTCAGCCTATTCCTGGAACTCGAAGCCTACCTGGAGAGCCCAAGCAATGTAAGTCTGTTAAGTAGTCAATCTACAGACTCTGATTCTCTTTGGGGCCCTGACACAATGCATTATAGATAAAAGAATTTGGTCACAGCTAAAACCCAAACTTCTGTTAATGGCAAAATTCACTGGTTAATTAAAAACTGTCCAGAAAAGTTTTGATAATGTTAACCATTCTAATGAGTGAATAGGGAGATTTATTCAGCCTTAAGGAATTGCCACATACCTTTCTGCCGTGCTGACAACAGCTGGTCCCCACAGTGCCGATTTAGTGATGGGGATGCTCTCTGTCTAGAACTTGTTTACAAATTTAAGGTTGATGGGATGTCTATGGCTGTATAAGGCTTTAGATGGAGTTTGGACAATAAAGGGCTTCCATCTTGGTCTTTCCAGCTTATGGAACTTCTTAACCTGACACACCTGTGCTTTGTTCCTTCCCAGGCCCCACGCCCTGTCAGCTACAGGCCGAGCAAGCCTTCCTTGGGGCAGTGCGGGCCCTGGTCTCTAATTCCAGCACACTGCCCACCCTCTCCAGCATCTACATTCCACAGTGCAGTGCCAATGGGCAGTGGAGACACGTGCAATGTGACGGGCCCCCTGAGCAGGCCTTCGAGTGGTATGAACGATGGCGGGCTCAGAACAATGGTGGCCAGGAGCTGTCTCCTGCCCAACTGCTAATGAAGATCATGGGCTATAGAGAAGCAGCTTCCAGAAGCTTCCGTCTCTTCATTCAAAGCCTATATGAGGCTGGCCAACAAGGCATCTTCCCAGGGCTGGCAAAATACTCTTCTCTCCAAGATGTCCCACTGGCAGTGCTGGAAGGGAACCTGACCCAGCCTGGAGAGAACATCTTCCTGGAGCCCTACCTCTTTTGGCAGATCCTAAATGGCCAGCTCAGCCGATACCCAGGGCCCTACTCAGACTTTAGCATTCCTTTGGCACATTTCGACCTTCGGAGCTGCTGGTGTGTGGATGAGGCTGGTCAAGAACTGGAAGGAACCCGGGCTGAACCAAACAAGGTCCCAGCATGTGAGTTAAATGATGTGAAGAACTGAATCTGTGCTTTTTCAAAAAGGATGTCTGGTGGGAGGGCATTGGGTATCAAAGCTGGCATCGAGTTTAGATATGGCCAGGCACATCCCTTCGGTGTATGGTTGAAGACAGCAAATGTGTTAGTCAGCTTGGGCCGCTATGACACAATACCTTAGATTGGCTGGTTTAACCAATAGACACTTATTTCTCATAGTTTTGGAGGTGGAAGTCCAAGATCAAGGTGCTGTAAGATTCCGTTCCTGGCGAGAGCCCTCTTCCTGGCTGGCAGATGGGCACCTTCTCACTGTGTGTTCACATGGCAGAGAGAGGGAGTTCTGGTCTCTTCATCTTTTTATAAAGACACTAATCCCACCGCGAGGACCCCACCCTCAGGACCTCATTGAAACCTAACCGCCTCCCAAAGTTCCCACTTCCACATCCCATCACATGGGGGACTAGGGCTTCCACACATACATTTTAGGGGAACACAATCATTCGGTCCATAATGCCAAGGCTCAGAGAAGGGATGTGATTTCCCCACATCTACACAGTCATGTGCTGCACAATGACGTTTCAGTCAATGACGGATGGCATATATGACGGTGGTCTCATAAGAGTAGTACCATGAAGCCTGGGTGTGTCGTAGGCTGTACCATGTAGGTTTGTGTAAGCACACTCTACGATGTTTGCACGATGACAAAATTGCCTACGACACATTTGTCAGAACGTATCCATGTCGTTATGTGACACAGACTATATTTAAATCATTGCCTCAAGTTTTAACTGGATGCTTTCTCTGTGCAATGCTCTATCTCAGGCCCACTGAAGGCTATACAATGCATGTGACCTGGCCCTTGCCCTCTGTGGCTAAGGCTTTAGTCATGTCTCATGAGTTAGGTGCACCCTCTGATTAACGGACGCACATTATGATGGTCTTGCTACTTACAAGGACACCACTAGGTGCTTGGGGCCTCAGGAAGTGCTTCTGCCTTCCAAGTACCTTGAATTTACTTGAGGGGCTTTGATCAAAGGACTAACTGGAGAGCTGCCGAAGGAAGTCTGTACATTCAGCTTTGTGGCAGGTGGACTTCAAAGAGAGCTGCAGGGGGTGAGGCATAAACAGAAAGGGGCTGACTCTGTGTCTTCAATCAAAATGCTTTATCGCCAAGCAGCCAGATCAGCAGTTGGAAACAACAAACAGGCAGACTCAACACTGTTATCAAACCAGAATCTTTCCAACCATAATATTACAGGTAATATTATAGCTGCTTGAGTCCAGCGAAATCTTCACTTCATTCTTTGTAATGTTCAACATGGTCCAGACCTTTTAGGAAAATGTTAAAATTACTCAGACTATTTTGACATTGGCCAAAGTTGAGGCTTTGCTTTAGCAGCAAGCGGGTTTTTAGAGTGTTGGGCGATAGGAACATGCGATGAGAACAGTAATGCCCTGGGCAGTTTGAACAACCTGGACACCCCACTACCAGCATTCTCCCTTAAAACGTCAAGTTCTAGCAATAGGTGGACCCTCAAAGTCACCATATAAATGTCAACATGACTGTTATATAAGAAGTCTTATTCGTTTTTGGAGATTTTCTATACTAATGGTCGGGTCTCCTACATGGGGGTGTTCCTATAATGTTAGATGCTTTCAGATTGAATTTGGTCCTCTTTGGAACCAATTTTCGGGGTCTGAGTTGCCGATACCAAAAGTGCTTGGTAACTGTAGTAGCTGGTATTATTCTCCTTGGCCTGAATGTCAGACAAAGCATTAGCACTAGGCTTAGGATACACTGGCTTTTCCCCTGAGAAACAAGAGGCTGTGTAGAGCAGACGATCCGGGCGTACAAGGTAATCCACTGGGAAGCAAGTGTCAGAACTTCCATCTACAGCTAGTGTTTTCTCTCTTCCTTTTAAATTTCTGGGTTTTTTTGCAATTAAGTGCTCACAGCAGAAACATTTGAGAAAATAGTACCTAGTATATTATTATAGTGGTACATGTGCGTGCTTTATAAATAAAGAAATACGCATATTTTGGGGGTACATGCTCAAACTCTTTATTTATTTTTTTAACATTGGCCGTGAGCTAACATCTGTTGCCAATCTTCCTCTTTTTTTTTCTCCCCAAAGCCCTAGTACATAGTTGTCTATCCTAGTTGTAAGTCCTTCTGGTTCTTCTATGTGGGATGCCGCCACAGCATGGCCTGATGAGCAGTGCGTAGGTCCATGCCCAGGATACAAACTGGTGAACCCCTGGCCACCGAAGCCGACCATGTAAACTTAACCACTACACCGCCAGGCTGGCCCCCTCAGACTCTTTTGTTGATAGGGGTATGTTATCTAAAGGTTTGGTGACCATTGGTTCAGAGCTTTGATCCTCAAATTGTGGTCCAGCAGCATCAGTCTTACCTTGGGGAGTTGTCAGAAATTAAGAATCTCGGACCCCACCTACTGAATCTGCATGTCCGCAAGGTCTCAGGTGGGTCTAATGGCCCCCAAAGCTCGAGAAGGACTGGCCTAAAAGACAGAGCGCCAGTTGGCTTGAATCCTGGGTCCATCACCTGCTACTCTGGGAGCTGGAGGAACGGAACTCCTCCCAGTCTTAGTTTCATCTGTAAAATCTGAGTTACGGCAAGTGACTACCTCAAATGGGTTGTTGTGAGAATTGTAAGAGATAATAGATATAAAGTGCCAGGCCTGGCATACAGAAAGTAATTAATAAATAACTAGATTAATACAACTGATAGATGTAATGAAAGGACCAGTGACTTCCCACACGTGTGCAGGGGTAATGACTCACGCCTCTGAGGTCAGGTCCTGTCCATGTCCCTGGCCTGTTTGAAATTTTACTTTCTTCATTTAACACACGTTTATGGACCACCTACTTTGTGCACTGTGCTGTTTGATGAGGAGACAGTCATGAGAAAGGTGTGGTATCTGTCCTTTAGGAGCACAGAGGCAGTGCGAGAAACAGGCATGTCATCATGTAAATAATAAACCAAGATGGTAGAACAGAATTACGAACACAGAAAATGCAATGGCACATGCCCAGAGAGAGGGGGCTGCTCACTGACTGGGGAACTGGGTAAAGATTTCCATGGTGTCAGCTTCTGGATCATGGGGATTCACACATGAGGGATGTGTGTCCAGCCAAAAGTGTGTGGCAGGCCCTTCCTGGCAGAGGAATTAGTACACGTCAAGTCAAGGAAGCTGTAAAAGTGTTGGGAATGGGGTGGTGAAAAGATCAATGTGGCAGGAAGGAAGGGGACTTAGGAGGGAATAATACAAGAAGAGGCTAATGGTGAATTGGGGCCAGATTTTAAAAGGGCCTAGGTGTCCAGTTACAGAATTCTCATTCTATTCTGGAAGAAATGGGGAGCAAGCAGAGACTTTTAAGTGTGAGTTTTTGCTTCAGGGATCCCAATTCCCTGGAATTGATAGAATGGAGTATTTGATCAAAAACATCCGAAGGAAGCAATAACGTCCCCACATCCCAGAAGTCAAGGGCTTCTGCTGATTCTATGGCCTCAAAAGAATCCACGGAACACATTCACTGCTGAGTTCACCATGTGATTAGTTGAAATCAACATGTCTAGGGGAGCTTTTGTTAGTAGCGACAAGTTCAAGGACAACATGCGCCAGACACTGTGCCAAGCACTTCAGCTGCAACACCTCGTAGAATAATTACAAAAACCCTATGGGGTAGATGCCCTCATTATCCCCATTTCACATATCACGGGACTGAAGCTCAGAAGAGCTAAGCACGTTATCCAAAATCATGTAGCTAATAAGTGTTTGAGCTGGCATTTGACCCCAGAGGTTTCTGAGAACATGCTCTTTGCTCCTTACAAAAAATAACTCTTGACTAACCTACAAGGCCTCCCTTATACTCTTGATATCCATCCATCCATTCATCCATCCATCCATCCGCTTATCCATCCATCTGTCCATCTGTCCATCCCATTAGAGGAAGCTGGTCAAAATTGCTGTTTCCAGAGTCGTACTGACTGACTGGAATTCTGAATCAACTGCTTGCCAGCTAGGAGCTTGTTTAAGTTATATGACTTCTCCATGCCTCAGTTTCTCATCTGTAACACACGGGTAAGAATAATATCTTATTGGGCTGTTGCATAGATTAATTAGATTGTTCGTTTAGATATGCTGAGTACAATGCCTGACATGGAGTAAACATTAGTTATTACAAAGCTTACATAGTAGGTCCTCTGTAAATGTTGAGTGAATGAAATTGTGGAGACAAAGCAGAAGGACCATTCCAGGTTGTGAAAAAAGCTGGGGTGAAGGAAACAGCTGAGGCAGAAGTGTGTGCATGCGTGTACATGTACACTTCAAAGGAGTCCAAGGGAGCCATGTGTTTTGGGGGATCCATCAGTGATGTCTTTATTCCCCTAGGTCCTGGTTCTTGCGAGGAAGTGAAGCTTCACATCCTGAGGTTCATTGAAGAAACAGAGGAGATTGTCTTGGCTTCCAACAGTTCTCAGTTCCCTCTGGGAGAGAGTTTCCTGGCAGCCAAGGGAATCTGGCTGACCAGTGAGGAGCTCGCCCTTCCTCGGCTCTCCCCATCCTGGGAGACCGTCTCAGAGAAGTTTCTGAGTGGGAACGATTATGCCATTCGTTTGGCAGCTCAGTCTAGTAAGTGTCATGCCCTTCCGATTTCTTCTTCCATCTAGTTGGGGAAGCAAGAGCTTGAGTTAGTTGCTCTTCAGTCATCCTCAGGGCTTTGCTGCCTTGGTTTCCCCGGGCCGATGGGTTCCTGGGAAAGAAAGGGCCAAGTGGTTTTGTGATATTGGTCAAAGGTGGAATGATGCACGTCTCTCCAAGATGCTCCCAAATCCTCCAGCAGAGCCACTGGGGGCAGGTCTGCACACCTTGTCTTGCAGATGGCGCCTGCAGCCCATTATGATGCCAAACATCTTGTTAAAATGGGAGGGGCTCCGGCCCCAAATGCTTGAACTCCCCTCATGGCTGTTCTGAAGCTTCCCTCCATTTCCCAGGACTCAGGAACACCCTGAAGAGGGAGAAGAGAGGGACCCTCACTATAAAGGAAGTGCTTGGTTTCAGGCATCTTCCATGTGTGAGCTGTTTAATCCTGTTGGTAACTCCGAAAAGCACGAATTTTTACCCATATGTGACTGAGAGATACTCTCAGAGAGCCCAAGGTGCTCTAGCCCAGAATAACAGCTAAACATTATTTGAAACTTACCCCCACCAGGCACTGACTGTGCTAAGCAGATTACCAGATCTTTGCACTGAGTCCTCCCAGGGTCCCATGAGAACAATGCTACAATCACTATCTGTGATTCCCTTCAAATGCGGAAACTGAGGTTGTCACATGCCCAAGTTCACCCAGTTAATAACTAGCAGAGCCTGGATGTGACGCTGGTGGTCTGGCCCCCGACTCTGTCCCCTGCCTAGCTGGTCCCTGGTGTGGCTGGGCTTGGAGCCTAGATCTGTCTCACCCCAGAGCCTCTGTTCTTTCTCTACCACCTGCAGCCTTCTTGGGCAGGAGGGTCCAAGGTCCCTCCCAGTTCTCTCACTCACCCCACACCAACTTGGCAGGGACAAACGACTCATCCATCTCCTAGCATCCCTGAGTCCCCCACCCCCTGACAGATTATCTCAGCTGATCGCCTGTCTGGGTTCTCTGGGCTTGGGTCACAAAACAGCACAGCAGTGTTCCCCTGACAACATCTGTACCAAGACAAAGCCTGCCCTCTCTATGCCCTGGAGCTCCCTGCCCTTCCAGCCCTGTGATGGCTGCGGCCGCCTGGGCATCAGCTCTCATTGTCTTTGTTCTCCCAGCCCCGCGGGAGACTCTCCCAAGGGCCAGTTCTGCTCTGGCCTCTCTCCCTCACCCGGCGTCTCTTTAGAGGACAGGGCCACATGTCTTATTGATCTTTACATCCTGGGGCCTGGCACAGAGCCTGATGGATAGCGGGAGCCCAGTAAATGTTGGTCAACCATCCTTCTTGCTTCTTTCTTTCTCTTCCGTCTCCTACCCTCACCCCAGACCCAGGCACTTTTCTCTGTTCCTTAGAGTCTTGGAGACTTCTGCTTTTGGCAAGAAACCAGTTGTTTGTTTTAAATTTTGTGCATGGACAGGATTTGCTGAAATCAAAGAGAGGAGTAGGACAGATCAGGGGGTGCCCCTGCGGTTGTGACCACTTTGGTTTGGGAAGGAAATAGAGAGGAAGTGGGGAGAAAGCTCTTGGTGCCACGGAGATGTTTGTTGAACGGCACGGTGGCATTTTCTCCAGAAGTCGAGCTGAGGAAGTTCCCCTCCACCTAGCCGAGGCTCTGATCCTACTTCTCTGAGGCTGTCGGGAAAAAGGAAGTGTCTTCAGAGAAGGAGTAGGGTTGCTCATTTTCCTCGGAATCCCTCAAGATGAGAAGAGGCGTCTCCCCTGTTGCAGAGAAGAGGAAGCTGTCCACGTGGACCTCCAGGCCCTGGAGAGTCTAGGATCAAAGACCCAGGACAAAAAGAGATGGAGAGCCACAAAGCATCTTTGGCCAATAGAACGTGGGAGCAGTGTCCCAGGGCCTCAGGGGGGTGGGGGAGGGCGCGGGAGTACAGGGACACAGCTGAGCCTAGCCTGAGCTTGGTGCTTAAGCTCTTTGGATGAAAATATCACACTTACCCTGTTAGGTAAGTGTTAGACCCATTCACACATGGGGAAACTTAGGCCCAGAGAGGCTGGGCAACTTGCTCATGATCACACAGTCAAGAGGTGCAGAGCCAGGATTCAGGCCGAGGCTTGTCAGACTCCTGAGCCCTGTCCCCTGCCCCAGGCCACTTCAAAGAGAGGCCTGGTCTCCTCAGACGGTCTGACTGGGGCTTGGTGGTGTGCTGACAACTGTGAGCTCTCCTCTCTGGGAGCCGTGAAGCCCATCTCTGAAAGGTGGTGGGTTTGGAGATCTGCTCCCATGGGAGGCAGGCCAAGGCACACCCGGCTGCCCCGGATGCGGCCCTTCTCCTCTGGGATCCCTGTGGCTGTATCCCGCTGCCCACACCCCCCTACACACACCAGCAGGAGTGGAGAGAAGATGGGAGGTGGGCCTTGAGAAAGGGCCTGGGAGACAGCTCATGGCCTCTGGAAGGAGGATGGTGCTGGGGGCACATCAGGCTGGGGAGGGGTGCTGTGAGACCCGGACCAACTGGCCATACGTCCTGACCGCCACCCACCCTGCTTCCTCCCTTCCTTCCTTCCTCCTGCATGCATTTATTCTATTTTCCTTTTCACTCAACAAGTATTTCTCGAGTGCCTGCTGTGAGGCAGCTCTGCTCTAGGCACAGGGTCAGCATAAATCCTTGCACCCGAGGCCTTCAGTGCTAGTGTGGAAGAGACAAACCTAAATGGAATAAGTAAGTCCGGGCACTAGTGCGCCAGTGGTGGAGAACGCCTGGAAGAAGCCGGGCAGGGCCGAGGGACCCCGAGCTGAGGACGGGGCCGTCCTCCTGAGCAGGGTACCATCTGTGAGTCACTTACCCTCCCTCGCTGAGCCTGTTTCCTCCCCTTGGGGGTAAAAATCCAGCCTTCATGGAGCTGCGGCGAAGATCAGATAAGACTCTGTGGGGAATGAAGTTTCGAGGGGGGTGAAGAACCTAGATTGTAAGAGTTGGGCAGGGAGGCAAGAGGGCCGCGTACACACACTGACTTCCCGCGTCCGGCTCCAGTGCCTCCACTCCCGGCTGTGAGACTTAAGCCACCGGTGCCTCAGTTTCTCACCCATCAAATGGGACAACATCACCCCTCCTAGAGGTCGTTGTGTGGAGTCACTTAGCTAAAGCGTGGACTTGGATGGTGCCTGGCACACAGGAGGTGTTGAATCAATGCTGTCTATTGTGACTGTTGCCTCGTGTGCCTGGAGACACCTCATTGACCTAATTGGCTTTCTTGTGAAAGTTACTGAAAGACAGCGACAAAGCTTCGTTCAAACGTCAGCCTATACTTCTATCTTTAAAGGACAGTCTGCTGAGTGCCTATATGCTTTTCAAGGATCCTCTGTCACTTTGCGTGGACACATTTGTCATGTAAATAAAAGGCCTCCTCCTGTTGGAACAGGGACCTGCTTGGTTGCTCTCAGTGACGAAGCCGGCCCTGCTGGGGCTCGTCCAGGTCGGGTGCTCACACCTCTACCCCTCTCTCCCCTGACTCCAGCCTTCGACTTCTATCAGAGACGCCGCTTTGCCCTGGGGGACTCTGCACGAACATCTGCCCTTCTGCCGCCCAGCCCCTATGTGCCCCAGTGCGATGCGCTCGGAAGATGGGAGCCCGTGCAATGCTACGCCCGGACTGGTGAGGGGGCATGGATGCCCTTGGGAGGCCGAGTGACACCCCTGCTTTTCTCTTAGAGGAAAGGCCCCCACACAGGGGCAAGGGAGCGGGACTCTAGGCCCTTTGTTGGCGGCTGGTGGCAAATCTCTTAGTTTCTCTGGCCTGTACTTGCCTCATCTGCACAATGGGAGTCATGACCTTCTACCAGCCTGAAGGTCAACTGGGGGGTTGCTGGGGGGATGGAGGTGCTACAGCCCGTGATTGTGGACAGTTTCGGGCAAGGGGGACAGACGGGGATGGACAGGGACCTTGCTGGCACTGCTATGAATGCAAAGAAGGAAATGTGTTTGCGAGACACCCAGGGTCAAGTCCCCCACCCCGTGTGCTGCCTCAACATCCGGCCTATGGCTCTTTTCTAGGGCACTGCTGGTGTGTGGACGGGAAGGGAGAGTACGTCCCTGCCTCGCTGACTGCCCGCTCCCCACAGATGCCCCAGTGTAAGTGAAGCCCTCGGACTCTGCCGCCTGAGCCCGGTGGAGGGCACTCCAGGCTGGTGGCGCCAGCCGTTGTTACCCATCCACGGGGAAGCCCCGAGGTCAGCCCCCGAGTGTCGTTCAGACCAGCTCGGGGTCGGCCAGATCACACTTCCCAAGTCCCCAGGCCTGGAAGACTCTCACCGACCTTGGCGCTTCCCAATCTGTGCTCCTGGTTTCCTAGGGGACAGAGGCTGCTAGGAGGGGGTCCCCTACCCCACACACACCTGCTGCCTGGCCAGTTTCATCCCCTCTGCAGTTCAACAGCCATCTGGCACCTGTTCTACAGCCCAGCCTCTCTCCCGAGGCTCAGACCCATGGAATCAGCCACTGCCTTAACATCTCAAAGATGCTGCAACCCACATGGCTCTTTGTCCCTGAACCCAGCCCACTTCTCCTCTGAGGGTCCAGCTCTCTGTGCAGGCACCTCCGTCTACCAGATGCACAGCTCTGATGCTCAGGCCAGCCGGGCACCCCCAGCCAGTCTGTTAAGAGCCCCCCTATCTCTCCCACAGGCCCCACCACCTGCGAGAAATCTCGAGCCAGTGGGCTGCTTGCCAGCTGGAAACAGGCTGGATCCCAAGGAAACCCATCTCCAGAAGACCTATTCATCCCAACCTGCCTAGAGGTTAGGGTCGGAAGGCCCAGGAAGGGTGCGAGGAGGGAAGCCAGAACTTTCTCCCACAGGTGGAGGATGATTTGTCTAGTTTTCAATAAATTTGTTTTAGTTAAAAATGTGCAGGGAGTTCTAGGCCTGGGTTTTTGTCCTAGCCCTGGCTACCTAGGCTGTGTGACCTTGGGCAACTTACTTACCGTCTCTATGCTCCAGTTTGCTTTATTATTTATCCTAAGATTGGGTCACATTTTTACCCTGCCTAGTGCTAGGATTGTTTTTGAGGATTGTTTGAGCGAGTCAGAGCAGGTCCCAGAGGCCCTCTGATCATGGGGTTCCTATCCTGCCTCCTGTGGAGGACCAGGGGCCAGGGTACAGGACTCAAATCTTCTGCTGCCCAAATGGGATGGCAGTGCCTTTGACCCAGCTCCTCAGGAAAACTCAAGTTAGTGTCTAGAAAGTTCTCAATTTTAAACCTGTATCTCATAAAATTTTCTCAAATCTTTGCTTGGGTTTGAATCTTACCCATGTAGCTGACAAGCTGTGTGACCAGAGGCACATCACCTGCTTTCTCTGGGCCTCTCTGTGTATAACAGGGACAGTAGTGTCCTTCCCTCCCAGGGACTGGATGACACCCTGGGCGTGGGGGTGACTAGCACTGGGGGGACCTCATGGTTCTGTTCTCTGTCAATGTCAGGTGTTCTTATTATTATTGTCATTGCTTGTCTGTGAACACGGCACCGCAGAGTATAAAATGAACAGGTGACCAAGAAAAACTCAGGGAACGCTCGGCGACACGGGGAAGTGGGAGGCGGCTGCTTTTCTCCAGCACACCTGCTTGTTCTCATAGGTTTCTGTTAAGACGGAGGAGAGATGACACTTTCTACCACCCAGAGTTCCTAGAAGGAACGGGCTCAAGGAGCTATTCCACCTCTGTTTTTTCAGATGGGGAAACTGAGGCCCACAGAGTTGAAGGGGCTAGCCCAGTGTTCCCCAGCTGACCCAGGACAAGGGGGAGAGAGGGGCCCCGGCAGACACAGGGTTTGGGTAGCTGCCTCGGACTGTTTTCTTTATTCTCTGTTACAGGTGATGTGGACCCCTTTTTCCTAGGGATGGTTATTGAAATTTCTGGAATGGGGGCACTTGGTTCAGGAGGGCAGTGGGGCTTTGGGGCTGGGCGGGTTTAGGCCCCACCTATGTGATGTTGCTCTGTCACTTCCCCTCTCTGAGTGAGCCTCAGCCTCCCCACCCTGTAAAGGGATAGCTGTGGCCCCCATCTCCTAGGGTTGCTATAACCATCACTTCAAATATCGTATGGAAAGGGTCTGAAACGGAAGAGGGCCTCCCCCACCCTACTCCCCTCCACTTGGAGAAGCCATCACCAATGGTTTGGAAAGGGACCTTTTTGACATCTGCCCACCAATGTGGGCTGGAAAAGCATCTTCCTGGGGGGTGACATGACCTCGGCTTTGTCTCAGACAGGAGAGTTTGCCAGGCTGCAGGCGTCGGAGGCTGGCACCTGGTGTGTGGACCCGGCCACAGGAGAGGGCATGCCACCTGGCACAAACAGCACAGCCCAATGTGAGTGTCGCCCCCCACCATCCTCTCCCAGCCCCTCGCCATGAGCACTGTGCGTGGAGTCCCAAAAGCTGACTTCATGTTCCAGCTCTGCCGCTTCCAGAGCTGTGGGAGCCTCTGACCTCACTGTGCCTCAGTGTTCTCATCTGTAAAATGTGGCAATACCAGCATTGGTCCTTATGAAAGCAGGCAATGATGCTTTTGCGGGATGACCAGCTGTGCCCACTGATGCCACAACAGGTCCCTGCCTGGGCCCTCAGCTTCCAGCCTGGCCCTGCAGTCTGGTGGTTTCCACAGTGAAGTCGAGATGCGGTCCCTACAGTGCGAATGTGCTGATGGCCCTCTCCTCTGCCTGAAAACCCCTGACACCCGCCATGGTCCTCTGGGCCGGCCCGAGCTCCTTGCTGTGGCTCATGGCCCTTGTGCGTCTGGCTCTTGTGTCTTATGCTTCTCTTGTTCCTCCATGTCTCACACTTCAGGATCCGGGTTCATAAGCTACAGTCAGACTTTTCAGGAAGGCAGACACTCTCCTCCCGCTGGGCCTTCCCGTGTTCTGGTTTCCCGCCTGCAGCGCTCCCACCCTCGCTTCCCATCCCTGGCTCACTCTTGCTCAGACCACGTATCCGTCCCTCCAGGGAGTCTTGGCAGCCTCTGTCTTCCATACCTGAGTTCAGCACCTTCCTAGGGGCTCCTGAGCTGCCCGGAGCATCTCCTATTGTCGCCTTATCACTCTGAACTATAACTGCTCACTTCCTTGTCAAGTCTCCTTTAAGACTCTAAGCAACCTGAGAGCAGGCCACGTGTGTGTGTGTGTGCATGCTTGTGCGTGCAGCGGGGAGTACAGAGCTGAGCAAGGCACAGTCTTTCCCCTGTCCTAGCTTAACACCCCAGTGGGGAGGCAGCCCCAGACCCTGGAGGGCGTGCAGGTGGGTGGCGGCAGGTGGCAGCATGGGCTGTGGCAGCTATGCCAGCAACCCATCTGGCTTGTCTTCGTGTCCAGGCCTGAGCCGCTGTGAAGGGCTCCAGAGGGGAGACCCCTCCAGGAGAGCCAGCCCGGGCTACACCCCGGCCTGCAGGGCAGAGGACGGAGGCTTCTCCCCGGTGCAATGTGATCTGGACCAGGGCAGCTGCTGGTGTGTCCTGGGCAGCGGAGAGGAGGTGCCCGGGACCCATGTAGCCGGGAGCCAGCCGGCCTGTGAGAGTAAGTCGTGATTCCCTGGGCTGGTGATGGGGGGACCTCCCCATCTCTTCCTTTACCCAGGCCAGGGGGCACTCCAGAGGCCCTGGGATGGCGGGGGCTGGAGGGGAGGCAGGGGAAGAGCATGAGGGATGTGGTTGCAGTTGCGTCCCATGATGTCAAAACTTGTGCCTACTTCCTAAAAGTGCTCTGCCCCGGGGCTGCCACCAAGGGGAGTCTGCGCAGGGATCTCCCGAGCCGGCACCCCAGGAATATTTGCACTGGCCTGCTGAGGGGTTCCGGGTCTGGTCCCCCCATCCTCGAGTGAGGGGGAGGAGGGCCTGACAGCAGGATCTCGGTGGGGGTGGGTCCATCCCAGCTGGGGAGCTCCAGGCATCTGTGGACGTCGTTGATTTGCTTATTTTTATTTCTAGTTCAAAAAATTGTTTGGGTGTCAAATATTGAAATATGTATAATATGAATATATATTAGAATATTGAAATACATTCTTATATATTAAAATATATTATTTGATTATCAATTACTTACCTTTGATTTCTCCTATACACTCGAGTCACAGGGCATTGAGGTCGTCTTAAAATTTACATGAGCAAGCAGGTTAGACCAAGGGTGAATTCTGTTTCAGGATGGGAAATGAAGACATTGCAAAACATTTATTTCCAGGTGGGGTATTGAGTTGGTGGCGTTGAGGAATCTGCACACAATAATTCTGATTTTAGTGCAATTGCCTTTCTTTTGCTGTCCTGTTGTTTTATTTTTAAACTTTGAAGTTTCTAAGCAACAGTTTGGAAGTGCAGCCATGTTTAATTAGGTCTAGCGATTTATATGTGCAAAGAGGACTCTTTTGCGTTTGTAAATGTATATTCGTAAAGAGAAAGGGAGCCCTCAAAGGAAGGCTGGGGAGGAAGGGTGGCCCGCTCTCTTCCAGGCTCCTTCCCCTTTGCTTTGTCCCCTTTCCCACCTCTAACCTGTGCTGTGCCCCTGGCTCTCAGCACCCCCCTCTTCTCCCCAGCCCTGGTTCCCCCGCTCTGGGTGGCCTGCCTGCTTCAGGGCACCACCCCAACAGCTTCTCTCTGTGGCTCTCAGCAGCTGCCACCTCAGGGAACTTCGTGGGTGTGCGTGAGCCCTGCCATGTGCTTTGGAGAGAAGTGAAATGTCAGCCTTTGGGTCAGAAACAATCAAGTCAACTTCCCGGGCCTCTGAGAGGGGTCTGCAGGGTCTGGGGCCCAGGAAATGGAGTGATGTGTCCCCTCCAGTTTCAGGTCTGGGAGCCCAGTTCTTTTAAGTTTGGGGGGCCCTCTGCGGCTCGGCCCTACAGGATTCCATGAGAATGGCTCGCCTGTGCAGAGACTTACCGGTTAAAAGGTGCTTTTCACATCCCTTAACCACTTTTGCCTCTCAACCATGCAGGTAAACAGACAGAACCATCCTATCTGACCACTTTACAGATGGCAAAACTGGGGCTCACAGAGGTTCATGAACGTGTCCGAAGTCACACAGCCAGCAAGGGGAGCAACCAGCATTAACACGAGTCCCCCAAAAGCTCTTCCTCCTGACTTGCTGCAGAGTCTGGGGGAGAAAGCTCAGATGTGGGGCCAGACAGACAAACTTGAAGATCAACTCGGCCACTCTCTTGCTGGGTGACCTTGGGCTGGTCTCCTAACCTCTCTGGACCTCCATTTCCCAATCTGTGAAACAGCCATGGAGAATCGTAGCTATTTCTTAGAGTCATTGTTAGGATTGACTCCAATGGTCTCTGTAAACTCCTTAGCCTGCTGGCTCAGGGCCAGCGTCTGGCTCCCTATCTGCTACTGTAGAACTTTGGGCAGAAAAGTGCGCCTCTCCACTGTGGGATGAGGGTGACAACAGTCCTGCCCCTCAGAGTTGCTGTGAAGATGGAATCAGTTCACGGGAGGCGCTTGGTGCAGCCCTGGCCCACACGGAAAGAATCACGTGCACAAGTTCCCAAACCAGGCCGCTGGAGGCAGGAGCTGGTTTCCAGGCTAACCCCCGGCGTGTGTCCCCGGGCAGGCCTCTGAGCTCTCCGCACCTCCACCTTCCTCATCTCTAAAATGGCCATGATGAATCCCAGTGGGCACGACTCTGGAAGGACCACACGAGATTCAAGAGGCCGAGTGCCCTCTCCAGGACCGGCCCACTGTGGTGCTCGGTTAGCTGTGGTCTCCACACGTCCTCTTGTTGCCCTCGGCCCCTCCTCCCCTACGGCGGAGGCGGGTGGGTCAAACCATCACCAGGGTGTCAGTGCATTTCTGAGACACGGAACATGGAGGCTTTGGGAAAGCAGGTCTGCGGGAGGCTGAGACACTGGCGAGAGAAGGGTCAGCGTCCCAGAGGATGTCTTGGCCCCTCGCTGCTGAGTCTCGGCACTCACTGGCTCCCTGTCCACAAAGGCAGTGGAGGGAGCCCCAGGAGAGGAATCTATCCTGCGGGGTTAGAGGGCATCTGCATTTGTGGAGGGCTCTCCTGGTGTCCCAGGGGCTGCTCACACACACACTCATCGACACTCGCCTTTTACGCCTGTGTGCACGTACGCCTAGCACACTGATGGAGAACACGGATTCTGGGGCCACAATGACGAGGCTCGAACCCCGGTTTTGCCACATACTAGCTCTCTGGTCACAGGCAAGGTATTTACGCCTGGTGTGCCTCTGTATTGGCGTCCGTGAAGTGGGGTGATGGGACCTGCTCCATAGTGTTGTACGGAGAGTTACATCAGTTGATACTGGTAAAGCTGACAGTGTACCTGGCACACGCTGAGTGCCACGTACTTTAAAAACATAGTTTTAAAATAAAGGCTCCCACTTTAGAGATGTGTATTGGAGGCTGGGAGGGAAGCGTTTTCCCTGGTGTCCCACAGGAGGGACCAGAGTCAGGTCAAGCTGGGGGTCCTTCAGGTCCTTGGAGGGGCCCGGCTGAGTAGTCTCGAAGTCTGGAGGACGGAGGGATGGGCACCGGCTTGAGATGCCGGCAGGAGGCGCAAGGTCCAGTCTCTGCTCTGCCCCACAGGAGCATGGAACTTGGCCTCGTCAGCCTCAGTGGCCTTGCCTGCAAAATGGGGGCCTTGCTGGCTGCTCTCCGAAGGCCCTCGCAGGTCCTTGGCCCCTGGCCCCGGGCACACTCCCCATGTGAGAGCTCACAGACAAATGCGCTCTGGCTTTCCTGGGGGGCCCAGCACCCTCCTTCAGTACCCAGACCACCCTGGTGGCAGGATGTGCTGGGGATCTTTATTGCCATCCTGGAGGTGGGACATGGAGGCCACGCACAATCCCCTCCCCACACACGAGGCACTTGGTAAGAGCCAACTCAGTAAGACCACTGCAGATGACAGTGCCAAATCCTGGCCAGAGGCCATCATTCTTATTAGAAAGAAGCCCAGGCTGCACAAGAGAGGGGCATTCTCCCTCTCTGAGGCCCCCAAGCATCCCTCTCTTTGATCACACGTGGATTGTGGATTTTAAAGCCAGACAGACAGAGACAGCGAGGCTGTGCTAACTAAACCTCTGGTCGGGTGTGAATTGTCACACGGAGTGTGTCTGTTGTTTCATTTGCTCATTCACCCGTTTATTTAACACGTGTTCGTGGAGCTTGTGTCCTGGGTCAGCACCGTGCCTGGCTGACCCGGGGAAAGGTGCCCTCTTTCCCCCATGGTCTCTCTCCAGTGGGGAGACCAGGGTGTGGACAAGTAGCGTCCTGAGGAATTGGTGCCGTGGAGGCCCCCACCAGGCCTGAGAGCTGGGAGACACGAGACCCGGTCAGGCTGGGAGAACCATGGGGGGTGTAAGAAAGTTACAGGTGTTGAGTGGATATTCAAGGGCTGCAAAAGGAATCTTCTAGTCCAATGAGCAGGCAGAGGGAAGGACGGGGTATGTTCCGATAATGACGGCTGTGCTTTGAGGCAAAGGGGGCTGGAGGAGACGAGAGCAGAGAGAGAAAAGTCGGGTCAGCAGGCTCTCGGGGGAACCGAGAGCCCATGTGCAGCTTTGCTACAATTTCTTTGGTGTCAGTGGGGACTGGATTGGGCGTGGGAGGAGACAGGCAGGGGATGAGGCCCAAATGCAGGGAGCCTGGCGAGGAAGTTTCAATAGCAGCAGGAAAAAGATGATGAACATCTAAATGATGGAAGCGTAGTGGGAACAAAGAGAAGTTGAGAAGGTGTGAGCTGCTGATGCTGGGGCACAGGAGATGGACCGTCCAGGATGGCTGCCATGTTTCTCGCTTGGGATGACGGGTTGACTGGAGGGGCCATTCCTTGAGCTTGGTGCACGGACCAGGAGCAGACCTGGGCAGCAGAGGCTGAGTTCTAGACATGTTGGCTTTGAGGTGGAGAAGACCAGTTGGTAACTGGGTTCAGAGATGGGAAGTGGCTCAAGAGGGTCTGAGCTGGAGAGGAAGATTCGAGAGTCATCCGTGCTGAGCTGCCTGTTAAAACTGAGAGAGGATGGGCTCGTCCAAGAAGATGGGGGAGAGGGAGGGGGCAGGCCAAGGCCAGGACCCGAGGAGCACCCCCTCCCCCGGCATATCTGGGGGAGAGGAAGGGCCCGGCCCGACAGAGAAGGAGGAGCGGAAGGCGGGGGCGCGCAGCCCCCTGTGCTGGGCGGATGCTCATGGCTGCTCCTCTCTCCCTCTCCCAGGCCCACAGTGTCCACTGCCCTTCAATGTGTCGGAGGTGGCTGGTGGAGTGATCCTGTGTGAGCGAGCCTCAGGAGAGGCCACCGTCCAGCGGTGCCAGCTGCTGTGTCGCTGGGGATACCGGAGCGCTTTCCCACCAGGGCCACTGGTGTGCAGCCCCCAGCGGAGGCTCTGGGTGTCACAGCCACCTCAGCCCCGGGCCTGCCAGCGTGAGTGGCCTCTGGAATGTCTGCCCAGCTCCCTGCTCCCTCTCAGGGCTCAGGGCCAAGGACTTTCATTTTCCCTATCCCAGTGTAGTGTTTCCACAGTACGATGGGGGGCATCGAGAGCAGGAGAGAGGGCCCCAGGGAGCATTTTCTTCAGCAGATGTGCCTCACAGACCCCTTTGTGGCTTCTCTGGAGCCCTCCACCCTCAGGAGCACTGCCATCATTTTGGGCTCTCCCGGGATGTCTTGGACTCAGGACGGTATTCAGGAGGGCGGTGCTCCGATGGCCGTATTGGTTGCTATGGTGGTGACGAGCTCCGAGCTGCTTGTCTGGCCTCTGAGAGTGACACTGACTCACCAGCCTCTCCTGGGGGTCCATCTGGAGCTCCAGGGCCAATGCCTGGCAGAGCAGGGCCTGGACCCCAGCTGGGGGGCATCAGTTCTGATGGCGGTGGGCCTATGCCCTGTTTGAATATCAGCAGAGCTCCTTTCTCCCTGCTGAACCTGCTTTCATGTGCACATGGCTGTGAGGCAGCCCCGGGCTCTGACTGCATCTGCCTTGGCAAGGGCTGGCCGTGGTTACTCACAGCCTGGCGGGGCAGTGGCAGACACTGGGACCTGGCACTGGGTCCACCCAGGGCAGTGGGTGGGGTGTCTCGGAGGGAGACCCAGATCCTGAGACTGACTGTCACAAGCCTCCCGGTGGCTGGCACAGTGTCAAAGGATGGCATTTATTGCAAAGCATTCTGGCATAGAGAATGATATCCAGAAAAAGTTCAAAATATGATTTGGACAAATAAGTGGCCTGTCCCCCTGACTAGGACAAAGTGGCCTAAGCTCAAATCAAGACCAGGCTGGTCATGAATGGATCTAGAGCAAGCGACTTGGGAAAAGAGAGGCATAGGTCTTAAGCTCCCAAAGTTGAATATAGGGCTGCTGTGTACGATTGTGCAGATTGTGCACTGAACAACCTCAGAGTATGTCTTTCACATAGTCTGTGGTATCTACTCTTAACTAGCGAAACCATATGGAGTGACCCCGTTTGAATGCAAGGGAGTATGAACGATTTTCCAAGAAGAATGTCCAGGAACCCCGAAATGGAAAGCAGCCTGGTTTAGAGGCTGAGGTGGGACTGAGCTTGCTGTGGGGCTGCTAAGCAATTTCCGAGACAAGCCAGCATGCTAGGAAGTATTTAGACTCTGAGGATGACGATGCAAGAGGGCAGCGCTTGTGTGATCCAAGCTAAATGAAGGAGGGTTATTTTTGCAGAGGAAAAGCCAAGCAAAGGAAAGGAAAGAAAGGCACCATTCTGTCGCCTGTGTTTGCTGACCTCTGGCGCTTGCCTGCAGGGCCCCAGCTGTGGCAGACCCTCCAGACCGGAGCGCAGATCCAGCTGCAGCTCCCGCCCGGCTCGCTGTGCAGGGCCGACGACGCGGGTTTGCTGCCGGTTTTCCAGGGCTTCATATTAGACGAGCTCATGGCACGTGGCTTCTGCCAGATCCAGGTAGGTACCCTTCCTTGCTTGCGAGGGCTTGGGGGGAGCTCAGGGTCACCACGTCAGAGAACCTCAGGGCTCAAATGAACCTGAGGTCAACCCTCGCTCATTTTACCAGTGGGTAATCGGAGGCCCAGAATAAGAAAGAAATTCAGCCAAGGCTAATTGGGTAGCAGCAGAGGTGGAATCCATACCCATCGTATCATTGGCCGTTCCTTCTGCAGAAAGATGTCAAACCAAACACGTGCTGAGTGCTTATTATGGGCAGGCACGGTGCTTCCCTTGGCTTGGGTTGGCTAATGCAATCCTCACAGGGACCCCATCATTATGACCATTTTGTAAATGAGAGGAGTGGAGACTAGAGAGTTCAAACATGGCCGGAGTCACAGCTGGGAAATGGTAGAGCCAGGAGGACTGACGTGAGGACAGAGCTGTGATCACCATGTGAGACTGCCACCACGCGTGGAAACAGAGGCTGGGAACGTGGGGCAGGGAGGCTGAGCCGCTGGGATGCACTCTCTGAAGCACGGTGCCAGACGTGGTCCTTAACAAACCTGCGAGCAGGCATCATGGGTCCTCTCTGGGAAAAAAGTAGTGCATGCCAACTGGAAAGAGGTCGTGCCATAAATATGAATATCTGAGTTTTTAGCTGTCTAATAGGCAAGGGCTTTGGTGATTGGAAGTCACGAATATTTGCAGACGGAGTCTTAAAAAGTCACTCAATTAATTAAGTCCTTATTCCACTCAAAGTTTGCTAACTCATCAAGCAACTCATTTTTAACACCTCATGCTGAGAATTTTGCAGTGCACACAGTTTCACAAGACCAAATACAGAGTATTGATTCTAAAACAAATGGGAACATGTATCGCCCCCTCTTATCCAAAGAAATGCACTTGACAACAATGTCAGCATTATCTACTGATTACTGAGCACTGGTCGTGTTCTGGCGCCCTGCTACAGTTCTGCATTCCTCATCTCTGATTGTGAGGGCACCTTGTGAAACCCATCTGCGTTTGCTGACTGGCACTTAGAGAGGTTAGGGTCCCGGTGTCCCCTGGAGGCCAGGTCTCCAGGTGTTGGCAGAAGACAGAGTCAGTTCTCTTGGCAGCCTTGAGTTGAAGGGCACTGAGTCCCCCTAGGGATGTGGCCCTGAGCTGTTAGAAACTGTGTTGATGCCTCGTCAAGTCTTTGTAGACCACAGTTGAGGCCTAGTAGAGAAGAGGGCTCAGAGGCACCTGGCAGAGGTTGGTCAAGGAGCGCGTCTTTGTCAGGACCCAACAGCGAAGGAGATCACCGCTCTGCCCTCAGGGACTCCCAGTCTAGGGGCGTTGGCAGGAAACACATATGTGCCAGGCAATGGTAAGTGCCCAGAAGAGAGAAAAAGCCAGGTGGAGTGTTGGCGAGGGATGGCGGCCAATGGGAGTGACTTTAGATGGCATGGCCAGTGACAGCCCTTCCAGGAGGAGGCGTTTGAGGGGGCCTGAGGGAGGTGAGGCTGAGGGCCTTGTGACTATCTGGAAGAGATGTGAAGGTCGGGGCTCCTTCGGTGGGAACCTACTGGGCGTGATCCATGAAATCAAGGAGGCCGGTGTGGCTGGGGCAGCCGTGAGGGAGCTGTGGGAGGTGTGTGCCCATCCCGCAGGGCTTGTTGGCTGTGCCCAGGACAGTGGGTTTTAGTGGGCACATGACGGAAAGCCCCCAGGCACTGAGGTTGAGAGACTGACATGATTGACGTGGGTTTTAAAGTTTAATCTGCTGCTGTATGGAGAATGGACTTCTGGGGGCAAGGGTCGGAATGGGGAGTCGAGGTGAGGGTGGCTCTGGGCTTTGGTGGTGCAGAGAGTGAGAAGCAGAAGGGCTTGTGACATATTGGGACGGGAGAACCCACAGGATGCAGTAGTCAATAATGTGGCGTAGGGAAAGAGAACATCAGGGATGACTAAGGTTTTGGCTTGAGGGCTGGGTGAAGGCATGGTGCTGCCATTTACTGGGAAGAGGAAATTAAACCTCACAGTGTGAGGGGTGTAACCTTCCAGAATCCCCAGAGCTGAGAGCTGAGGATCGTGCTAAAGATAGATGGGTCAGAGGGCAGCCTGGGCAGGGGCCCGGTGGTGGGGGCTTCCAGGAAGAGGTGTCAGGTGTGATCATGAGACAGAGAACCTCTAAGGCCAGGAGTGGGTCTTATTCTTTAGAAGTTGGAAATGATACACAGCCTTCAAGTCAGATGCATCTGGCGTCAGTCTTGGCTCCACCACTTCCTACCGGCATTCCCTGGGCCTTTCCAGCCTTGCTGAGCCTCTCATCGGTCATCTGTGAAATGGGACCAGTAGCAGCTACCCTGGAGGGTCGGATTCAGTGAAATAACATGTGCCTCCAAAGCCCTTGCTCTTACTCTCTGCCTAGAGGCTAAGATCTTAGGTTCTGCGATTGGCAGGGGTTTGAATCCTTGCTCCGCTGTTTATTGGCTGTGTGATCCTTGGCGATTCCTCAGCCTCTCTGAGGCTAATTCCCCATGCGTAATGTGGGGTAATGATAGTTCCGACTCTACGCATTTGTTTTGGAGACTAAACCAGCTGCTGTGTTCAAAGCATTTCACGTGGGGCCAGACTACTGGAGAATGTTCAAAACTTGTGCCATATTGCCTTCTAAGGAGGCTGGGTGCCCGCGCAGCAGGTTCTCCTCCGTGTCACGCATGAGCACCCACAGCCACTTGCTCACCTTCATCCTGGGCGCAGCATGGAAGGTGGCACATCTTCAGTGCTTGGTGCCGGTCTGTGGCAGGACTGTCATGTTGAATGACGTCCTGAATCACAGGCTGCATGTGCAGCCCAGGGCCTGCTTCCGAGGGTCCTGAAGAAGGCGGGTGAGGTCTTCTGCCAAAGGCTGAGGGCCAGGGCCAGATCGACTCTGGATGGCAGATCGGTGACAGGTGCCTTTACTTTCCCTCGAAGAACCCTCCCCTCAGGGTCCCAGAGCCCTCCTTCACCTCTAGACACCCACGTTTAGATACACTAACGTCCCTGGGGCTCGGTGCAGACTCTCTTGGGACGTTCCCTTTTGAAAGGCCATGACGTGAAGAGGGCAAGGTGAAGCTTGTGTTCAACCCCAGACCCGTGCCCAGCACTGTCCTCGGGCCAACCAGGCCGCATCACCATCCACCCGCCCACCCTGACTCACGGGAGCCTTGGAGTCAGATGTTCAGTGACCACTGACAGTGGCCACACTCAGGTTGGAGGGAGAAACCAGGCTGTGTCGCCACGATGGGAGAGCCGGCGGGTGCGTCCTCTAAGAAAGAGGGTCGTGTCCTGCTGGATGGACGTGTTGTGAGGACATCTGCAGAGTCAACTGGAGTCGTTTCACTAATGAAACATGGTGCCATGAGCTAGGAGCGTCTGGGCTTTCAATGCACAGAGCTCGGCTCCTCCTCCTCTTATGTTCCCTGAACCTGGAGCCTCGTTTCCCACAGGTGGGGAAAGGGGCTTAGTAAGGCCTTGCCCTCCCACTTAGGGGTGAAGGAGGGTTAAAGGAAACACCACAAGCCAAGTTCTGGCACCTGGGCTGGGCGCCATCCGGTTGGCTCCCTGCTCTGTGTTCTTGCCCTGAAGGTTTCTGTCTCCGTGTAGGTGAAGACTTATGGGACCCCCGTTTCCATTCCTGTCTGCAACGACTCCACGGTGCGGGTGGAGTGTCTGACCCAGGAGCGTGTAGGAGTGAATGTCACGTGGAAATTGCGGCTGGAGGATGTCCCACCGGCCTCTCTTCCTGATTTGCGGGACGTTGGTATGTTTTCTTGCACGGCTGCCTTGAAGAAGCTGTGCAGCCTCTCCGAGTCTCAGTTTCCCCCTCTGTCAAATGGACCTGGTGAGGCCCATAATGCCTTCCCATGAGGATCTGGTGAGAGAATTACGTACCTGGCCCACGGGAGGAGCTAATTATTAGAAATCAATAGAGTTCTGATCAATAGCTTACTAGAGTTAAACAACGGCACCTGATGGTGCCTTTATGAACATTTTTTAATTCTTCGCTTGATTTTCTGGGCACAGAGAGGGGAGACACAACAGTTGTGAAGGAGGGGAGAGTGGGGGAGGAGGGGATGGCATCTCAATGAGCTTGTCATTTATGTCCAGCCCACTTCCGATTACAAAACGTCATAGACCACTTACACTATGTATACCCGTTATTACGCTACTTAAAACAGGGCAGTTATGGTGTGGGTGAACCGAGAGAGTAGAAAGATACAAGAAGGAGGAGCAGAGCGGAGTTGATGATAGCTCCTATGCGCCAGGGTAGGATATAATCCATATATTTCTGACCAGAGGATGGGGAGCAACTCCGCTTTCTCATCTGCCACCCAGCGACCAAATGCCTGGGGTCAGGACTGGCTGGAGCTTGACCTCTGCTCTCTGAGGGGGAACTTCTGGAAAACGTAGGCAGAGTATAACCCAGAGGGCACGGGCACGCTGCGTCTCTGCCGTCTCACAGTTCTCATGGCAAGAATAAACTCCATGGCGTTATGAATTAGGGGGTCCCTTTTCATGTTTCTCCAGAAAGAACCTGGATAATTTGGGTATGGTTGAAGCTGCAAAAGGATGACCTGTTTATTCCTGGCATCAGCGGCGAGGACTGTGTTTTCAGGCCTCGGGCTGGCTTTACCTGTTGTGGTAGGAATGTTCGCTGCATGCTGGGATCCATCCTAGCTCCAGGTGTGGTGCCCATCTGGTTTCTGCCCAGGAAATACATACAGTTTGACAGCTGGAGGCCTCCTCGACATTCAGCTAAACACTGAGGCAGAAGGCACCATTGCCTCTTGGAGGCCCCATCACAGCTTCTCCCTTATAATCCTCACCAACCACAAGAGAGGCATTGACAGCCCCATTTTGCAGATGGGGAAACCTTGCCAAAGGTTGAGACAGTTGAGTGTCTAGATAGTGCACCTTAGATTGTGACTGAAAACATGATCTCCTTACCAATGGGATCATACTGATGCCGCGGAAATGACAGGAGCCAGAGGCCTGGGTTACAATCCTACTTGTGCTTCTGGCTCCTATGTGAGCTTGGGCCAGTCAATCCCCTTCTCTGTCCTCAGTTTTCCCTTCTGTAAGATGAGACACCGGGTAATGCTTACGTCTCCTTTCGGCATGCACATTCTAGGCGCTTCTGCCGCTTGATCCTCCCTTGCCTTTGAACGATGGGGTGACTCTCCTTCTTCATTCTGTGTCTTACAGAGGAGGCCTTAGTGGGCAAGAATCTCATCAGACGCTTTGCAGATCTGATCCAAAGTGGAGCATTCCGGCTTCATTTGGATTCCAAGACGTTTCCAGTAGACACCTCCATACGCTTCATCCAAGGGGCCAGCTTTGGCACCTCTCCCAGGACGTGGTTTGGGTGCTTGGAAGGATTCCACCAAGTCTCGGCCACAAGCAGCGCCGGTCAGGACCCGCTGGGGTGCGGTAGGTCCATGCCCTCTCCCTGGATAGCTGTTACTGAGCCGTGTGAGGCTGCGGGAAAGGCCAGCAGAGCTCTGGAGGGAGGTTACTCTGCACATACGAGTGGAGAATCATTCATCTATTTATTCAACAAGAGTTTTTCAATCATCCATTATGCGTGGGCATATAGTCACCAACCATCACGTAATAACTGAAACTAGAGGCACAGATGGCGTGACTGAAGGAAGAACCCTGACGTTTGAAGTTTTCCTTCTTAGCTCTTGACCAGCTTGGACCCTGGGGCCTGGGCTGCCCTGTCTTGGTGGGGAAGGCTGATCCCTACCCTGTGTGCTCCGTGATATCTTAGTCTGGTTATGGGAATACGTGACTTCCCATGGTCTCTAAGCGGCCATTGGCCAGCCCAGGACTTTACGACTCAGTGGAAGTGGTGGGGGTTTCCTGGGGTTGTTCTTGTCCTTACACCTAAGTGGCTTTGGAAATTGTTTTCACCAGGACGCAGCTGCAAATTCCTTGAATGGAAGCTGTATGAGTCTCCTGCTGTTACCATAACAACTCACAACAAATTTAATGGCTTCAAACAACACACGTTTATTATCTTACAGTTCTGTAGCTTTGAGTTCTGACACGGGTCTCCCTGGGCTAAAGGTGTGAGCAGGGCTGCCTCCTTACCTGAGACCCTAGGTGAGAATCTATTTCCTTGACTTTTCCAGCTTCTAGAGGTTGCCCACATTTCTTGGCTTGTGGCTTCCTACCTTCATCTTCGAAGCCAGCAATGTTGTGCTCTCTGACCCTTCTTCTGTAGTCACAGCTCCCTTGGACTCTTCATTTCTAAGGACCCTTGTGATTACACATAGCTGGGTAATCCAGGACGTCCTCCCTAGCTTAAGATCTGTTGATGAGGACCTTAATTCCATCTGCAACCTTCCTTTCCCTTTGCGGTATAGCCTAACATATTCACAAGTTCCAAGATCAGGACCTGGGCATCTTTGAGGGCCGTTGTTCTGTCTACTATCCAAACTTCCAGGGTCTCGTTGATGAGACCCTTCCTCCCATGTGGCAAGGGACAGAGAGGCACTTTGGTCGAGCTGAAGAGAGAGATGTTTTTCAATTATTTACTTTTCCATTATTTATATTGGTCGCAACACAGAGGCTACATGGCCTTTCCTTTTGTGAAATCCATGCCAACTTCTAAACTCCACCCTGGATTTAAGATGTAGCTAAATCTTAACACAGAAACCAGAAATACAACCACTTCCCACTAATATTTATAGAGGATTTTGCCGTTTCCAAGGTACCTTCACAAATATTTAACCCTCACAATAGCCCCAGTGGCAGGTGATTTCCCCATTTGACAGATGAAGAGATTGAGGCTCAGATGAAATGAGATCACGCATGTGTGGTGGCCAGAGCAGGGCTGACTCAAAGGAGGGACTCAGTTCATGAAACCAATGATCTGTGGATGAGTAACCACAGGTCCTCTGGGACCAGAGTTCATGGTCTTTCCACCTCACCAGAGCTGCCCAAACACAGAGGACAAGCAGCGGGAGCAGGAGCGGATGGTGCCACCTGCCCGGGTGGGTGAAAGAGGGTTACAGCGATGGAGGTGTGTGGAACACCTGCCTGTGTTCTCAGACTTACTGTGAAGAGCCCCGGCCTCCACTGCCAAAGACTCTGAATTAGTAGGGGTGTGTGTGCATGCCCACGTGTGTGTATACACACACATGTGTGTGAGTATTGGGGGGAGTGGAAGCCAGGAACCTGTTTTTGTAGTCACCCTGGGTATTGCTGATAAGGGGGTCTGGGAGGCCCATTTGGAGGCTCATGACCTCGAGTGCACACTCTGGAGCCTGGAGCCAAGAGGTGGAGTGGCAGGAGATGGAGCAAGGTACTGGTCAGGGGCCAGGTCGGAGAACCTGTGTTGACTGTGAGCCTTCCAGCAAGTCCTGGTCCCTCTCAGGGCCCCAAAGCCTGCACGTAAAATAAAGAGTCTGGATTGAGAATCCGATCCTCAAATTCCTTCTGGAGAACTCCACTGATTATTAGATTATCATTTCCTGTCTACCAGGACTGGGAGCCTAGCTCAACTGGGAGGTGGGAGGGGAAGTCTGAGCTAGGAGGTAGACAGTCTTGCCCGAAGGATGTAAACCAGTGGGGGCACAGGGAATCAGAGCCTGGCCTCAGGGTGACAGGGCTTCAGAGAGAGAGCGGGAGCCACAGGGCGGGGCCCAGGGAAGGGGCTGAATGAAAGGATTTGCCCGGGGCACACTTGCTCCAGAACAGGAGTTGGCAACCTTTCTCTGTAAAGGGCTGGACGGCAAGTATTTTAGTCTTTTAGAGCAAATATTTGCAGCCCATACGGTTTTTGTCTTAATGACTCAACTCATCCATCGTAGAGAGAAAAATGTGTCTGTGTACCAATCAAACTGTATTTCCCAAGCACAGCGTGAGTTGAATTTGGCCCTCAGGCTGTAGTTTGCCAATCCCAGATCTAGGTAAACCTACGTTCTGTTTGTCAACTGATGCAGCCTTTAACTGACTCTCAAAGATGGTCAATCACACCATTCAGCCTTCCTCCCTTCCTCCAAATGGTTAGAAAGGTCTAGAATGGAATTCACAAAAGCAGCGCTGAAAGCCCTGGATTTCTCCGGTTTCAGTGATCACATCTATTGATTATTGAGTTTCTGATATGTGCTGGGCCTTGTAGCAGTTCTCTGATCCAGAGAGACAGGTATTACTAACTCAGGGAAGGGCTGAGGCAGCCAGGGGCAGAGTGGAGAGTGTCAGGAAACTGCTCTCTGAAGTCAGGCAGACCTGGGTTCAAGTCCTGGCTGCAACACCTTCTAAATGTGGGTTCTCCGGACATTGCCTATCCTCACCAGGCATGATCTGAGAAACAGGGATAATAACATTTGTTTCATGGAGGTTGTGGCTTGGCTAGCATAATATAATCGATAGGAGGCACATCCCACAGCACAGAGTGAACTCAACAAATGGTTTTGCCAGTTGGCCATGATGAGATTTACTCTCAGCTCTACTGATTTCAAATTCTTTGTTTTGTCCTCTGCATCACACGTTTCTCCCCTCAACAGGGGGTTCTTAGTGGAACCATTCCCTTGGCTTCTGGTATCCTTATTGGCTCATTTCTTTCTGAAGCCCATCTAGAAAACAGCTGTGAGGCTACAAGCGGAGCATTGTCCCGTGGAGATGAAGCAGGGTTTCTGTGTGGCATCTCAGGGGGCTAACCAGGATGATGCCCTTGGAGAGCAGTGACTCTGGGAGACCAGTGGGAATATCCACCTCTGATGACTCCGTAGACATGGCCACCTTTATCCAGGGAACGGACCCTGTAGTGGGTGGCGGCTTTGTTTACAGGTCTGATGGGGTTGGTTACCTTCACCCTCTTGTCTCAAGCCCAGCCATATGGCTTCCCCTCAGAATTATCTGCTGGCAGCCTTCATACCAGGCAGACTTCCCCTTAATTCTCCATTAAGAAGAATCCCAGAGAAATTGCCAGGATTTTCCATTTTCTATTCTGGACAACATTAACTTTCATTCATTCGCTACCAGTTCATAAGCTATTCTCTATGGATTTTTTCCAAAGTAATATGTTATGTCTTGTTTTCTCCTTGTTCCTTCTTTCCTTCTTTCCATCCGTGCATCCATCCAAGCTTTCAAAATATAATTATGTGTCAAACACCATGTTACAGACTCAGGGAAGCAAAAGTCCCAGCTCCACTTTCAGGGAGCTCACAGCCTCGTTGAGGAGAGGTAAGGGGAAAGACAGTTAAAATGTCATGTGAAAAAGGCTGTTCCATCCCAGGCAGGGCCGTCAGGGGAGGCTTGCTGGGGTGGCAGAGGCTGGCAGGGAGTCTTGAAAAGTGAGTCAGAATTGCTGCTCAGACAAGAGCAGACAAGAAGTGATACGCGTGTGCCTGTGTGTGTGTGTGTATGTGTGGGAGCACCTATGTTGAGGATGCTAAAGTAATGAGGGACATTCCAGAAATGGAGAGTCATGAAGTGGTGTAGCTTTATGGGGCCAGTGCACAGGGTTTATATGGCTGGAGAAAGGGCCCTGTGGTGAATGTGGCAGGAGATGGGGAGAGAGAGATAGGCAGGGAGCAGAGTGGGAGAGGCCTCGTTCCTGCCTCAGGCATGGGAGGGGGCTTGGCCGGGTCGGGCACCATGGGAGAATTTTAAGTTGGAGAGTGACAGGGCCAGGTGTGGGGCCGACTGAAGCAGGCTAAGGAAGGAAAGGATTCCTTATGTTATGCCTCCTCACAGATATTTTTCTTCAGTGGAAACATGGCCGCCATTATTGGGCACCATGGGAACCGTTTGGCTCGAGGAAAGCATAACCTTGCAGCTTTGTGAAACTCGCAACCTCAAATAGGCCCAGTTGTCTCATTTTAAGAAGGAAGAAACTGAGCCAAAGGGGTTTTCCAGTGATATTCTTGGAGAGATAATTGAAGGATAAGCACCCAGTTGTTGCAGTGGACTTAAGCGTCTTTGAGACCCACTTGTGGGGGAAGGGTGATAAAGATTGAGCCGCCACTTCATTCTGGCTTACTCAAACGTTGCTTTGCGTGGAAAAGACTCTTGATGTCAAAGACGGAGAGAAACAGAGCACACCTTCCTTGAGCATGGTCTAGAGGCCGGAACTTAGCGAGCTTATTGCAAAAGTTCGTTCCCAGCTCTCCTCTTTGTGCCCTGTCGCCTGGGCCCGGGGTGTGGAGGAAGGGCCCCTCGAGCTGGCTGAAAGGTTTTGTTTTCCTTTAGCAATGAATCTGGAGACCGCTTGAAAAAATAGTCACTGTACTGGGGTTAAAATACTAGAGATGATCAACAACCTGACTCATAGAAGTAATGAAACTCCTCTCGCTGTGGGAGGATATTAATTGCTCGAGGCAGACCGGAAAACACGTCTTTCAGTTTCCAAGATGTGTTTTGAGTTTCTGATTTACTCACAGATGCCATGTATCTATGCAGTCTAGAGATAGCAGTTGTTAAATCAAGACTGGCTCCACTCTGGCACGTCCCACACGTTTGTGCTTATGTCTTTGTCAAAGGAAGGTGCTTGAGTTGGTGGATGGAGAAAAGGCTTTGGTTAGGAGAGAATGGAGCTCAAATCCCACCTCTGTCACCATGCCGCCTGGTCAGCCTTGATCTTGAACGTCAGTTTTCTCCAGTTTAGAATGGGGACGACTATTTTCTCATAGGGGTGTGAGATAGCACATTGAAACTCCTGGCACTGTGCTTGGCATTTCCTGTAATTTTACTTGCCACTGCCCTTTGCAGAAAAGCATGCTAAGGGGTCATGCATGGATGCCTGGAGGCTCAGCTTTCTCATCCGTCAGATGGGGATACAACACTAACTCCTGGGCATGCTGTGTAATGTGCATGATGTGCCCAGCAGAGCACCAGGCACATGGAAAGTGCTCCCAAGAGTGGGCAAGCTTTCAGGTGCCATCTTCACCGGGTCACAGCTCACTGCTTCTGGAAGTTACTTGGCAAACTCTCAGGAACACAACCCTGACCCAAGAAAGAAAGCACAAGGGCCCTCTTCCTCCCACCCCTTCTCTGAGCCATCAGAACCAGCACGGCCCAGTTCACGTGCTTTCCTCAGGGCAGAGCTCTCGGACCCGGACTTAGAACTCTTAGGAGATATGCGTCTCCCCAGTTTGAGTTTCTGGTTTCTCAGCCCATGTCATGTTAGAGGAAGCCAATCAGGAGGGATGGAGTGTTAGAATCAGAAGGGCAGAGCGCTGGCAATCTGCACATGTGCAGGGTAAGCGCGGGGGCAAAGAATGAGGCGAGGGAGGCAACCAGGATGTTATTGCAAGACAGAAGGCTGTCCTCACTCTCGGGGTCACACTTGGTATTTCTGAGTAAATCAGAAACCCAACAGCCTGACAGTGAGGGCCTATAAATCCTGTGCTCTTGGCGTCTCTCTCACCTCACCCTGGTCCCAGGTCTCAGCAACGCCATTAATGCCCAACCAACAGGGAGAGGCCGCATGAGTCAAGTGAGATGGTGCTGAATTGTTGAAATTGCCCGCAGAGAGGGGCCACCCTGTTTGGACAGAGTGGATGTTGAGGTTGGCTACAAGGAAGGATTCCCTCAAGTGTAAAAATAATGACCATTTGTTGAGCACGTATGAGTCGCGTTATGATATGTGCTTTCTGTACAGCATCACTACACTCCAGTGAGATAGTATCATTAATCCCTGTTTTACAGAGGAGAAAATGGAGCCTCAGAGAAGTCCAAAGTCATTTAGGTATAGTGAGGAGACTGACTTTACCCAATCTGTCTGACCTCAAAGTTTTCACCCCCGCACTGTGCTCTGCCACGTCCCTAGCTGTGGGAGGTGTCCTTATGGTGACCTGTGGATGGACCCTCCTCTTTCACGTTGTTCTCCAACCTCACCTCATGCCAGTCTCTCTTTTGTCTGCTCAGCTGTAGCTTCGTAGCTAGCTGTGTTTGGCTTTTTTCTTTCCATTCCTTGAATAATTCAAACTCACTCCTACCTCAGGATTTTGCACTTGCTGTGCCCTCTGCCTGGAATTCTCTCCTCCTAGGTCTTTGCCTGGGGTACTCCTCATCGTTCAAGTCTCAAGCATCACCTCTCCGAAGGGCCTTCCTCATCAACTTGCCCTCCTCATCTGCTTCATCTTCTCCACATCTGAAATTCTTGTCTGACACCCTGTCATCCTGCTAGCGTGCCAGCTCCTGGAGAGCAGGAACCTTGTCTACTTTCCTCACAGCTTATCCTTGGTTCTTAGAGCCTGACGCACAGCGGATTCTCAATGGGTGTTTGTTCACAGGATGAACTCTTGAACTAATTTCAGGATTTCACATGCCCTGTGTGTCGTGAGGTTGTAACTGTAAAAGGGTCTTGTCTTTAACACCACCCCTCTGTTTACCTTTTCTAGTTCAGTGTCCTGAAGGAAGCTATTTTCAGGATGAGCGATGTATTCCCTGTCCCGTTGGATTCTACCAAGAACGGGCAGGTGGCTTGGCCTGTGACCCCTGTCCTCTGGGAAGAACAACTCTTTCTGCGGGAGCCTTCAGCCAGACTCACTGTAAGTTCTCCAGGGTCCTGCTTTGAAAGAGAAACTCTGCAATGTGACAAAGACACAGCCGGGTGTCTCAACCTCAGCACTATGGAAATTTGGGGATAGATAATTCTTCCTTTTGGGGGGCTGTCCCATGCATGGCAGGATGTTTATTTAGCAGCATCCCTGGCCCTTACCTATCAGAAGCCAGGAGCATGCCCCCACCGCCAGGCTGTGATAACTAAACACGTCTCCAGACATTGCCAAGTGTCTCTTGGATGGGGGGTAAAATTGTCCCCCATTGAGAACCATTGAATACACAGCATAATAGTCAAAGGGGCCCATTTGTGAATGTCAATACCCTGTCCTGGTCTAGCTCACACATTTTACCTGTGTAGTCTAATTCTATCTTCCCAGCTCCCCTTCTGGGTAAATATTATTGGCACAGCTTTACAGATCAGAAGGTTATGTCTCAGATAAGTAATTTAGCTAACGTCACTCAGCTAGTAAGTGACATAGCTGGCCTTTGATCTTGGTATTGTCTGATTCTGAAACTTCCGATTTTTGTAACTCAGCCTTATCAGATTGAAAAGTGGAAGACATTTTCCACCTACAGTCATCGCCGCCGTGTAGCTCATATTCCCGTGCTGGCCCTGTGCATTTGTAAGGACTGTGTGTACCTGTGGCCTTCCCATATGTCATGTGATTTCCCTTGGCCTCGTTACTTAGTAGTCACCCGGGTACTGTCGGGTTTTTCCTAACAGGGACCCAGAACTTGCCTTGTTGCGCATCTTTTCATGTTAGTCTGAAAATATGTCAACATGAGGCAAACCACTATTGCTTAAAATCTGAATAGTGTTTAGAATTTTAAAGTAATCAAAAGAGATCAAGTCACCGTCTCTGACCAGGGCAGTTTCCTTCATCAGGAGAGCAGTGGTAAAAAGGCAGAAATTTCAAGAAAATAGAAGGAAGGTATATTCTGGGCTGGAGTCTGACATTCCTCCTGGAGAAGAATCTCTTCCCCAGGAACACAGAGTGTCCTTGACATGTGGGCATCACCTCCAGTTTGCACACGTTGACTCCAGTCACTGTCATTTGAGATGACTTGAACGCTATCACACTGCCAGTGGAAATGCTTTCTTAGAAGGGGATCGATGCGATGCATGGATCCTTGTTTATGGAGGGGAGCTGGAGAAATGGCAGGGAACAGAGGACGAGGCTGAGGCTCGTCGGCACCAGCCAGACCCATTTCCATCCCCGCTCTCCCTCCTACTGGTAATGTGACCTAGGCCAAGTCACCTTCCTTCTCTGAAGTCAACTTCCTCATCTATTAGATGGGACTGAGGATACCTCTCTCCTAGGGTGGTTATAAAGCGTGTCTTAGTCAGTTTGGGCTGCTGTCTACAAATTACCATAGGCTGAGTGGCTTCAACAACAAATGTTTATTTCTCACAGTCTGGAGGTCCAAGATCAGGGTGCCAGCATGGTCAGGCTCTCGATGAGGGACTGCTTTCTGGTTATGTCCTCAGGGGACGTAGTGATGGCCCAACAGCAAGCCTGGACATCGTCCTTTGGTCAGGTGACGAGTTTTAAACTAGAGAGTGTCTGGCTCAGACATGTGACTTGGACGTCTGATCAACAACCGAGAGCCTCAAAGTCGGAAGGGGAGGGGATCCCTGAGGCACATCCTTGATTCTTGTGTCCATCTCTTGGTCCCAGGCGTCACTGACTGTCAGAAGAATGAGACGGGCCTGCAGTGTGACCAAGACGGCCAGTACCGAGCCAGCCAGAGGGACAGGGGCAGTGGGAAGGCCTTCTGTGTGGACGGCGAGGGGCGGAGGCTGCCATGGTCGGAAACCGAGGCCCCACTCACGGACTCCCTGTGTCTGAGTATGTGCAGGCCATTAAATCAGCCAGGTTACTGGGGAGAGGGTGGTGCTCTCAGGGCTTTCTAGAAAGGGAGAGACGTGAGATGTGTTTATCTTCAACTTTTTATTTTGAGAATGTTTAATCTATGTAGGAGTTGAAAGAATAGTAGGATGAACAAATACCTGTCACCTAGATGCAAAACTTGTTAGCATTTTGCTCTTTCTCTCTTTTATTTATCATCATTGGAAAGTAAATTTCAGACCTCATGAAACCTCACCCCTAAACACTTCAGCGTGCATGAGAAATGAATTAAAAAAAAATTAACCTGCTGAGGTTTCCTTTCTTGTGGACAGCTTGCCTCCGAGAAGCTGGTCAGCATTTCCCTCAGTGGGATGTGGAGGGAAGACATGAGTGCCAGACCTGGTTCCATAATTTACTTGCTGTGTGACCCAGAGCAAATAGCTCAACTTCTCTGATCCTCAGTCACCCCAGCAGCCTCCTGAGGGTCAACCTCATCCTACAAAGACAACAGACATTCAGTGGGCGCTCCCCTGTGCCAGGCACAGCTCTTCAATGAGATAATGGCTGGGAAAGTCCCGGGTGAACCAACAGATGTCCTGCAACATTAGATGCGATGGGAGTGGGATCAGAACCAGTTTAGTCCCCCTGGTGCCCTTTACTGCCTGCGTAGTCTTGGGCAGGTCAATTACCTTCCACAGTTTCCTCTTCTGTAAAATGGGGATATTAATGCCTCACTTGTGGGGGAGTTGAGTGAGTCAGCAATGCCGTGCCCAACAGAGGTGACAAGGATTTCAGAATGCTTTGAAGACTCATGAATACCAGTTGCCTTGTTTCCTTCTCTGTTAAACAAGGAGCCGGCCAAGGCAATCTGTAAGGTTCTTTAATTCCGTCCTCTTCTAAGGCTTCAGGACTCGGCTCCACTTTTCTGCAGAGTCACCTTCGCTGCTCAAGGGCTTGTGGCTTAGCTTTGCACCCTTGACGTGTCAGGACAAGCCCTGGCCGCCGGCGTCTCTTAGATTCTGTGTAAGGAGAGGCCTGGCATACACGGGCTTACTATGCGCCAGGCCCGGGGCCAGGCATTTTATGTGGGCTGTCCCTGTCAACTTCACAGAGGATCCCAGGAGTGGATATTCTTATCTATGTTCTTATCAACAATTTAGTTGAGGAAACTGAGGCAAAGTATATTTAAATGACTTATCTTCATCACGTAGTCAGGATACAACACACTTAGAACTTGACCCGGTGTGTGTCTGACTCACAAATGCATTCTTTCCATTGCACCAACCTGTGTTTCTACTAGTTCATCTGCTTCCTCGCCAGACACACACGCGCACCCACACATGCACACTTGCATGCACACATAACACACACGCGCGTGTGCACACTTGCACACATAGCCCGTGTGCTTTTTAGGGAAGTGGGTGCAGTTAATGACATAAAATATCTGAGAAAATCCAGGTGAGAAATTTCCATTTTCTGATGCTCAGAATAATCATTTCCCTTCTCTAGCAAAGTGCTAATGAATCCCAAGGATTGTGTGTGTGTGTCTGTCCCTGGATAAACTGTAAATCCAGTGGAAGTCGTATTATTTTCTTTCCCCATATTCTTCCTTTTGGGCAGAAGTGGCGATCAGGGGAGTTAGAGATGGAAGATGCTCTAGGAGTTTGGGTAGGCAGACCTTTGCTGCCCTTCACCCATGAGGGAGAGGGTGTCCACAGAGGGGAAGGACTTGCCCGGGGCCCTGGTGCTTCCCGGCCTTTCTGGGATTGCCACCCACGTGCTTGCATTGACCCTGGCCCTCTTTGCATTCCTGTGAGTGGCTCCCCTTTGAGGATTGTAACACGCTCTTTGTAAAGCTTTCATGGCTTGTTCCGCCCTGTTCGTCCAGAGCAGAAAGGAGTTTAATCAGTGGCATCAGAAGCGTTTATGGGTAATAGCTCAGCTTTGCCGACTTCAGTGACGCCTCCCTGAGATGCTGCCTTGTGAATGCCTCCAGGTTGCTCCTCAGCGGCTTTGGGTTCTTATGCAAAGCTCTGAGCTTAAGTTTCCCTCTCTGGATGTGCAGGAGGATTTCCATGTTAACACGCTGGCCCCCACTGGCGTGCCCACATGACTCTTCTCAGCATTCTCCGCACTCGCCTTTGAGAGAATCTTTCTCCCCGGGGTGGAATGAGGGTCTAATTTTTCAGCTTTTGTCCTCTTGAGAAAGCAAAAGGCGTATAGGTCAGTTATATAACCCCCCAAACAGGTACCTACCTGAGAGGGATTTGCCCTTCTCCACCCCCACTCCCCCGCCTTTGTCCAGGCCTGGTTGTCACCCACATGGATCACTGCCTCCTAACTCCTCTTCCTGCTCCAGTCTTGCTTTTCTCTGATGATTTTTCTAGAATGCTTCAGAGCAATTATTCTAAAGGCGACTCTGTTTATGCAATGCCCATTAAAACTCTTCAGTGGCTCTGCATTGCCCTTGGGATAAGTAAAATCGCACGCCCCAGCCCCCTCCCCAAGCTCTAGCCTCATTAGACAGCAGTCTCCTTGGGGGCTAGAACTGTGTCTTCCCTTTTGTTCTAGTCTGTAGCAGTCAGCGCTTGTTGACAGAATGAATGAATTGTTCCAGTTATGTGGGCTTCTTCAAAACCATTTCATAAAGGTCTTCAAGGAAGGAGATGCTCCCACCATCTTATTCCCTGTGGCCGATTTTACAAGCCCTGGTACTTAGGCAGGGTGTCCTTGCAGCGAGCAAAGCGACCTGGCATTTACTGGGTTTGTACTGCGTACTAGGTCTTCATGCTGTAATCCTCACAACCAGGAACCTGGGCTCTCAGAGATCGAAACGGGCACCAGGACACAGAGCTGTTGAGAGGTGGTGGCATCAGGGCTTGAACCTACTGCCTCCCTATCTTGGTGCCCTCCTGCTGCAGCCTCCTGGCAGTCCTCTTCTCTCTATTGCCTGTGGTAAACCCTTTGTTTACTCACAGTTAGTCATTTACTTACTGCCCTTGGCCAGTGGAAATATTTCAAGTTTGTCTTCCCTTTAACTAGATCCAATTTTCTAATTCTACTGTTTGTTGACCTGTGTCAAAGGCTTCAGATATCACGTCAAGTGCCCAAACAGAAGGATATGCCTGCCATCAGAATCATGCCATCTTCATAATGTTCCCTCCAGGTTTCCTGGTGTTATAATGATCTTGACAGTCATTCATTCATCCATGCATCCATCCATGCATCCATCCATCCATCCTTCCATCCAATAAACAGGAAACTATGATCTCTGTCATCATCTTAGCTAGTGAGAGTTCAGATATTCTCAAAACATTCTCCTTGTCTTGGAAGGAGACAGGTACATGTATAGCCATGAAACACTGTGTAAGAATCATGATCAAATAGGGTGACGTGCTCTGATGTTGACATTCTATGTTTCCCCCAAGACATTTGTAAATATCTGCTAAGTAGAAATTTGGTATGAGGGAAATTATACCAACAGAACGTATAAATCTGCAAGCAAACTCAATATTCCATGGAATCATTGCAACTCAGTTCATAGATTGTTTCTGTTCTGTTTGGCAATGGGCTTCTTCATAGAATGCTACGATGTGAAGATCTCTATCACCAAGGTGCCCCTTTTCTGAAAACCAGCAGATTCTTTACCTGCATTTATGGCCACTGGGAAGACTTTAATTGGAAACTGAAAGAGGTCTCAAGTTTTCTTTAGTCTCCTAGAGTGTTGTGAGCTTCTGGTCTATACCGATCAAGACTTAGGGACACTGGGCTGCATATAGCATGGTGTTTGCTGGACTGGAGCCTGAAGTCTCTACAAACAAGATGCCAAGGAGCATAAAAATAAAAAAGAGACGAAGAGGTGAGAGCAGAAGTCTGAGTAGGGGCTGAACGCATGAACCTGGCAACTTCAATGATCAATGTGGAAGCGCCACTTTGTAAAATTAGATTTTTTTCTATATCAACATTTTTGAAGCCTTCTATTATATTAATACTCCCCTCTCCCAGCCCCATCCCAAAAAGGAATTAACTTTTTTTCCACACTTACTATGAAAGCTGAGAAAAGATTGATTTGGGTGGTCTTGAAGTTATTGACGTGTTGAAAACCAATCTAGACACAAGTCCCTTTGATAAAGAAGTAGATGTGTATGAGAATGAGTGCTTCTGAGCTTATAGTTACGTCGGCTCAAAACTGGTACTCATGTGCTTTGGGGCTTGTTTTTTGATTGTTCCCTGCAGCGTACTGACACCTTTGGGCGCTTTGGCTTGTAAAATGAGTCTCATTCCTGGAGAGTTACCCACGGTGCTTTTTGCTCAGTTGGTGAAGAGTGAGTTCAAGTCTCATAGCCTTGAGACAGTTTCTTTCTTTTTCTTACCTTGTCTGGTTCCATAAGCATGCGACGATGTTATTCCCACCAGACAGGAGCTCAGGGGTATTGATGGTAACTAGAAAATCAGACGGTAATATAAAAAAATGCTTGAGCCACATGGCACATCTTCAGATTTACATGAACCCATATGCACGTTTTATTGGTATTTTTTTTGTAAAACTTACCTCTTTCTCCAGAAAGAAGTCAAGTTGTTTTATAGAAAAAAGTCTTCAATAAAATAATTATAAGATATACTTAGCACTCAAAGATAAGGAAAGGGAAATATAAATGTGATAGAAAATCAACATCAATGAGAAAAAATGAGTTATAAGGACTAACATAATATTACATTTTCTCCTTACTTCCCGACAATGAGGTAGGAAAAGGAGACAGGGTAAGCAATAGCTCTCAGTGTTAGATGTGAGGCAGATGCTGGAACTACCTTAGAAGGGCATTTCTCCCCTTGAGACGTTTTTGTGACCAAGGGCTGCGAATGTGAAATCATTTCTTGGCCTAAAACTTTTTTTGGCTTCTCTGCAGATGCCCACTACCTTCAGAGTCAAATTTCATAATCTGCTTTTCTTTTAGTGATGCAGAAATTTGAGAAGGTTCCAGAATCTCAGGTGCTCTTCAATGCCGACGTTGCTGTGGTGGTCCGGTCCAGAGTTCCTGATTCTGACTCTCCACTGATACAGTGCTTGGCAGGTGAGGGGTGGTGGCGAGATGGGCACATGGAGAAAGGTATAGAAATAAGTTCTACTGATCTTGCAAGACAAATCAAATAAAACCATTAAACTATAAAGAAAAGATATACTTTATCAAAAATGCTTTGTAAATCAATTGATTTCCGAAATGTACATTTGACCTATAATTTTACTTCGGAGTTTTTGGAGCGTCTACTATATGCCAAGAACAATGCTGCACTGAATGTTAGGAGCAGAAAGAAGGGCACCAGTTCCTTATAGAGATGTTTGTCCGGGTGGGGCAATATGGGTGTCTGTTTTAACTGTGAAGCCAGAGAGGGATAAAAACAGCTACCATTTATTGAGCATGTATCTTTACAAGGCTTATCTCGTCATCCTACAATCGTCCATGAATAGTCACTGTTGTCCCATGTTTCAGATGAGTGTATTTGTGTGGGTGTATTTGTGTGTGTGTGTGTGTGTATTTGGGGGCAGGGAGTAGGGGTATGTGTCCATCTGTCCTCAGCATCACCTGAGAGAGACAGGTGGGTGACTGGCCATGGTATTTGCAGACTGTGCGTTGGATGAAGCCTGTAGCTTCCTCACAGTGTCCACGGCGGGATCAGAAGTCTCGTGTGATTTCTATGCTTGGACAAGTGACAACATCGCCTGCATGACTTCTGGTCAGGTGAGTTGTGGCAGCCATGTGGCGGTCCTGCCTCTTGTCCACTCTACGTCAGACATAAACTCTGATTGAACCGACACCAGGCCGATCACGTGATGGAATGGGATTGTCAATAGCTGATCCCATGTAGTCTCCGTTTCTTCAAAGTGATGAGACTTTGGGAAATTGAAACTGCAATAGACCAGTGAGGGCTCAGGATGAAGTTGACATAAGGAGCATTGATCTGAGCAGTATCAATCAGTATCAGTCGTGACAAATCAGTCAGAAGAGAATTGCAACGATGAACACTCCCCTTCTGTTACCCACCAACTTACCTCATCAGGCAGCTTGGGCACTGGATGCGACAGGACATTGTCCAGAGCCCTAAATACTATCTGTCATGCTGAGTCCCAGACCCCACCATTCCCTTCCATTGTAGAAGTAAATTTGATTATGGTTTAGAAAGGAAAAAGTCAAATATTAGTGAGAGCCACATGGAATTGCTGTTTCTATAAGTCAAAGCTGGTAGAGTATTGACAATTTCATGGTTCCCATGATTTAGGACAGAAGGGGATGCAGTGAAAAGCAATTCTCCTGTCTCCTAGCTCCCTAACTCCTACCCACATGCCAATCTCCGTTTTCACTCTCCAGTTTCTCCTGGATCCTTCCGGAAAATTTCTATGTGTTTAAAAGCATCTTTTGTTTGTTTTCATGCTAATATTTTATAATACATATTCTTCTCTACCTTGATTTCCCCACGTATGATTTAACTTTCTGCATCTGAAAAAAGGAACCTTGTTCTTTTTAATGGCAGCATACCAACCCATTCTATGGATGAACACAATTTGTTTCTCCAGTGTTAAGGGCATGCAGATTTGTTAGCAGTTTTGCAGTATCACCCACACTGGTGCATTGCATGCCCTTTGTCCATGTACCTGTGCTGGTGTGTGAGTGTGTATTCATAAGCGACATCCTGGAAGGGGCATGGAGGTTGGACTTCTGAATTTTAGGACTCAAGCTGGGGTCTGTAGTTGCAGGATCTAGAGGAGAGGCAGAGAAGGGTCTTGGATCGGATCTCAGCTCCGTCACTTTGGGGCTGTTAGACGACGTGCAGTTTCCTTAGCCTCAGTCTTCTCATCTGCAAAATGGAGTCTTTAACTGGCAGGCTTCTGGTGAGGATTCAAGGAGCTAACCCAAGACATGCAGTAGACTGTTGAAGAAATGCTGGCTCCTGTAAGTTTAAGGGTAAAGCATTTAGGGGAGCATGACAGTGGCCTTTATTGTTTCCACGGTCATGATTCAGACCTAATGTAAGATGTATCAAGGGGGAATGGGTGTCTTGAGTCGGGGGGCGCTAGGCTTGTAGGGGGTGACACTCAGCGAGAATTCACCGTCATTAACATCAGGACTGAGCACATGGTTTTGGCATTGCCCTCCTCTGCTGTCCGGCGGTGCAGACCAGCTCCATTTATTTGTTTTATGGGCTTCCGGGCGCTGCTCCCTCATCTTAGCTGGTCCATGGTGAGTGATTCTGCTAACAGGACACCTCTGTCCAGACTCCCTCAGGTCCCTTGTGATGGAGGGGTCTGAAGGTCACAGCTGCCACTGTGTGTCGCTGTCAGTGACCGTGGCTCCCTAGGTGACTGCCAAGTCATGGGGAATCCCCGATTTAAAGAAAATCTACTTCTGTTTTCCTAAGGGATCAGACCTAGCTTATAGAATTAATAATAATACAAAAATAACTGGCATTTACTGAGTGCTTGCTAAGCACCCGGCATTTCTCTGGCAAACGTATTGGGTTATTGATCATTTGATCCTCCGATATCTGACAGCTGCTTGTTTAGTAAGTGTGGATTTCAGTCTGCAAGAAATACAACACTCCGTTTTTTATAAAAAAGCAAAAAGGCGCGAATTCTACCTCCAACTCCTCAACCCATGAGAGACCCTGTCTTGCCAGGGCAGTCGTTAAGAAGGTGCTTTGGAGTGGGGCTGCCTGGGTTCGAGTCCCAGCCCCATGACTTGCTCGCTGCCGTTTCGCCCCCTGGTTCCTCAGGGCCCCCGTCTATGATGTGGGGTAATAGGGGCAGCCGCCTCCCAGGATTGCTGTGAGGACAGGAAAAGCTCGCAGGACAGTTTCTGCTGCCAAGCCAATGCTCAGTGACCTTTGTTACAGTTGTCACCATTGCTGTCACGTGGTTATCCACACATCACGTCAGCGGGAAGGTCCATCTCAACCATCAGTGAGGCTCCTCATCCCAAGGCACAGGCAAGGGGGTGTTGACCACTGATCCACACAGCCCGGTGCTGAGGCTGCAGTCCCAGCGCTGCTTCAGGCTCCACGGCACCCTTGTGTCTGGGCCAGGCTTAGGTGGAAGGAACTCTTGCCGAAGCAGTGGCCCCAAGCTTAGGGGTTTAGCCCCCCAAAAACTTCCCCCACCCCTGCCAGGGCCTGACCACAGACAGGCCGAGGGTTCCTCCTGTCTGAGACCCTCCTCAGTCGGCTGGAATCTTTCCCCTCAAAGGCCCTTCCTCCTCCCCAGGCCGTCATCTGTCCGTGAGTTCAGGCTTTCTAAAAGGCAGGGAGAGCTGTTGCCTTCGCATAGCTTTGCCTTAGCCCCTGCCCTCCCCAAATTCCCACAACCAGGAAACTCAAAGTCAGGCCTTTGAGGAAGAAGGCAAAATAAGGGGAAAAAACACAGATTGATACAGACTGATTTATCCTTCCACGCCCGCACGCCAAGAGTGCCGGCACTAGTCAGAAAGAGAGATCAGAGGTGAGTGAGAACGGCAAGACCTTTGGAAGTCTGACCTCCTTGTTTCCAAGCTTAAGAACCTCCCCCTGGTCCTCACGGGATGCCGGCCATGAGCCTCCCAGGCCTTCCATGAGCTGCCTCCTGCCTCCCCCTCTTCTCTCCCCGCTTCCCCTGTCACGACTGACAGGCCCCGAGAACCACTGGACCCAGTTCTCGAAATACCCGTGGAATTCCGGGTCTCCATTTCTGCGGTTTGCCCTGCTTAAAATCACCCTTCTCTTGTTTCCACCTGACGAACTCTTACTTATATATCAGTACCCCACCCAGATCTACTTTTTCTGGGAAAATTTTCTTGCTCCCCTTTCTGGATAGAATTAATCACTCCCTCTTCTGTAATTAACCTCCTCTCTAATTACACCTATCTTTCCAGCTAACGCTCTGGGCTGGAATTTACTGCTTCATGCCTGTGTCCCGCCAATGGACTGGGAGAAACTAACAAGCAGGAAATGTCTCTTTTTTATCTTTGCAGCCCCAGGGCCTACCTTTGGTTAGAGTTTGATGAATGTTTGTTGAATTGAATTCTTATATATCACAGGATGATAACGCAGCCTCTTTCCATCTTCAGGATCGAGAAGCGTTGGGGAACTCGGAGGCCACTGGCTTTGGAAGTCTCAGGTGCCAGGTGCAAGTGAGGAGCGGGGATGGAGGCTCTCTGGCGGTGTATTTGAAAAAGGGTAGGTTGGCCGAGCTGGATGGCTCGGGGCCTCAGTGGTTGACTTGCTCAGTGTTTGGAGCTGCTTTCCAGCAGGGCACATTTAGGGAGGGGCCAGGCTGCCCCCAGCCCAGGGGACGGGGAGGCTCATTCTGCAGGTGAGGAGCTAAATTGCAGAGCAGACACAAAGGCTGCTGGCAGAACCCAGCAGAGTCCAGACCGTGTGCCCCATGCAAGCCCATGAGGCTGCCTGGGAGGTGGGGAGCATCTCCACCTGGGGTATGGGTTCTAGGCTCCCTGCAGCCCCCCTCTAGGGCCTTCCCACTCGTGGAGCCTCACTCTTCTCTCCCTTTGGTCTCCACCCTCCCCAGAAGTTGTCAGACCTCCTCACAACCAGTCCAAACCTCCAAGCCTTTCTTTCTCATCGTCCTACACATAGGACATCCTCCAGCTGCAATGTGCATGCCCATTATCTGGGGGCTTGGAAAAATGCAGATTCTGAATCAATAAGTTGGGGTAGGGCCAAGATTCTGCCTTTCAAATAACCTCTCAGGGATGCCAAAGCTGCTGGTCCCTGGACCACACCTTGAGTAGCACAGGTGTATCGTATTTTACAGCTTATAACTCACTTCCCCATACATCCCTTCATGCCACCCTCACAGAAATCCTTGGAGGAAGGCAAAAACGGGATCATAGTCCCCATTTTATAGATGAGGAAACTGAGACTTGGAGAGATTAAGAGAGTTGCCCAAGGTCACACCGCTAGTAAGTTGGGGAGCTGGGTTTGAACCTACGTGTGTCTGAATTCCCCTGCACAGAGGGCCTCCGAGAGGGCGAGCAGGGAAGCCCTCCTTGTCTCTGTAGCACGTGTGGGAGAAGTGGGGAGTCCCCCTGAATCCTACGGCCTGTGCACTTCTGCCCTGTCCTGCTCGCCTCCTGCCTCCTCTCCATCAGGACCAAGAGAGGTGACAGCAATGCAGGGTTGTGAGCCCTGGGCCACGACAAGCTGTGACACCTTCACTAGTCACTGCTCCCCGGGCCCTCATGTCACGGAGTTAAGGGTGAGTGCGCTGGACCCTCCAGCCTGGGTTGACCCCAGCTCTGCCATGCACAGGCGGGGTGATCCTGGGCAAATTCCCTGAGAGTCTGGGCTTCCGTGATTCCTCCTTAGTTAAATAGGAGCCACAAGTGAACCGAGGTGATCAGCAGGTCAGAACGAGGTGATGCCTGGGATGCTTTCAGAACAGCGTGTGGCACTTGGTAAACAGCAAGTGCAGGATGTCTGTGCGATCATTTTCATTCTTGCTAAAAAGTTTCCTGATGACCTGAGGCCATGGCTGTGGACCAGAAGACAGCCAAGGGGCCTGAACAAGGATTTGGGGGTTGGAATGAAGGGTAGCAGGTGTGTCATTCTCTTAGGTCCCTAACTCAGGGCAGGTGGCCTAGCTCCCAGCAGCCTCAGACTTGTGCTGTGAACAGCTGGCAGCAAGTGGCGAGGATGCCAAGGCCCAGGCACGCAGCCTCAGCTGACCTTGGTGGCAGTCCTCAGCAGGGATGAATGATTGTGCTTTTTTGGCTCTCGTCCTCCTTTCACCAAATGCCTCCATCCTGTCTCCGGGGAGGGTTCCCCTGGGAGAAGGGAGTCCAGCAGAGCTCGGATTTCTCTCATCTGTGCCCAGGCTTACTCGAATTTCTGCCCCAGTGTGTATTCCAATTATTTTTACTATCCATCTTTAAAAATAACAGAGATTATTTTCTAAAAAGGAAAACCACAATAAAACAAGTAACTCCTCCCTAAAATGTTCTTTAAAACCATACCTTGGCCTTTCATCACATTTTTAAAAAATGCAATTGTGTTTCTTTTTAAGTGTTAGTTTTTTTTTTTTTTCCTTCCTCATCTCCTGAAAGTTATACTTAGGGAGAAGATTGCAAGGGAAATTGTGAGGCTTCCTTGCTGCCAAACTAAATCAAGGGCAGAACTGTTTTTTGCTTTTTTTGTTTTATTTTGCTTTTTTTTTTTTTTAAAGTGGAAGGTGCACAGATTCCGCCTTTCTGGATCCTGGTGTCGCAGAAAGAGAAGGGAGGTTGGGGCAAGCTGGATCTGGCTTCAGACTCCCGCCTCTCTGCTTACTAGCTCTGTCTCTGATCAGGAGCGACTTCTTTGTTTTGCTTTCTGTAAAATGGGAATAAAATGTCATAGCTGAGGAGGAAAGGACACAATTTCTGAAAGTCTCCATCGCAATCTGTGGCACCCAGTAGGTGGTCAAGCACGTCCCTTCCCATGCCTGGCTTTAAGTGACCTGGAAGAAGGGACAGCTTGATCCATCCTCCTGTGCCATCCTCTGTCTAAGCCCACTTACAGTCTGTGGCCTTGACTCTGGAAGAGGAGCCGTGGGATTTTTCAGAATCAATGGAAGATGGTGCCCGAAGGTTCCTTTGAGATTGTCTAGCCCGACACCCTCGTCTCACAGATGAGGTCCAGACGGAGGAAGCAGCTTGCTACTACATCAGGGTGGATCTGGGGACTTCGGGGCACGACCTCCCCTGACTGAAGGGTCTCCCAGACCTGCTCATTGTCCGGGACTTGACCATTGCGTGGGTCAGCTCAGCATTGCCACGTCCCATAAATATTTACTGAGCACCCACAGTGTGACACACACTGGGGCAGGCGCTGTGGTTGCAGCTGTGAACGAAACACACAATCACTGATTGATGAAGGAATCCATCCAGCAATAAGATCATTTCAGAAGGTGATGAGTGCTTTGAGGAAAATGAACAGGACAATGGCGTGAAGATGGACAGGGGCTACCTGGAGTCTCCATCCAATTCATAGAGACAGCAAGGAGAAGAGGCTACTAGGGGCTGGGGGAGAGCGAGGGGGAGCTCGTGTTTGGTGGGTGCAGAGTTGATGAGAAACCTCTGGAGATGGATGGTGGTGATGGTTGCACAACAACGTGAATGTACTTAGTGCCATCGAACTGTACACTTAAAAATAGTTAAGATGGTAAATCTTATGTTCTACGTGTTTTGTCACAATTAAAAAAGGAAAAGAAAGCTGGACATGAGCTGCCTTAGGGTGCCCAGGAAAGCAGCTTCAGAGAAGGGGACATTGGAACTGAGACCTGAGGATGAGAGGAAGCCCACTATTCAAAGCTCTCAGGGCTGGTGGGCCTCCATGCAGGGTGAGGTGGAGGATGCCAAGGTGAGCCCTACAGCCCTACAGCCCTACAGCCCTACAGCCCTACAGGCCAGGGCATCCCCGTCCAGTAGGATTTTCTGCAGTGATGGAAATGTTCTATAAATCTCTGCTGTTTAAAATGGTAACCAGTGGCCACATGTGGCCGCTGAGCGCTTGGACTGTGACTATTGCAACATAAGCTTTGATGCACTGGGATTGACATTTGAGTGGTCACATGTGGCTGGTGACTACTGCATCAGATGGCAGGGAATGGCTGCAGGAAATTGCAAGCTGGTGGGGGAAACAGACACCATCGCAAGCGGCTTAAATACAGGGGAAAGGGCGATGCAGCCTTGAGTAGAGGTGTGAACAGAATGTAAGAGAGAGTGATGAACTCCAACTGTAAAGATCTGTGTGATGGACCCTTTAAGTTAAGCTGGGCTTTGGTGGAGGCTGGGCGGGGGCTTTGCTGGCACCGTTAGAGGGCATCAGGCAGAGGGGGCTGAGTGAGCCAGTGCTGGGAGGAAGAAGATGCAGGCCGTTTGGAGACCTGCAAAATATCTGCTGAGCATCAGCTAAGTGCCAGGCTCATTGCTCAGCCTTTCTATGTACAGTAGATCTTTTTATTTGCACAAAATTCATGAGGATTACATTCTATCATCCCCACTGTACAGATGGGAAAGCTGAGGAATTAGGAACTTGCTTGCTGGGGGTGCTGCCAGGGTTTGCAGTCAGGTCTGCCTCATTCTTAAGCTTGTGCTCCTGGGTCCCACACTGTAAGCCTCTCTGCTACCTCTGGGTGTGCAAGTCGGTAAGACCTGGTGAACTCCTGGGCTGGCGGGAGGTCAGGGTAGTGAAGAGCACAGGCCTTGGCATCCCTTCTGCCACCCACCAGCTGTGTAAACCCAGGCAAGACAGTGCACTTGTTAAGGCTCTCCATCCTCAAATGTAAAATAGACATCATAATAGGACAGACATTTTGGCTGGACTGCAATATATATATATATATATATCCCTAAAAAATCTCATGTTTGCAATATGATGCTCTAAAAATACAAGGCTATGGGAAAGCTAGAGTTAGGGACAGGCAAAACCCAAACCATGCCGTTTCTAAACAGAGGACTGACAAAAACAGTTACGATCCGATTTGGTTTAAAAAAAGACGTTGAGTCCATCCCCAAGAATTGCAACAGTTAGTGTAAAAGGCGAGGTGCCTGATGTGGAAGAGTGTAGGCTGCTGAGTTATAGAGACGAGGACCAGTTGCACAGAGAAGGGAAAATTGGAATCATCACTTTGGAGACAGAACTGGTGGTGTCTGAGGCAAGAGGAAGAACGTGGGCCGATGGGCGTTGGGTCCAGTCCCGCGTTTCTCTGCAGCTTGCTGCGCTCCACTGAGTCTGTGCGCTGCATTCACCCTGTTTGATGGCACAAGGAAATGGGATGTTGGGGAAAACTGTCAATCTACCAGTGCAGCTGCAGCGTTACGGCCGCACAGCTTCCTGTCCACCCCGTGTTCAAACCACTTTGCGTTACAGTAACCCCTCTGATAGCAGAGCAGGCGGAAGCTAGTGCACAGGGCAGTGAAAATGCACCGCAGTCACGAAGGTAAAGCACCTGTCACGGTGTCTGTGTATACAGTTGGAGCTCAATAGGTAGTTGCTGGTAATAATAAAAATAGTCATAAATGCCAGTTCTCCACACATCCCCTTGAGACTGTCAAAGCAGTGATGGGCGTGTGTCTGGCTCTGCCGTCAGGTTTGGGGCTGTGGCCATGGCCGAGGCGGGCTCCTCGCTCTTCATACACAGGCACGTGCAGAAGTTTCATGGCACAGAGAGCATCTCGTCTTGGACCACGCACTGCCCCAGCACGATGAGAGGGTCCACTGTCGTATGACCAGTGACGTCTGGTCAACTCTGCATTGTTTTGAGATTTTTAAAAAATGCTTTCTGCTTTTTCCCCAGGCCAAGAATTCCCCACAGCTAGTCAGAAAAGCTTCCAAAACACTGGTTTCCAGAACACGCTCTCCGGAGTGTACAACCCTGTCGTGTTCTCAGCCTCAGGAGCCAATCTGACGGAGGCCCATCTCTTCTGTCTTCTTGCATGTGACCGTGATTCGTGCTGTGACGGCTTCATCCTCGCGCAGGTGCAAGGAGGTAATGTGGCATGGAGGGCCAGGCCCCTGTACCACGACCCATGGTCGGACAAAGGACAGGGACTGCATTGGGTCACAGAAACTGGGATATATGGCATGGGGATGGCTGTGGGAAGTTGCAGGCATGAGGTGACCCCATCCACAAAGAAGGTGATATTTGCATACACAAAGTCAGGGACAAGCCGTGACCCTTTCAATGTGTCACATATGTGCAAGCCACTACACGTTGTAATCATTGTAATACTGATATTCTCCTTACTGCTGTCTTCAGGGGAGGCATTGGGAGTTCCATTTTACAAACTGAGAAACTGAGGCACAGAGAATTAGAACCCTTTACTTATAGTCACACAGTTCTCAAAGTGATGGAGCTGAGATTTGAGCCCAGGTGTATCTTCAGCAGCATCTTATACTACCTCTGAAGCCTGGGCTGGCCACGTTTGGTCAAAAAATGGCAATTCATTCCCATCACCCGTGATCGTTCATTCAATGATTATCTGTTGAGTGCCTATTGTGCGCCAGGTCCTGCGATCAATAGAACTGGAATTTTCTGTTCTTTTGCAATAGAAATAAATCCATGTACTTGGCTACATAACCTAGTGGTTGAGAAGGCACTTTAGCGTCAGACAGACCTGGGTTCTAGTCACTGCTCTGCCACTTTCTGTCTGTGCAATCTTGGGCAAGTTGCTTAAACTATCAAGTTGCAGTTCCTTTGTCCGTAAAATAGAGAGAATGATAATTCCTCTTTGACTACTTGTTATAAAGATAACAGGTGCAAAATGCTGGGCGTGGATTTGGCTCCTGTGTCTATTAACTTAGTTGCAGGGAGACTTAACTATAACCAATTATGTGACTTCGTGCATTCAGCTTGTGGAGAATTCTGAAGATTAAAAAAAAATCGAAGTAGTCATATAGGTCTTTTTTTTTTTTGAAGAAGAAGATTAGCCCTGAGCTAACTACTGCCAATCCCCCTCTTTTTGCTGAGGAAGACTGGCCCTGAGCTAACATCCATGCCCATCTTCCTCTACTTTATACATGGGATGCCTACCACAGCATGGCTTTTTGCCAAGCGGTGCCATGTCCGAACCCGGGATCTGAACTGGTGAACCCCGGGCCTCCGAGAAGCGGAACGTGCTAACTTAACTGCTGCGCCACCAGGCTGGCCCCCTATATATCTTTTTATGACCCTCGCTTTCAGTCAATAATGAGCTTTAATTGACCACCGTATATGTGCAATCTAATGTATTAGGGGTTGGGAATAGATGAAAGGAGCTTAGAGTCTGGCTGGTGAGGCAGGGGTACCGTGAAAGGACCATGACCGTCACTCCTTCATTCGGGCTGTCACCCAGCAAACACAGATTGAGCCCTACTCTGCACCAGGCTCCATAGACAAGGCAGCATGAGTGTCGAGACCATTGGAGCCTGGGAGGACAAAGGAGGGAGATACCAAGGGGACTCGGTGGTCACAGAGGGCTCAAGGGATGGGTAGCATTTAGATGGCAAGGTTAGAGAGAGAGTCTGGACCAGAGCGTGCATCCATGTGAGCTGAGCGAGAGGCAGAGAGACTCCGTGAGTTCTGAGGACTATGAACCGTGACATTGGGCTTATCGGTAAGCAGGTGTTTTTAAAGCACCCACCATATACGGCACGCAGGGCTGTGGTCAGCTCCAGCATCCGCTCATCCTGCCCTGCCGAGGGCTAACCTGCCTCTGGAGGGCAAAGCGCATCACTTCCGCCTCCTCAGGGGCCTCAGTCCTCCCTCGTTCCTGGTCTCACCCTGTGTGCCATCAGCCGGTGCCCCTCACTGTCTCCCCGTCTCTACTGTCTGTGTGTTATGTTAAGGAGCATAACACAGTGGGGCTGTTGATCTCGTGGCTTCCCTCTAGCTCCTGTTCCATTTCTCCCCTTTGCCACCACAGCCAGACCCTGCAATCTGAAACTCCTTCTCTCCCCAAAATGCTGCTACCTGCCCTCCAGTCACCAGGAGCCCCATCCTGTCCTCCTTGGCCCGAGTGTCTCTGGTTGTCGACCCTATTGACAGCTGCCCAGTTCTTTCAGCGCCCCTCTCCCGACTTCCAAGACCCCTTCTCTTACCCAGGCTGCTCCTTCCATCAGCGTCCTGAGCTCATTCCTTAGAGGTTAACTGTACAGGTTTTGCTGTCTCCCCAGCTGGTTCTCTGCTCTGGTGAGACCTCTCAGCAGAGGTCCAGATCCACACCCTCATCTGCTGTCTGGATGTTGCCTCTGGGTGGGCCGCGGGCATCTCAAAGTCAACAGGGCTCTAAATGAATGGATAGTTTTCACCCAAAACGAGCTGCTTCCCTTATGAATCCCATCTCGGGGAAGGTCACTCCAGCCATAAGCCTGGGAATCGTGCTGGATTGCCCTACAACCTTCCTTCCCCTTCTCTAGTTCCTCGCTCTGATGTCTTGTTGCTGCCTCCTCATTATTTTGGGGATTGAGTTTATTCCATCCTCACCTCCGCTGTCTGTATTTAGGCCTGTATTATTGTTTCTTGGTAATTGCGTCAGTCTCTTAATTGCTGTCTCATCATCCTCCCACCTCCACCCCCGAGTCGAGATCCCCCACCCTCCAAACTGTGTAACTCTAGGTCCCACTCATGCTTCCTTTCTCCGGAAATATTAGTTCCTCCCTTCTCTTTGCATCTGAGTTCACGTGTCTGTCTCCCTGGTTGACTAAAACTTCCGGTGCTATGGACTAGCCACTTGTCCCCAGCCCCTGGGAGAGCCATGCACGCTGCAGGTGCAGAGTGATGTTGGTGAAATTAGCTGATTCCAAAGAGAGGAAGGGGCCTGCCTGATGCCCGAATTCCAGTGGGCAGCAAGGTGCACTGCAACTCAGGTGTCCTAATTCCCAGTACAAAGAGCTTATCCCTTATTCCCCGCCTCCACCTCCTTCTATCAGATACATAGAGAGAAAAGGATAATTGTTAATTGCTAAGCTCTGAAGAAGAGGTAAGTATTACTTTGAAAACATATAATAAATGGTTTGTCCTATTCAGGGAGATAAATTAAGACTTCCCTAAATCTTGAGCAATGTGCAGTTCTTAACTACATGAAGAAAAGAGAGAAGATAATTCTAGACAGAGAGAATGGCATATGCAAAGGCCCTGTGGTAGGAGGGCTTTGTACAGAAGTCCTCAGCATGATACAGAAGGGGAGAGGAGAGGAAGCTGTGGTCACTGGAGTAGGGAAAGCAGGCTGGGAAGGTGGGCCCTGGTTTGGGAAGAGGCAGGAGAGACAGGCAAGGGCTAGATCATGGAGAACATTGTAGGGTGAACTAAAGGTTGTTTCCAAAAACAGCAAGAAGGTATTGAAGGTTTTGAGCACAGGAGTGTCATGATCAGATTTGAATTTTGAAGTGAGCACCTTGGCCTGAGTGTGCAGAAGGTCATGGATAGGGAGTTAGAGTAGATGTAGAGAGTCCAGTTAGGAACCACCCCAGTAGTCCAGGGAAGAGGGGGCTGGGGCTGGGTTGACAGCAGTGGAGCTGGAGGGAAGAGGGCAGATTCAAGATACCTTTAGGAGGCAAGATCCACCGGACTTTGGAAACTGGGTGTTGAGGAAGGGGGAGGTGTCCGATCATTCTTGACTCTCTACCTTGTTCACTGGGTTGGATAGTTTGCTTGTGTGGTGAATAATGGAAGATACCAGATGCGGATTTGGTGATGGGCAGGGAGATTTGGGCAGGTCCTGAGTCCTTCTGGGATGCTAAGTTTGAAGTGCCTTCAAGACATTCACCAGATGTGGACTAAGCCTTTGGATACAAAGATCCAGAGCTCAGAGGCGGAGTCTTGGCGGGAGATGGAAATGTGTGAATGACCGGCCTTGAGGTGGTGTCAGAGGTGTGGGTGTGGGTGGGATTTCCTAGGAAGAAGGTCCAGGGTGAGAAGATAGAGGGGCTGGGGCCGGTCCCTAAAGGACATCTGCCTAAAGGGTAGAGGGTCTGCAGGGAAGACAGAACACAGGAGGCCAGACGGGCAGGAGGAGACCGAGGAGACAGGCACTTCCTGGAAACCAAGGCGGAGAAGGTGGAAGGCCAGGAGGCTGTCTGTCGACAGTTTGGGATGCTGCTGAGCGTGCAAAAAAGGCGACCACTGAAAAATGCTGAGGTCAGCTCACAGTGGGCAGCGGTGGCCGAAATGGGAATATTTGCTGGAGCGATAGGGCAGGAGCCTGGACTGGAGCATGTTGAGTCCTAAAATTCCTTCTGGGTTTAATGCTCTATAATTATATGATGGGCATTCACGTTAGTATTTAGACAAGCAAAAATGTATATACAGAGAGAGACAGATAATTATACTCACACATATACGCACATACGCATGCACACATGTACATATCTACACACATGTATATATGTCTATGTATGCTGTGTATGCCTATATTTAGAAACACTGCAATTCAAATCCAGGATGCCTTCACCTCTTTTAAACCAAATGTCTTTTCTGAGGACCCCACAATTTCCCCTGACACTCAGTTCCTCACCAGACCAGATGATTTTGCAAGTTGGAAAAGTTGATTTCATTTTCCTTAGGATCATATATAAAATAATGATTCTGTTCCGTGGAGCAATAAGCCCACAAAACCCTTTTTTCCACGACATTTCTGGCTAGCAGCTTGCTTGCTTTCCCCTCCAAGTGTCACCTGTGATCTGTGAATTATGTTGAGCTGAACAGCCACCTTGCGAGGCTGCAAGTTAGGCTCCCTTCGAGGCACACGCAGAACACCAGGCAGATGTTTTTCTCAGTCTCGTCTGATGGGCACATTTGGGGTTTTGACTTCTAAAGCTTTGGCTGGATCTGCTGATGACCAGGAACAGAATCCCGCTGCATCCTTCTACCTCCGTCTGGAAAGTCACTTAACTTTCTCCTAGATTCCCCCTCCTTCCCCCTCTCCACTCGCTCCCTTCCCAGCCACACTTCAGTCTCCTCCGACTTCTAATTCCTAAATGGCTTTGTTTCCACTGGTAATTATTGATGCAAACGCATGAGGCTTCTGGACATTTCTGTACATTTTGGTTGAGGCTACTTGGAAGCGGGGTTCAGAGGGACTCGCAGGCCCCGAGGTTTGCGGGAGTGTAATTGAAGCCAGCAGGACGCGATCAGCAAAGTCACCTCCACTTTCTAGCTGGGCCCACCGCTCAGACACACAGAGTTCCCATTGACACTTGAGCGCCGGTTCAAGAAGAAAGCGGCAGGGGTTTCTCTGCCAGAGTCTGAGAGCAGAAGGCAAAGTACAGCAGCCTTTGTTTAACTCCCTGAGTCTGTTTTTTGGCTTGTGAGGTGGGTAGATCACAGAGCCTAGACTCCCCTGGGTTCTCAGCGGCTCTGCCTGCACCCCTGCCGCCTGGGCTGCACGCCTCGTCTGGGCCTTGCAGGGGGGCTGCCTGCTGGCTGTTCCTTTACTTCTCAGCAACCAGCACCACCGTTCTCCCTTTCTGTGCCTCAGTTTCCTCATCTGTAAAATGAGGTGGTCTAACCAGCTCAGGGATTCTGGAATCTGGCTGTGCAGTAGAGTCATCTCTGGTGCTATTTACAAATACTAATTCCCACATGCCAACCCCCACCCCTCACACACACATGACTTGTCAAGTCAGAAACTCTGTGGTTGGTGCCTAGGAACAAGCATTTTCAAAACTCTCCCCCTGTTTTTGATATAATCAGTCTAAGCGCCCTGGTCTAGGAACCACCACATTAGAGGACCTCCAAGGTGACATTTTTGCACAGAGATGCTGCTGCTGCTGATTTTTTAACTACTGCAGGTTAAAAGTGGCCAGCAGAAGGGAGAAGGACAAAATGTCAAATTCGTAAGTCAGACATCCCTGAATCATCGCCTTTGGGGAAATTTTGGTGAAAGGAGAGTTTGAAGCTTATCTGGATTTGGACATAAATAGGATAAAGGAGGAAATGAGAGTTGTGGGGGGGTGGGGTAAATTTCCGTTTTTTTTTCCCCAGGAGAATCTGAACCACTATACTCCCTAACAGGGTTATGAATCCAAATGGTAAATAAATTCTTCAGTTTCTAGATCTCAGTATATTTGAGCAGTGTACTTAACTGATGTGAGACTCAGTTTCCTGATCAGTAAGATGGAGATAATAGTGTCCGTGAGAATTAAGGGGATTGCTATACGTAAAGCGCTCGCTGTGGTGGCTGCGCGTCGCAGACATCCAGAACAGTTGAGTTGCTTATGTTTATCTAACGAACATCACTGTCGAATTCGGTTAGTTTGGGGGTCTAAACGGAGTCAGAACTTTGGGGCAGCTTTCTGAAATTCAGAGTTAGAAGATATATTCAGAACAAAATAGTCCAATCCCTTCCCTAGTTGTAGATTTCTCTCTACACATCCGAGGGATGTGGGTGCACAGCCTCTGCTTGGATACGTCCAGAGACAAGGAGCTCACTTCCTATCAGGGTCGCTTGTGTCATTGGGGTACAGCTCTTGATTTTTAGTAGTTCCTTGCTTTGAATCTAAATACTCCTTTGAGTCCTTTCAGGATTGAGCTCCTTTGAGTGTATGTGTGTGTGCACGTGCATGCATGAGAGAGAGAGAGAAGCTGCTGTTTATTCCCTCGAAGTCTCAAAAAGATCATTCTGGGGGCCAACCCAGTGGCATAGTGGTTAAGTTCACACACTCCATTTTGGTGACCTGGGGTTTGCTGGTTCAGATCCTGGGTGCAGAACCTACACACCACTCATCAAGCCAGGCTGTAGTGGCATCCCGCATACAAAATAGAGGCAGATTCACACAGATGTTAGCTCAGTGACAATTTTCCTCAAGCAAAAAGAGGAAAGTTGGCAACAAATGTTAGCTCAGGGCCATCCTTCCTCACACACACACAGAAAATCATTCTCTTGGGTGTTGGGTGGGGGTAGAAAATGGAGACAGGATTCTGGCAGCAAGATCCCCAGAGGTATTGGAGGATAATTGCTGCTGACCCCATGAAGCAGAGGTGTCGTCATTGCTGCTGACCCATGAAGAGGGACTTGAATGGAGGAGGAAAGGGTCAGGGGCATACTGGTGGCCCTCCCCTTGGGAATTTGCCAGTATGACAATTGCAGGATGATCAGAGAAAAATAGCCTAATTTATAACCAGGCTCCTGCCAGTGTCTCTGTCACCTTTCCCCATCCTACAAGCCTCTCAGGCACAGAGGTGAGTCTCTAAAAGGGCCCCGTGTGCTCCTCATCACCTCAACCTCTCCTCCCTCTCGTGGCTCCGCAGGTCCCATCATCTGCGGGCTCCTGAGCTCCCCTGATGTCCTGCTTTGCAATGTCAAAGACTGGAGGGACCCCTCTGAAGCACAGACCAGCGCCACCTGTCCTGGTGTGACCTATGACCATGGGAGCCGCCAGGTGACGCTGCGTCTGGGAGGTCAGGAGTTCAAGAGTAAGTGTCCTCCTTCTGCCCACGTTCCTTCAGAATTAATTTTCCTAACCGGCAAGGTCTTCGGCCGCTCGCTTAGGAGCCCTCTCCAAACCCTGAAAAATTTATACTTCTGAAAAGAAACTGTACCAAAAATGCTGCATAAAAAACAGCCAGAGCGTCGGAGCAGCATTCCACGGAAGGCGTCGGCCTGGCTCTCAGGCTGCAGGTTGGCTGGAGGTGGGCCGGCTCGGCAGGGCGGCTGCGCTGAGCTTGCCCATCAGGGGGTCGGCCCATCTCATCTGGACTTGGCTGGGGTGGGCTCGGCCCGCTCCACGTGTTTCTCATCCCTGCCCTGGATGGGCACATTCTTCTCATGCAGACGGCAGAAGCGGGAGAGAACAAGGAAGGATAAGCCAGGCCTCTAAACGTCGAGGCTTGGCCCTGACACTGTCACTCTGCCTTATTGTACTGGCCGAGGCAGACCACGCGGCCCGGCTGAAAGTTGGGGTGGGGGGAGGTATAGCCTGCCCTTTAATGGCAGGAAATGCAGACCCTTGTGCAAAATGTGTGACTACAAGGAGGATGAAGAGCTGGGGCTCAAAATGCGATCTGTTCCCCAAATCAATGTCCCCAGGGTCTGTTCCCAGCTCTGTGAGTTAGAAATTCCAGGTGGTCACAATGGCACCACCCATTCTAATGACAGGGGTTCCAAGGGACTGTGGGCCCCACCACTTGGGTTCCATGAACAGAAATAACCGTTGAGTTTCCTTCTTCCCTTTCTTTCTTCTGGAAGCTCTTCTGACCTCTCTTTTTCACAAACTTACAAGCATCAGATCTAGAAGTCATCTCCTGCCCCACCCCCTCATTGCACCACAACACAGCGTTTCGAGGGAAGCACTGTTATCATCATCATCCCCATTTTACAGCTGAGGAAACTGAGGCACACAGAAGGAGGGGAGCTTCCCAAGGTCCCAGAGCTTGTAGGTAGAGAGCTGGGACCTGAAACTAGGCGATTTGGCTCCAAAGTGACGTTCTACTTCACTTCCCTACATTGGCACTTACAGGTGACACAGGAGAAGAGCTTAGGAGAGTATCTGATGCACAGCGTTGATGTTAGATGATATTATTATTATCATTTTTAAAATCTGTTGTTGTTTTCTGTTATATTTTAAGAACTGCTCTGTGCCTTAGTAATTGCTGGATTCACACCATCGAGCATAAACCTGGCACAGAGAACAAACACGCTATCTGCAGAGCGTGTACGTACCAAAGCCTGGAAAAAATATTGCAGAATTTGGTGGGATTCCAGGAGGCTTAGTTTCTTTTGGAGTAAATAAAATCAAATAGCTTATTTGTATGGTGGATAGAAAACATATGGTATCTATTAATATGAGAGGTAGCCCAGGGTGAAAATGAGCATTTGGAGAAAGATGTATGATATATTCATGGGCAATAAATCCAGAGTGAATTGCCTAACACAGAGCATGTGCGTGGCGTATGCCCAAGAAACGAAGAATGTGCCCTTGTCTGGCCTCCCTCAGAAGGAGTGATTCCCGAATGACTTTTGAAGTTTTTGGTTTTTTAAAGTGCCCTGTGTGTACATGTGTATTTTGGGGTGCAGACAAAGCTTAAAGAGGGATGCCCTTTGACGGGGATTTCAGGCAGCTGATGATGTTCTGAATTGGAGGTTGCCTTATACATAGACTGATCTGGAGGCCACCTCCAAATGGGAACAAGAGGACACCAGTCCTTCCTTTCTGTAATAAGAGGTTTGTCTTTAAGTACGACTAACCCCTGGGAAAAGAAACATAATGATTTTATTCTTACTAAAGTGTGAATAGCTGATAGATACCCTTTCCTAACCACAGATTTTGATGGAGGAAAAGAGGAGTGAGTGTTCCAGGGATCTGAACAACTGACAGGGAGACCTTAGAGCGGATTGAAAGTGCACAGGAAGGGGCTGGGGATATAAAGACGAACTCTGTCCCTCCCAAAGTTGGTTGAAGGCCAGCCTCTTCCTTCCCATTCAGCAATTGGTTAGATGGTTATTGAAATACAGACTCTGGAATCAGACCCCAGGATTCCAACCCCGGTGTGAATGCTTATTCATTGCAAGAGCTTTCTGGGCCTTGGTCTTCCCAATTGCACGGTGAGGATAATGAAGACTCTCAGGGAGGGTGGGAGGAGTGAAGGCGGGATGTGTGTGAAGCTCTAGGAACACTGCCTGCAGCGAGGTGGGCACTCAGTAGATACAAGAGATTATGGAGCAAGGCTTGCATTGCAAACCCTGGAGCTGAATCCTGCTTCCCCCGCCCAGCTCTGTAACCTTGCTCTAAGCAGTTAACAACCCTTAGCCTCAGGTCTCCATCTGCAAAATAGGAGCCTACTTTTTTACATATTACAGAATAAAGTGCTGACATGCCCTGTGGGCTGGAGTTTAAGCTGTTGTTTTCTGAACCCCGAGTTTCTCATCCCCCAATTTTGCATCCAACAGAGGCACCCTGTAAGACTTCTGGTCCGGACATCCTCCTTTCATTGATCAGCTCACTGGTACTTACTGTGAGGGTCTGGTTCAGCAGATGGCCTGGTTAATGGAGAATTAGCATTTACTCACGAACTGTAAGTGAATTGATTGCCAGTTGCAGGAAATTACAACCTGAAGGAATACACTAAATTCAAACAGCAAGCACATCAATATCCGTATTGTATTTTGCAAAGTGTTTTCACACCCACCAGCTTTCCCGATCCTTTTGGCATGCCCGTGAGGCAAGTGGATCATATCCGAGTTTTACGCGTGATAGTGAAGTTCAGAGCGATGATGGGTCACACTTAAAGAAACTCTCTTTGCATTCAATGCCCAAAGCAATTGCTTTGGAAAGCAAAGCATCAGTGGAAGGTCCCCTCTGCACCCCTTGGAACTGCTTGCTGCTATGATGGTCCCACATAGAGTTTACTGGAAGAAGAAGGGGCTTCAGAGTCATCCTTACATTGTACCAGCAGATTAAGGAGTCTGGCAGTTGCGAATTTTGCTCGTTGGACATCTCTCTGGGGCCTGCTGGATAATTAACTGGATAATTAATGTCAGCTACTAGCACCTTCTACTCCAAGGCTGTGGGGAGAAGGGGTCAGAGGTCCAGGAAAGCTGAAGGATCAGGTGTGAGTTGTGGAGGTGAGCCGGGAGGTGTGTGAGCAGCCACAGAGAAGGGGACACATCCACCATCATCCCAAGAACCTGCTGGGTGTGAGATCCCAGGCCAGCTGCTGGACCAGAGATGGGTGCGGTGGTTTCTGCTGTAAGGAGCTCACAGGCTAGTTGGGGAGACAGATAGGAAAATTATTAAAGTAGAGCGAGCCCCCGGTTTGCCCATCTTAGTGGACAGACAGGGGTTGTGGGAACACAGAATGCCCTTTGGCACGTCTCTCCTCATTTGTTAAGCATCTTCCAGGTCATCTTCTCCACAGGTGTTTAGGGCTGACTTCCAATAGCAGCAACAACAAATAAACAGCTCCACAAATCACCCGGAGGCCATTCCATCCCATAGGCAGGCACAGTGCTTGTCCTGGCTTCTTTGTCTGTCATCTGATTGCTGTGTAACATTTGTGCCTGGGTTGACATGTGTGCTCAAGAGAGGAGCCCATCCAGGGTGTGCATTTCCCAGATTTCCAACCGACATCTCCGGATGTTTTCAACTATTTGGTGCTGGCTGGATTGATCTTCCCATTTCTGAGAAAAAAGGATTAGAAAACTCTGGGAACGCATATGGTTCATTTCTGACAATGTCTTGAAGTGCAAATAAATGAAAGATAGGCAGATTAGAAGTCCCTTAATCCCCATAGGGACTTAAAATTTGATAGGAAAAACAGGCGTTGGCAGAAATCCTCCTGGAGTCATCCTGAGTCCCGAGGCTTCACGTCGTTGAGCCATAGTGAGGCTCACTGTGATGCTGACATTCCCCGTACAGGAGTCTGTCTTGTGTCAGTGATTGTCATTGTCTTGGGGTGCTGAGAGCTAGGTGGAGAAACTTACAAGGTGTCTATGATATTCATTGTCACCAGAGGCCTGTGGAGTAGATGTTTGCTGAGCACCTACAAATAGGATGGACCATTTAAAAATGACCGTATTAGTTCTTTACAATGGCTGTCACTGACTGTGTGTTGTCATGTGCTTAGCAGAGCTCGAGGTGAGGATTCTGGAGTGTATTTTACTTAGGAAGGGCAAGGAAGGTGAGTAGAGACATGGGAGAAGTGATACAGAGAAGAGAAGACAGCCAATAAAGGTAGGGTCTGAAACCTAGAATTTCCAGTTCTGAATCCTGCCCTCTCCCGGGTTGTAGATTAAAACTACCCACCCCAGATCCAGCACATGATCTCTGCGGAAGTGTTCTGGTGTAAATTAAGACCACACAACAACCCTTAACCCTGAAGAATCAGGCTCCACGCCAACTCCCCACGTTCTAAATGCGAGTGTGTTCCCGCAGGCTGGATTCCAGGGAGAGCAGCGAGGAGTCAGGGTCTGGGCGGCTGTGTGGAAACAGGGATGTTCTAACTCCATTATTGTGGAAGGAGGGGGCCAGATGTCTGGACAGTCAAAACCGTCTACCTTAAAGTATTGTTTAGCAGAGAAGAGAAGGAGTAACGTTTGCTTTGGTTCTGTGTGCTTTTCACAATCAACAGTGTTGAATGGGGCAAGTTTTGGGGACTGGAGTGCAGGGTCAGAAGTCTACATTAGGGAAATTAATTTGGTGGCCAGCCTTCGTGTGTTCGGGAATCTGATGCTCTGTGTTTGCTTGGTGGGCTCTGAGAATCCCTGATTGCTTTGTTTCCCTCCTTCATTCCTCCTTGCATTCATTTATGTGCTGAACACCACTGCTGAGCAGGGACTATGCTAGGTGTGGGTGGTACAAGGAGGAATAAGGCCCAGATCCCAACTTCAGAAGCTCTGTTATATTCAAGGAGCTGGACAATTGCTGTCAAGTGTGAAATTAAAGATGGAGGTGTTTGTTTAGCACCATGCAAATCCAGCCAGAGTGTTCAAGGAAGCCTTCTAGAAGGAGGCGATGCAGACCGTGATTCTTAAAGAGTAGAGGTTAACCAAGTGAAAGGGGACGAGAGTTCTAGGCAGAGAGAAGAAGTATGTGCAATGATGCAGAGGCCTGAAAGCAAGCATTAGACGTGACTGGGAAGATGGGTGTCTTGGAGACAGAGCTGAGTGTGAGGCAGTTGAGATCGTCAAGAACCGGCTCTTAGATGTTAGAAGGTGTGATGAGGCCTGAGCTGAGAGAGAGGGATCAGAGGAGGGGAGGATTTAAGGACCGTTTAGGAAATGGCCTGGTTGGATGTGGAGACTGACGAAGGGGGAGGAGACAAGGATGACTCTGAGAAGGTGATCAGGAAGAAGGTGTAGCATCGAGTGATTTAGAGAGTGTAGGAGGAGGTGAGTTTGGGCGTAGAGATAGTGATGGGAGATGATGAAGATAACAGGAAAAAGGGCAATATCATTTCTTCTACCTCAGGGTTCTCTATGTCTTTCTATGGAGACTTGACAATCATTTTAATAATGAAAACCACCAAGGGGATATAATTTCCCAGTGGTGATTAATAAAGATGTTCCCCAGGATGCAACAATCTGTAGATGCTGGCCGGGTGACCTTCTAATCTACCAAGGAGCTCAAGATTCATGTGCTGAGTTTAACTGAATTCCATTGGATTGAATTGTGTTGAAAGGAGCAAAAACGAGGATGAGGTTAAGACCCATCTTATTTCCCAGGCTAGAAGACATAGGACTCCATTGTCTTGAGATGGACAAAAAGTGTATAAAAATATCCTGTTCCTATCACAGTTCAGTGCATTCTGGGCCGAAAATACAGTGTAAGACCTGTGTGCACCTGTGTGGCGCACCGGCTGTTCTCCAGGCGACGGAGGGGACGTGTGATTTTCCTTTCCACTCTGTGCAAAGCAGGTCACATGTCCCAGGCATAAACAAGATGTTCCGGAGAACATGAAGGCTCCCCAACTCCCCAAGTCAGAAATGGGGACTGCTGGTTGTCGAAGGGCCTTCTCTTGGAATTCCCTAAAGGATTATAATAATCCTAAAGGATTATGGCTCTTGGGAAGGGCCAAGTATGGGAATGTGAAGTAATATTTATTGAGCGTCCGTAATCTAAATGCTCAACGTTATCCCATGGTAACCTATGTCTTAAAGTGGGTGTTGGTTTTAGTCTTACATTTGAGAGCAACAAAGCACCCTAGAGGTCAGATGTTGTTTCTCCAACCTTTACAGGCTAGATAAAAATCACAATGCATGGCCTAAACTATTTGGAAAATTTCATTTACTTTACATATATATTACTCAAAAATATCTACATATTTTATATATATAATAATGTGCATTATATATAGTATGTATTATAATTATATATAATATATACACTATATATATTATATATAAGTATATAATTATAATCATATATAACAAATAGTATTTTATGTATAAATGAATATATATAATTATATATAATGTATATTTGTATATAATAAATATAAATATTTTATATATAATAAATATGTATAATTTTATATTATATATTTTATAGATAATATAAATAAGTATTTTATATATAATAAATATGTATAATTATAATCATATATAATAAATAGTATTTTTTATATATATATAAAATTTGAAAGAGTCAGTATACCAAATAGATTTGCGTATAAAATATTTTAAAAATAGGGGCTGGCCCCGTGGCCGAGCGGTTGGGTTTGCGCGCTCCGCTGCAGGCGGCCCAGTGTTTCGTTGGTTCGAATCCTGGGCACGGGCGTGGCACTGCTCATCAAACCACCCTGAGGCAGCGTCCCACATGCCACAACTAGAAGGACCCACAACGAAGAATATACAACTATGTCTTGGGGGGTTTTGGGGAGAAAAAGGAAAAAAATAAAATCTTAAAAAAAAAACAAAAAAGAATTCTCAAATGTTTTTTAAAAAAAATATTTTAAAAATAAATTCTCTATTTTCTCTTGTGACAAAGTCCAAATTCTCCTAGCCTGGCCTTCCTAATAAGCAAATGCTACCCCAAGGAGATTGTGAACCAGAACAGACGGAGCAGATGGCCCTGCTCTGTGTTGGTGCCCCAGGAGTATATGACGCGCTCTCCTCTGTAGCGGGTAGAATAAGTCCCAAGGTTTCAGAGATGGAAGTGTGGGTCTCCCAGATATCAGAGGTTTTCACTTCCCCCAACTTTTGTAAATGCCTCCCAGCATCTGAAGAAGGCTATGAGAGAATTGTGAGTGGGTCCTTTGAGGAAATGTGTTATCCCAAGGTCAGGCAGCCTGAGAACTTCTAGCATCATTCTTTATTCCCATTGCAGGGGCAAAGCCAAATGGAAGTGGCACTCAGTATTTTTGGCTCACCCCAGACAAAGACCATGGTCATCCTTGGGAGGACTCATCCTTTTAGTAGCTGAGTTTTCCAGATAGTTCAGTGTTTAACTGAACCTCTTTAAACACAAGAACCTTTACAAATGTTTGCCATTTTGGATGGATAGAATTCTAAAATACATTATCCTCTCCTTAGTGTGGTCATTAAGAGCATGGGTTATGGAGCCAAACAGGTGGGGTTTGAATTCTGGCATTAACCTCTTTGGATTTTGGTCTTCATCTGGAAATTGGGGACAAAAATGCCTACCCACGAGGTTAAAATTAAACAGTGTCTGGAAGGTGCTCATTATAGTGATGGGCAATGGCCCTTAATAAAAATTGGCTATCGTAATACATGGCTCTTAATAATTACAACAGAATGCGATCATTTCTTGATGTCTCGAGTTGTGAGCAGCTGTCTCCTGCGGTGTGTGGGATTGTTTGCCTCCAGACTCTGTGCTTTCTGAGCTCTTTTCTCAGCCTTTCAGATCACAGAGGGAATTGGCAGGATAGTAGGGGTGAATGAACAAAGGAAAGAGAGGCAACCCGGACCATCAAGAAATGGTGTGGCAAATCCAGCCTCATCCAGTGTGACATCCAGGGGAATGTAGTTTGGCAGAAAAGAAAATTTAATATTAGTAAGAAATTAAATAATGGCAGCTACCAATAATAGGGTGCATATCAAATGCTGAGGATTGCGGAAGAGGGTTTCTGTACATTATTCCCGTCCTCACAATTACCATCCCCATTGGCCAATAAGGCAAGAGTCTCAGGGGACTTAAATGACATGGAAAATGAACACAGCTCTTGAGCCTCCTATGAGCTGCATTCTCTTTAGGCCAATCTCCAGTTCCTTAAGTGATTCTCTGTGTCACAGGTTCATGACCCCTCACCACAACAGTCCCTTTGGTGCCCTGGACAAGATATCTGAGGTCTGATCAGCTCTGGTTTTGTACCAGGGATCTGGAAGAGAGCTCCAAGAAGGCTCTCTTTTTGGGGGCGCACCTTGTGTGGGAGATAGAGTTCTCAGGCCCAGGAGGGGCCGGTGTGGGAGAGGGGAGGCAGTTGTGGTCATGGTGGGTCCCCAGTAAAAGTAAGGACACTCAAGCTCATAAAAATAAACACCTTCTTTTGCAGGTCTGACCCCCCTGGAAGGACCTCAGGGCATCTTTACCAGTTTCCAGCAGGTGTATCTCTGGAAAGGTAAGCTCTGTAGGGGAGGGGGCAGCAGGACACGGGTCACCTGAGACTGTCCAGCCCCACCTCTCGCTCACAGGGCGCTCTGCTCCCCAGAGAGGAAAGTGTAGAGATTTACTTTGCAAGTGAGCGCTCTGTGTGGAGGAGAAGGGCCTCAGGTCTCATCAGATAAGATACCAGAGTCTAAAAGAAAAATGGAAAGTGTAGAGACCCGAGAGAGGAGGGAGGAAGGAAGCACTGGCTGCTGTGAGATCAAGTTCTCTGACCACAAGCTGCCCTTGTTACTAGGCTGGCAGCTTGGACGCTGCTGCAAACTATGGGAGGCATTTCTCTAAGGGGACTCGGCCACGGGGGCCTCTCTCTCTGAGGTCAGGGTGAGGGGACAGGATGAAGGGGGTGGTGCCATGGACTCCTGCTTAGAGAAAATCTACTGTGGGTGCATGGAACAGGGTGGGGGTTCAGAGGAAATGCACATTTGGCATCTCTTTTCGGTTTTGTTTGTCCTCCTTTGAGTATGCTGCATGTTGATTAAGCACTACTCAGAGCCGGGGCTGGTGAAAGGCATTTGGGATGAGTCTGAGTGGTATGGGGTGAGAGAAATGAGTGAGGCACAGTCTGGACCTATAAGGGCACCCAGCCTCAGGAGGGAGCAGACGAGCAGTGACCATGGCATGTCATGGCCACAGGTACCAGGTGAGAGGCATGAGGAAAGATGCCCGGCCTCTGTACCACTTCCCTCCCCTTCCCATGATTCCCCCTCACTCGTCTCCAGTCCCCACATAGGACTGGTGACCTATTTCCAGCTTGTAAAGTGAAACAGTGGGAAAGAGCATACAGCGTGGACTTAGAGTGAGTGGGTATGAATTCTGGTTCCATTCCTTACCACCAGCCACTGAATTTGTGCCAGTTCTTGTCCCTGGCACCTGGCTGTGGACTGTGAAGACTTCCCACATTGCCATTACCATTCCTCTGGGGTTGACCGGAGGCATACCTCCCCAACATTAGAATGACAATCCTTTTTTTCCTCCTAGATTCCGACATGGGGTCTCGGTCTGAGTCTATGGGATGTAGTGGGGACAGGGAACCAAGGCCAGCATCTCCAACAGAAACAGGTAACAACCCCCAAACCTTTTTATGTACTTGAGCGTCTGGCTGTGAAGACAAGATGGTGATGCCAAGGATCTAATCAAGGAATGGACCCATTAACATGGTCATGCAGCCGCAGACTCCCCTCTGAGCTTCTAACCCAGGTAGCCATTTCATGAATATGGACAGCTCCTCAGAGGGGCAGTTGGCACAGAAAGACCAAATCATTGCAAAGTCACCACTGCTGGTGGAAAAGAAAACAGCCATAATAGTAAAACAAGCAAAAAAATTATTAAAGAGCAAGTTTCATCTGACAGTGGTCAGTGGCTTCACTTATGTAAACCCTCAAGAGTGTGAGCAAAATGTTAATATTCTGAATTGTTTAATGAAGGAGATGTCTGTAGGAGTCTTTAGAGAGAGTCATTTTAAGCGGAAGGAATAAATCCATACATGCATAGGGGCAGAATGTATGTGCCATCCAAAACTTCTCTATCCCCGGAGTCTATGATTGCTATTACTTGGGTGCAGCTAAGACTCAGAGAGAACGAGAGAGAGAGAGAAAGAAGGAGGAGAGGGAGGAGGAAGAGAAAGAGAAGAGAAGAGGAGAGCTGAGGAGAGGAGAAGAGAGAAGGAGGGAGAGAGGAGGCAGGTCGGTCTCCCGGCGCAGGGAGACAGTGTGGCATGGTGGGAGAAGCATCACATTGCAAAGCAGACTGACTAGAGCTTGAGCCTCTTTTTGGCACTTACTCCTAGCTGCACAGCCCTGGGTGCTTTGCTTATCTGCGAAGAGCCTCGATCCCTCATGTGTGGAACGTACCTTGCTTTCCTCTTATCCCATTAGATCACATGCCGGGTAAACACCTGGCATACTGCCTGGTACTTAGATGCCCGCAAAATAGTAGTTTCTTCCCCTTTCCAGGGCTCTCGTGCAGATCAAATGAGATAATGTACATAAACCACCCAAAATGGGGCTCATCCCCCAATAGTCGTTTGGCAAGGTGAGTTCACTCTGCATCCACAGAGCGGCTATGGGACTCGGGGGCTGTGTCCTGGCTTAAGAGTGCAGGTTCTCAGGTCAGGAGAGCAGGGTCGGAATCCCAGCTGTGCCTCTGTCTGCCTGTGCAACCCTGAGACACCATCTCTGAGCCTCAGTTTCTCCTTCAATAAATGAGAGTAACAGCAGTATCCGTGAGATAGGGCGACTGTGGGATTAGAGGAGGCAACTCTGTAACCTGCGGTGGCACAGAGCAAAGGCTCAAAGGTTGGTAGCTGTTATGATGTGATAATGGCGGTGTTGGTGTTTGTGATCCTGGTACAGAGCCTGGCTCACAGCACACCTTCCATAGGCTTTGTTCTCATTCCGTCTCGCTTCTTGTATTGCCTGTCTGATGGCAGAGCTCAGCTGGGCATCAAAACTCGGGTCACAGGACGTATTCCTGTCCAGACTCCTCTTGGCAGTGATGGCTTCTGCACCTTCAGAGGTTTTCCAGTGGAAGCTTCCATTTTACCAGCAGAGTGCTAGAAGCAGGTGGGGGCGGGGCGGGGCACCAGCTCCGGAGCCTTCCCCTCCTTGTTCTCATAAGCAAGCTTTTGGCTGGGTCCCTTCTGTACAAGGACCTGGCCCCTCGCCTTTCTGATCTTTGCTCACACTAGCAAATTGGCCTTGGGGGCCTCCCAGGCACATGGCCCGTGTTCAAGGTTACCTGCTGCCAGCCATCACTTTCCCCCTGAAGCGAGAATGAGTCCATAACTCATCAGGGAGGGGAGCAGAAGACAGCAAGCCTCTCCTAGAGCTTCCTGGGGGCCAGGCCCTGCCTTTGGTGCTTTATATACATCACCTCGCAAACTTTATGACAACTCTGCTGACGGGAGTTATTCCCGTTTTATCAATGAGGAACGTGGGGCTTAAAGTGCCTCAGTTTCCCTCTTTAAGCCAGTCCAACACTAAGCAGACAGCAGCACCAGGACTCAAACCATGAGCAGCTGATTCCAAAGCCTGGGTTCTTCTAGAACACCAGCTGCAGACAGCAAAGGCCAGGGCGAGTCCTGGTGGCCCCTGGCTGACAAAGCAGACGGGTTCTGTTTGATTTGTAGAATAGACTTTTAATTTTTTAAGTGAGCCAATATTTTTAAATTGGGAGATTTTTATATAAAAATTCAGATTTCTAGGTTCTATAGAGAAAAACAGAGGAAAAGCTCTAGAAACACTGGCTTCAAATTTCGGCCTTGTGACCATCCCCTGAACTGAGTTGATCTGTCCCTTCCACCAGGGCGTGGCTCTCCTGTTGCTCCACTCCTCACCTGGCACCGTACACTCCTGCTCACCCTTCCTGCCTTGGGGCATCTGCGTTTGCCATCCCCCAACCTTAGCAGGGCCTCTTAGGGGCAGCCGTAGAGCTCGGGGCAGCGGAGACGTGAATGATTTCACGGCACTCAAGAAGGTTCTGTGAAATCCATCATTATACACTGTGCCAGGGCCTCCGATACAAAACTGTCACATGATCCCACAGGAAGGACCCCCCCCCCCTTCCTCCCTCACCAGAAGCGGGGCTGGGCCCCCGTCCAAGACCTTGGAGGGATTCAGGGTGACGAGCCAAAGCTCGGCTCGGTTTTCCCCTTCTCAGCCGATTACATTCCTGGACTGAAGAAGATGACGCCCCGGCAGGAGAAACCACTTTGATCCGCTCTCCACGATGGGGCCCAGTGGCTTCTCCGAGGGCTCACTTACCTGGCCTGTGCTCCTCGCATCCCTGAGAATGACCTCCCTGGTTCGAATCACAGCGAGGATTTTTCCCCTTTCTGTTTCGGGTTATTCCAATCAGTCTGAGGCTGTGAGACACACACAGGAGACCAGCAAGAGCAGCCTCCCGTCTGGCAAACCCCGTATTGGCCTCCTTGCCTTCAAAGGGAGTGCAAAATTTGGACAGAACAGGAAGAAAATGAATTCTTCCTCATGTGACCTGTACACCAGCTGTAAGCTGGGTGACCACAGTATCCATTCTGACATCTACCACACATGTTTTGAGCCCGTATGCTGTGCCCTGGGACATTCACAGACTTGTGAGAATTCCCACATGCCAGTCACTGCAGGACAATGTGTCAGGGCTGTAATGGGAGCAGGTGTCAAGTGCAGTGGGAATAGGTGGCCTGCAGGAGTCAGGAAAGGCCTCTCAGAGGAGCCTGGAAGGATCTTCCAGACATTTCCAGGGGACGTCTGGGAGAAGGTGTTCCAGGTAAGGGGAACAGCCTGTGCAAAGGCTCCGAGGGCAAAGTACGATTCAAGGAACTTTAAGTGTGCCTGTGGGCCTGCTGTATTGTTTTTCTTCCTTCTTCTGCTGTCTTAAGAGGTGTTCTGTGCTCTCCTTCCTTGTGCCAACTGCCATTCAGCTGGAAGACAGGCATGCAAACTGAGATACAATGACCCAAAGGGCTGTGGCTCACGGCGGAGGGGGCAGCATCGTGGTCTCCAGGGTCTGGGCCAGCACTAACCTTCTGGCCTTGCTGTACGCTGTAAAGCTTCTCTCCCTGTTGGTGGTTGTTGCTGGTGAAGAGGCTCAGTCTTTGTGAGCCTGCTTGGTGGAACGTGTAAGGTGGGCTGCTAGGAGGGTGCTCCGGACCAAGGCAAAGTCGGGTGTACATGGGCTGTAATGCCCCTGTGCCAGAGCCCCGAGCTAAGGGACACTGTAAACACGCCCTGGCTCATTTCCATGAACTGCTTCACACCACAGTGTAAGTCCCTTTGGGAAGTCAGAGCCCTCATGAGGTGCAGAAATACCCCCACCCCGGGCATGGGATGTGGGTCTCGGCACTGGAGAATCTCTTTATAGAGCCACTAAACAGCATAACAGGAGGGAACAGCACTAGTCCTTGAAGCACAGGAGGACCAGGCAGATGGGGAGGAAGGGTGTAAATGGAGGGTAAGCACAGGCAATAGTCCTGGGGCAGAAGCTGTGCAGTGATGAGCTGGAGCTACCAGTATCTGCATGCTTCTGGAGTGTGACTTGAGGCAACTGAGACAAGCCTCAAAGTGCAGGTAGAGCCTGGACCAAGAAGAAAGCTTGGACTTCCATCGTTGGGCAGTCAGGCACCCAGGAAGAGCCTTAAGCCAGGAATCATGGTGTATGAAGATGCAAGGAAAGTCTGGGGAATCGTTAGGCTGGAACTTTCAAATATGGGGCTGAGTGGAGCAGAAAGCTGTTTTCACAGATGAAGGCTGATGTTTGGGAGGGAGATAGGACTTCCACGTGGCTTCAGAAGACAGAAGGAGCCTCAGGGGTTCAAATTTACAGAGAGACAGGTTTGACCCCACAGCTTCTTAATGATGGGGTGGGCTGCTGTGGTCGGCACAGACGTGTCATGGGGCTGCAGGGACATCGGCCAGGAATATGATGGGGAAAAGTCCTGCCATGGGAGAAGAATTGAACCAGATGGCTTCCAAGATGTCTTCCAAACCAAGAGACTAAGATTTTGCAACTTCATAATTTTTAGGACTTTCTGGGTCCATCCTTCCTCTCATCCCTCCCTCCCTCCATCCATCCATCCTTTACCAACAGGCAGTTATTGAGGGTGTGCTATGTTCTAGGCCTTGTGTTTGACCTTGGGGATGAGAAAACAAAAAATTTTTTAGAACCCTACAAGTCCTATTGACTCCAGAACTTCTCTGGCCTCACATAGCCTGAAAGTATGTGTGTGTGTGGGGAGGGGGAGAGAGACAGACAGACAGACAGATAGAGTCACCATGGAGATAAAGCAAAGGAAGTGGACTCCTTCCTTCTTTTTCAGATGTGATGACAGAGCTTTTCTCCCCAGTGGACCTCAGCCAGGTTGTTGTCAATGGAAGTCAGTCCCTGCCCAGCCAGCAGCACTGGCTTTTCAAGCACCTCTTTTCACCTCAGCAGGCAAACCTGTGGTGCCTTTCTCGTAAGTATCCTTAGACCTCATCCTTGTTTCCCCACCCTGCGGTGAGGAATCTTGAGATTCTTTGAGAACAGATAAGGATAAACTCGATGACATAACTCAGGGATCACTTCAGAGTTAGTACCATGGATGAGACAGAAGACAGACAGGGCATCTCCCGTATCTTCAAGAAGCTTATAGTGTAGTTAGTCTCAACTCTACTTCCAGAACCTATCGTCCACTCATCCATCCATTCATCTATCCATCCATCCATCCATCCATCCATCCTTTACCTAACAGGCAGTTATTGAGACTGCAGTATGTTCTGGGCCTTGTGTTTGACCTTGGGGATGAGAAAACAAAGAAATGAATCAATCGTGATCCGTCCCCATCAGGGAGCTCATACACACCACTAGCAATGTCTGACGTGGGGGTGGGAGCAGGGGAGATCATTCCTGAAGTTCACAAAATTTTCGCAGTCCTATGGCCTGTGGTCCAAAGATCCTGACTGCTTCTGAGATGGTCCTGGGTAGATCCAATGGAGTTTTACCCTCTCTCCTCCTGTCCTGCTGGGTTTACAGCTCACCCCTCACCCTCTTAGATTTTGCCTTTATTGAGAGCCACACAGACTCCCTGGTGCATGCGTGACGCTCTCCCCAGCTAGCAGAACCCCGCTGTTTTTCTTGGGCATTCCAGACTTGATAGCCTTGACTGACCTGGGCCTCTGCCCCGCCTGGGAAAAATCCCTACAGGGCATTTCTTCCCAGAAGGTCCTGCAGATGTGACTCCGCCCTGCAGGCCTCCCAGGGACTAAAAGCCACTGCTCTCTTGCCTGCAGGCTGTTTCCAGGAGCCCTCCTTCTGTCGGCTGGCAGAGATAACAGACAGCGCACCCCTGCACTTCACCTGCATCCTCTACCCCGAGGCCCAGGTGTGTGACGATGTCCTGGAGTCCACTCCCAAGGGCTGCAGACTGACCCTGCCCCACAGACCAGGGGCCCTGTTCCGGAAGAAAGGTGAGTGCTTGGTGGCATCTGCACCAACTGCATTTCCAATGGGCTTCTGGCTCTGTGGTTTCAGAAATATCAGGTTAATTTCTTCTTCTTTTTACAATAAAGTATTTCAAGCTGACTATAGAGAACAAGCCTACCCTGGAATCCCACTGCTCAGAGAAAGCCACTGTTAATACACGTAGCAGTTAGAATTTCAGTGGGCCATACATTACAGAAAATCCCAACCACAGTGGCTGTAACAAGAGAGAAGTTGATTTTTCTTTCTGATGACGTTAACGACACTATTCTGGGGGGAGTTTTTTCACCCTGCACAGTCTCCATTTCTTCCAAGATGTTATCATCCTTCATTTATTGTTCTGTCTTCTTTGCTGGAGGCCTTTCTTAGATATCTGGTGAGCCTTGGTTTTCCACTCAAATGTAAGGGAGGCGTCCAGATGCTGATCATGACGCTCTGTGTGGTGGGAGCTTGTTGACTTTGGGTTTTCCTGGAGGATAGTCTAGTTGGGCTACCCTTTGGGAAATCCCTCATGTTAGTATTTTTAGGTCATTCCTCTCAAAATCACGGCCTGGGGGCATGAGTCTGGTTGCTGGTGGTTTGGGTACCAAATACGGTTTGAAGATGAAAGAGTATCAATATTCACTGTGTAGATTGACTTGAAAGAGTCTTCGACTTTCAATGTGGTGCTCCCACCCTTAACTACCTAGTGCACCCGAAAGACCCTCTCTCCTTTGTCCTCCTCGATCTTCTTCCATGGTGGGGAGAGGACAGCTGTCAGTCGTGGAAAGCAGAGGAGGGCATTCGGAGACCTAACTGCTTCTTCAAGAGATTTCCAGCCCGTCCTGTTTCAGCCCAGCTTCCTCCCAGTGCTGCCGAAACTTAGCTCTTTGGGATCGTAGAAGGTTATGGGGCTGCTTCTTGGTTCCTCCCACAGAAAAGTTGAGGATTCAGCTTTCTTAGGTCTCTTAAGTCAATTTCGTGCTCCTCTGTGTGCTTGCCAGCATCCACCCCTGTGTTACCATATCCCCCCTCCTATTCTCTTTGCCCTTGTGGCGTGTGCCCTTGCGAGGATCCCTTTACTATGATTTCAGTGAGGTCTGGGAGGGAGCAGAGTGGATACACGAGTGTAACACACCATCTTTAACTGGAAACTTTCAGTCTGGTTTGTACACTGTTATCCTCCTATTTTCCTCGATACGCTGACTCTCTCCCTCAATAATATGGTTTCTTTCTGCCTCTGTGTAGTTGTCCTGAAAGATAAGGTGAAGAACTTCTACACTCGCCTGCCATTCCAGAAGCTGACGGGGACTTCCATCAGAAGCAAAGTGCCCATGTCTGACAAATCCATGTCCGATGGGTAAGCTACTTCCGTCGCCAAGATTTATCACCCTCCACTGCTAATATTTATTGTTAACACCCTTCTACTTCCATAAAGAAGGTCACATAATACCAGTTAAAGGCAGAGGCATAACAAACTATAAAACCCAAAGCAGAGGGTGAAATGTCATATGGAGGGGACCATATCTAAAACTGTGGCTAACGTAAATTACTGATGTTAAACACAAACTTAGCCCTGCCCCTCAAGGCGGCTGATGCAGAAAAGAACATTGAGCCGTGTCTTATCAGTTAACGAAGATTGTCAAGTGCAGTAATAAACTTGATCAGTCCCAGCGTGCTGCATTCAGAATCCAGAGAGCAAGGAGGACTTTTAACAGGGCTGTAGGCCTGAAAGACTTTTTATTTATTATTTTTAGTATGTATTTTTAAATTTTTTTATTTAGGTAGCTGTTATTTTGTTGTTTTCACTAAAGGTGATATTTCTCTCAGCCTAATCTGTGGATCTCACCCATCAGAATCACCAGGAGGCCCCCCCGTTTTTTTTTTTGCTGAGGAAGATTAGCCATGAACTAACATCTGTGCCAGTCTTCCTCTACTTTATATGTGGGTTGCTGCCATAGCATGGCTGATGAATGGTGTAGGTCTACACCTGGGATCCGAACCTGTGAACCCGGGCCACAGAAGCAGAATGCACTGGGCTTAACCACTACACCATGGGGCCAGCCCCAAGAGAGCTTTTTACAAACCACATTCCTGGGTCCTTCTTTGGACCTGCTGAGTCAACACTTCCTGGGGCTGGGCCCAAGAATCTGAATTTTAAGTGAGCTCCCCCTGGAAATTCTTTTGTACCTTAGAATTCGAGAATGTTGATCTTTGAGCTGTTGATCTATGAAGTGTCGTTGATTGATGAAGTTGTATTATGTCGCTGGAGTTTAAGATCTACTTTTGACAATAGAGTTGGAAAGATGATCTGTCTGGAGGTCTGGTGGGACACCGCCTGTGCTGATGGGAGCAGGGAAGAGAAGGCAGGTTGGAACTGGGACAGGGGTTGGGGACTCTGAGAAGAGTGGTCTGATGGGAAAGCATGTCATCCAGGCTGGGGCTTGGCAGTGGGCTTCAAGAGAGCAAAATGAAGTGGTGGTAGGTGGGCAGTGGGCAGGGCTCCGGGAGAGGGAACCACGGGGCAGGCGGTCCTCAGGCATCAGGGCAGAGATGCAGCCAGCATCGAAGAAGCTGCCCAGGAGATGGAGGCCTTATCCACTGAGATGGGACTTGAGTTCAGGGCCTCCTAAGATGGAAGCAGAACAGAAAGATTGAGGCAGAGTCCCCACCCTGAAAAGGAACTGAGGGCTTGAGGGAGCTCTTAGGAGTCAGGAATGAGTGATCAGGACTTGTCAGGGCTGGAGGAGCTCAGAACTGAGCCGAGGAGCATTGGTTTGAAGCCACTAAATTCCCCCTGCCAGGACTGGTCCTAGAAGCTGAGGGTGGGGTCCAGTAACCACACTGACTCGTTGAGGAAAGTAGGTCCTGGGAGACAGCATGGATGCGCCGACCCAGCAGACAGAGGTGTGTTCAGAGGATATTTAGCCTATGCTGCAGATTGGAGAAAGGGGAGCTTGGGGGAGAACAGGTGCAGCTCTTTGCCACCCAAACAGGTGCCCGGTTGGGTCACTTTGACCATGAGCCCGTGGAATCCCATTGGAAGCCCAATGTGTCCATTTCTGGACACACCTTCCCTACTATCTCTTCCTTTTCCCACAGCCCAAAGCTGGGGCTTTCTCCCTGTCTGAAAGGGTTGTAGAAGTGCATTCAGGACCCTGGGTTCACCTGGCTTGAGCCTGGCACAGAATAGCACAGGCTAGATGCTTGAGGAGTGAGTGAGCGAATGAATGAAGGACGGCAGGACAACATTCCTGAGAAAAGAGTAGAATTTTGTTTTGGGAAAGAACCTCAAAGCTAGGAATCTCTTCATGTGTATTGGCCAATGCACCCTCACTTTAGCTAGTCGTTAAGAAAGCAGGCCCCCGGAAGTAAGAGCGGCTGCAATTCAGCCCACCCAGCAGGTCCTGGGCCACCAACGACAACCTCCAGGCCTGCTCATCCTCTTCTTCTGCAGGTTCTTTGAATGTGAGCGGCTGTGTGATGTAGACCCGTGCTGCACTGGCTTCGGCTTTCTGAATGTTTCCCAGTTGAAAGGTAATGATGATCACAGCTCCTTGAAGCCTGCACGCAGCATTTTATAGTCTAGAAAACACGTTTGCATCTAGGATCTTGTCGGATCATCAGCATCTCCAATCGAGGGCTGGGAGAGGGGAGGTGGCTGATAAATGGAATAGCTGGGACACGGCTCCTGGTCCAATGCCCAGTCAACTGTACACAGCACTTCTGCCTGACCGGAATAGCCCTCTTTCTGTGCTGCAGTTAACTATCTTGTCCTCTTTCAAGACTCGGGTCAGGCAACTTGGTGGGGTGAACTTTGGATCTGTCCAAATGATCTGTATTTAAAACTGGATTCAGCCACTCACTATTGGTGTGATCCTCGATCAGTCCCTTAATCTGCCTGAGCCTCGGTTTCCTCATCTGTAAACAGGCATCCAAATGCTACCTTCCTCTTGGTGTTGTGTGAGGACCAAGTGATATGAGGCAGACAGAGCCCTGGCACGGCCCTGGACACATGATAGCTGCTCAGTGAGTGTTAGCTGCCTCCATCCTTGTCCTCTCAGACCAGACGCTCATTAAGGGACCAGGCTTTTCATCAGTGGCTAAGATCAAACCTGGAATTGAGTAGAGAGCACCCCAAATGTCTGCTGAAGAATGAGTCTGCAGAATGTCCCTCATTCAATTGGAATCTTCCATCAGGCTCATTTTTTCGGTCCTGATTATTTTTTGCTCCAGGAGGAGAGGTGACATGCCTAACTCTGAACAGCTTGGGAATTCAGACCTGCAGTGAGGAAAATGGAGGAACCTGGCGCATTTTGGACTGTGGCTCTCCCGACACCGAGGTCCGCACTTATCCATTTGGATGGTACCGGAAACCTGGTAGGTAACCTGCCCCGAATAGCTGTGTGGGCATGTTTCCTTGACTATTTCCCATCCATTTATTAGGATGGTGTCCTTGGGCTGGGGAGTAGATTAGTCAGGATTTGTTGGGTGCAAGTAATAGAAACTGATTCTATTCAACTCAAGCAGAAAAGAAATTCATTAGAAGTCTGCCCATAGACTCAAAGAAAAGATGACCAACTAGGTGTCCACAACATGGATGTATTTAGTAGGAATGAATGGGCATCTTCATTGTGCCTCTGTCATCATCAGTCTGCTGCAAAGGGTTTTGGTGGCTATAGTCAAGCTTTAAGTTCAAGGGAGAGAGTTTGGACCAGCTTGGGCTATGAGTCCACCCTCTGCCAGCGGGAGGGTGGGGCAGCAGAGCGACAGTCCCAGTAAGACTCTGCGCAGCGGGGGAGAGGAAGCTCCTCAAAGTGTAGTTAAGGTGCTGTTGCCAGACAGGGGAGACCAACAGATGTGCTCTCTGCCGGGGTCCCTTGGTTTTCTCACCTTGTCCATTAATCAGGACAGTGCAGCTCATTGCAGTCTCAGAGAGAGAAACGGGGACACGGGTGTGTATCTGACAGTGTACATGGAGTTAGGATTTCAGGGCCAAGGCAGTGTTGGCCCAATGTGGGTACCTCACGCACGTGTGCTGATTATATACTAGTACATTTTTGGGAGCTCAATTTGAAATTGGTAAATGAATGAATGTTCTGCATGGTGTGCTGGAGAAGCTCCTGGACTGAAATGGAGATTTATTAGCGTCTTCTCAACTCTGCCATCTACTACAGTCTTGTCTTTAGGAAAGTCCTACCACTTGCTCAGTTTCTCCATCAGTAGAATGATGCGTGAGACTCCTTGTGGCCCTGTCAGCTCTTACCTTCTGGGTGCTTATGGGTGTGGCTACTCTTGGAGAATAGAAGGCAACTACTTGGAGACTGGACAGCCTCATCCTGTGTCCCGGAAGCCAACTCACAAAGATGTCCCAGAAACAGAAGGATTAAAAACCCCATCTTAATAGGTGTCCAATGGAGAGGCTGAGCTGAGGTTCAGTATCTCCAGCCTCTCTCGCTAGTGGCTTCCTCCTTAGTTTCAAGTCAACAGAGGACGGATGCTGGTCCTGGCTCGGCACTTGCTGTAGAAATGAGAGTCATGGAATGCCTGATCTGGAGGAATCTTAGAGATCTATGATTTTGATCTCCACATTCTTCCCATCACCCAACACAACACTTTGCCCAAAGTGGGAAAGGAGAGGAGAACTGACATTGTTCACGTGCTCACTGTCTGCCTACACATGGGTTTTATCCCTCCGTGTGCTGGGGCTTCTACATGGATCTATGATTTAATACTCATAGCGCCCTTGTGGAGTGGACATTGTTTCCTCTCTTTTAAGATGAGGAGTGTGTGGCTTAGAAAGTTGAAGTTGCTTGACTCAAACCTCACATCTAGTTAGACGCAGAGTCGGGTTGCCAGCCCAGATCTGATGACCCCAAACTTCACTCTTCTTTACCATGTTGCCTCCTGGCAGGTCTTCAATATCCCATAAGGGACTGGATTTGAACATGTCCAGACATCTTCTCTGACTAGTATTCCCCCACTCAACTGAGTCACAAGCAATTGACCAGTAAATTGGAAAAATAAAAGTGACAAATAAGCTAACAAATCAGACCAGTTGGAGGTCAGCCTCTTGTTCCAGAGCCAGACCCCTGAGAGGCCTGGGATGGGGCTCCTTGGTGGAATCTGGTCCTTGGCCCTTCATCCTGAGCCTGCTAATCTCGAGATGGTCCTTGGCTTGGGGCTGATTTTTCTGAGTTAATTATTTCCAGGCTGAATGGAATCTTCCCTGCTGACGTCCACCTTGAGCATCCTGTGATTCGATCTGAATTCCCTCTATTGGCTTTTAATTTCATTTTAACATCTTGAATTATTTTAAGAAAAACATCAGGTTATATGGTGAAGTAGCCTCCGTAGGTTTATATTTAGGGAAGAATGTTCCATAAAGGGCAGACTTTAACTAACTCATAGGGACAGAGGACCAGTGAGTGTCTGCCTAGGACTGTGGCCCCGCAGGAGACCCAGTGTCCACTCTGGGGATTTAAGGGGCTTTGGAACTGAACTCTTTCCCCTCCATGGCTCCCTGCTTTGTCCTCCACACCTCCTCTCAGCTCTAACCCCCCGAAAGGCTGAAAAATGGCATTTTCCATCTTCATATTGCTCAGGGAAGAGTTGGGTAAAAAGAAGCTTAAGAAATAATTCATTGTTCAGAAATATTGTGGGAATCAGACCAGTGTGTTATGACTTCTTGGCAGGAGTTGGCAAGGAAAAGGACCCAAGGTGCTCATTGTCCCAACTCATTCCATCTGTTCTGTTTCTTTTCACCTGCCTGCACAGACCCACTAACTTTTTCCAACATATATTTTGTGGGGTCTGGCTGGGGACTCAGGAGTTCTGACCAGGAACTACAGGGCAGGGAATTAAAAATTCACAGAGGTGCTTGCATTCAACAGACACTGACTGAGCATGAACCATGCCCGGGGGCCTCTGGCTTTGCAAATCCAGCCTCTACTCGTTGGGCTCTTGCCCTGCGCCTGGCTGGATGTCAAGGACTTTACAAGCTTCTCGTCTAATCCTCACAACCACTGTTAGATGAAGAAACAGACATTCGGGGCGGTTAAGTCCCTTCCCTAAGCTCACAGAGCAGATAAACGACAGAGTTAGCATTTGGAACTAGTTCTTTCTGACTCTCTAAATCACAGTGTTACATAGCTGAGGATGACTAAGACAGGATTCCTGGCCTCCAGGCGCTCACAACTGAACGAGGAGTTACAGACTGTAAAGAAATCAATCCTTCTGGTGCTGGATTGCTCATGTCATAAGGCTAGAAGCTTTGAAATCTTGTTGAGTGTCTATACTAGTTATACACTGTGCTGGGCACTGGAAATGTGAGTTAATAAGATAGAGTAATTTTTCTTAAATGCTCACATCCTGGTGAGGAAGACATGGGCATATCTGATTGCGATGGCAAAATATACTGAGTACGAGAAGAGTGTAATACGTAACGTGCTGTGGGAACACGGGAAGGGGAAGCCACTGCCACTTCAGAGTGGTGGGAATCCGTTGCTCAAAGACTCCTGCAGGCTCTCCTTCATGCCTCAGGGACCCCCTCATGCAGCCTCCCTGGCCCACTGGCCTGGAGCTGCCCAAGCAGGGGTCCCTCACACTGTGTGCTGCCTGCCCTCAATGTTTGGGGATGTGGGGAGAAAAATGAAAGAGGCTAAAGTGGCATCAGTCTCTAATGGCCCCAGGTGGAAAACGCCTCGGGATGCACATGGCTTATGGCCATTCTGGTGTGAGAGGCTCCATATTTCCCATTTTAGAAGAACAGAAGGAAGAGGGCCGGCTGTCAGAGGGCGTCGATGACCTGGCGTGACACATGGCCCTCCGTAAGAGCAGAACCAGGTTCGCACCAGTCGTTCTCCCTCAAGTGGACTATGTCGGAAGAGGATGATGGGGGAATTCCTAAGACTCATGGATGCTCTCCTCCTGAGACCCAGGCAGAGAAAAGGAATCTTACTCCAGGAGATGGGCTTGATAAGTTAGACCATTCTCGCAGCTGGGGCATGTTGACTAGTACAAAATCATCTTTTGATCTCTGGTATATTTTGAGCCAAAACATACTCACCTGCTGGATTCTGAACATTAGTGTGATCTTATCATTTTCTGTAGTAGACAAAACCACACCAGTGCAATGCTGGAAAATCCCAGCATGCAAGCTACGTGGTCATTCCTTCCTCCCCATCCTTATTTTTGCATTGTGCAATCACACACCTAATCATAGAAACGGCCTCCACAGGGCTTAGGAAGGCTGCACAGAGGGGGGGACCTTCAGATCCTGACTCTTAAAGGGTTGACAGGATCCTAGTCTTCCTCTCTCATCAGCACCGGCACAGGAGACAGACATTTTTACAAAGGAATTCTTGCCGAAAATTTCCATAATAAACTTTACCCTCGCTTCCAATCCGTGTATTCCCTCTACAGTCAGAGAACTACTCAGAGCTGTGGCTTGGGTTGCGGAGGTGGGATGCACAGGGGGCTTCTGGAGCAGGAAAGAATGAGGAATTCTGTTGCGTAAGGGATTCTGCAAAAGTGACTCCAGGGAAAATCTGACACAGATGAGGGAGCGTGGGGTGAAGGGAGCAGCGGCCACTGGGTGGGGCCAGGCATCGGGTTATCCAGGTGGGTAGGCCAGGGTCCCGTCCTCTCAGCCGCAGCTGAGTCTGCTAGAATCCAGGAGAGAGGCGCAAACCCAGAGCAGGGAATGCCAAGAAGGGACCCCGGGGAGCTTGTGGCAATGCGTTTTCTGCCTTTGCTGTCCACAGGAAACAGAAAGTTCCCTGTGTTTGAGCACAGAACTGAGAGGCTCAACCTGAGCACTTGTGCATGCAAATGAGGCTGTTTGCAGCCCCCGCCCAGCCGTGGGAACTGGAGAGGAGGCGTTCTTAGCGTCCAGAGTGGGAGTGCAGGCTGCTTTGTGGTCAAGCAGCAGCCCAGAGGCCAGGTTTCCTGGAAGGGGCGGGTGTCTGCAGCCTGGGCACCCTCTGCTCTTTGAAGAGAACTGGGCTGCCCATTCTCTCCCCAGCTGTGTGTGGCCTGCGAGTGGGGGCAGGGTCTTTGATTTGTTTACAAAATCAAAGGTGGCTTCTAAAAAAAACCAATTGAAGCCTCACACTTCCTCTGTTCTTCAGCTAAACAAATGCACTTGGTCCCTGTAGCAATTCTAGACAGAGGAACATAACCTGGAAAGGAAATGACAAGCTCTTCTAATTACGCCTCTCTGCAACCCACATAGAAACGACCCCATGGAGGCAGAGCTTACTGTGCAATGCTTTCTTCATCATCCCTCACAGCTTATAAACAGCTGAGCCTTCTGCTAAGCAGAGTCGGCTCCAGGCACTAGGCTAGCATCTTGCAGGCAACATCTTATTTGGTCCCCAAACAACCTGATGAGGCAGGACCTATTGTCATCCCCATTCACTACCGTGCTGGCAAATATTTTTCAACCGGCGAGGGCGGGGGAAGCCCTGATTGGTAGCGGTTGCCACTTGCCATGGTGTGTGCCAATACTCCCACCAGGGCCAGTTTCAAGCTGCTGGCCTGGTGTTGCTGGAAGCAGCGTTGGGAAGAAGAAAGGTTTGTATTCATTTGTTTAACAAGTGTGAATTAGCTGAGCAGCTCCGATCAGGGTTACACGGTAAGACTGTCAGTGGGAGGGAGTCTCCATCCTCCCAGGGACCCAGGGTGTTGATATTTTCAGTGCCCTGGGGCCCAGTGAAGCTGAGAACTCTCAGGGCTCAGCTATTCCTGTACGGTGAAGAAGGTCCCACCCAAAAGGCTAATAGCAGCTTCTTAAGGAACACTGATAGCGGGTGAGAAAGAGTAAATAAACCACAGCAGCGCAAGGATGCGATAAATGCTCTGCTGAGATGTGCTGCACGATAATTCTCCCGAGGATGCATGGTGGCTCCCCTAACCGTCCTCCTAGTGTTAGACATTTATGGGTTTCCAGTGTTTCTAATGAAACACTAATGTGTTGTATAAATGTTTCCTTCGCAGACCGAGCTTGCTTTGAATTTCAAGATAAATTTCCAGAAGCAGAATTGTTGGGTCCGAGGGTGTGGACATTCGAATGCCCTTGATATAGATAGTCAAATTGTTCTCTCAAGGTTGTACTAACTCTCAAGATCTTTGCTCTGAGAACCACTCTCTTCCAGGAAAGACAGACATATAAATACACAAGCAAAGTGCTCAGGGCCAAGCTGGCCCACTGGGTGTAGTGGAGTGTGGCGGGGGCTTATTTGTAATTCTGCGTTCTGCATGAGCTCATACCATGTTGGATGACAGAAGCAGTGGCTCAATGATCCTCGAAGTGTGTCTCTGGACCAGCAGCATTAGTGTCATCTGTTAGAAATGCCGGAACTCAGGCCCCACCCCAGACCTGCTGAGACAGATGCACTGGGGCCGGGGCCTAGCACGCTGTGTGTTACCAAGACTTCCAGGGGATTCTAGCTTCTGCTGAAGTCTGGGGACCAGGGCCATGGAATGATGATGGGGAGCAGGTGCTTCTGGGCAGATGGAGCCAGGCGGGAAAGACACAACACAGCTGGAGGGTCTAGAACTCAGAGAGGCTGGGTCCTGGTGTACCTAACAGAGGAGAGGGAGGCAGAGGATGGGGTGGGACGTGAGGGAACCCAAGCTCGGACTTTTGGGACCAGAACAGAGCATGACTCTGACCTGAGGCTTTGCCTGGAGGCAGACAAGGACAAGAGACAATGACAAGGGCGTGTCACTGTAAAAGGGCAATATTGAGTGAATAATGGCCAGCATTTCTTGAGTGCTTGCTGTATGCTCAAAGCTTTACATGTACCAACTCCTCTAAACCTCACAACCCTGAGATAGGGATGGTCATTACCCCCATTTTGCAGACAAGGAAACAGGGGACAGGCAGGGTAAGTAACTTGCTCAAGGTCACACAGGGGAAAGCGGCCAAGCCAATCTTGCCCTGGGCCGCTGACCCTAGAACCCCTGCCCTTGACCCTTCACCCTTGATCCTGACACTGAGCTCAGAGAGGGAGGAGATCCTGTGTGTGCTCCTAGTTTGGGCTGTTGGGAGAAAGGAATGCTGAGGCTTGGAAGATTCAGATTCAGTCAGTAAGGGAAGGGGAAGGAGTTGAGGGAGAAGATCATTAGCCTTACGGCTCACTTACTGAGTATGCACGGTTTCTCATCGAATTCTTACGTCATCCTTATTCTACCAGTGCGGAAACTGGGTCTAGAGGCAGTCAGATGCCTCGTCCCTCTGCCCTCTCCTAAGAGGTGTCTGGAGGCTACGTCCAGGTCTGTCTGCACTCCAAGTCCAGGCGCTGTCCACCCTGCCATTAAGAGCTGCCATTTCCTGAGCTCCTGCCCCATTCCAGGCACCGCATGATCTCCTGTGATGCTCACAGGGATTCTCAGGTTGGGTTCTGTTGTCCCCATTGTGAACAGAGAGGACAGCGCCCGAGTCAGCCCAGTCAGTGACGGTAGTGGGCGTTTCTCTTGTTCCCCACGTCTCCGGCTCTCTGCTCTCTAGAACATGGTAGGCCGGTGGGACTGTGCTTCCTCAGCCCCGGCCTCACCCCTCGTTTCAGAAAATGACCTGCAAAAATGACAAGTGTTGTGCCAGTTGTGAGCAGAAGCTATGAGAGCAGGAGGCAAGTCCACTGCATTCTCTTTCCCCCGCTGTGAGGCGGGGGGTGCGATGGAGCCGTCCTCCACCTCAACCTTGAGGGGGGAAGACAGAGAGCAGAGCCCCCAGCCCACCGGCACTGGACATGTGGTGCAAGGGAGGGGCGAGCCTGTGTTGTTTCAAGCCCCTGAGAAGTGGCATTGTCACTTCCGCATAACCTAGCCCGTCCTGGCTGACGTGGGAGTGCTGGAGCCCAACGCACTGTGTCTGCCCCCCAAGGACAACTTTACCATCATGAGCTTATGCCTCTATTAGTGCTTTCAGAGCTCAGTGACACTGAGCATAAGGAAAAGCTAAAAGGCTGCCTTTTTCTTCTTTTCAGTCAGTGAAAACAATGCTCCCAGTTTCTGCCCTGCGGTGGTTCTGCCTCCCCTCGAGGAGAAAGGTAAGCTCATTGTCTCTTCAGTCTCTCTGATTGCACTGCCAGCTCATCCTTCTCTTCTTTCTTCTTACTTTTGTCCGGCAGTTTATAGCTCACGTGCCCCTCTCACATGCATTCATCCACGCTCCTATCGATTACACACATGCGTAGAGAGAGCAAATACCCGCCCATTTCACAGATGAGGAAAGCAACTCACAGCAATACAGTGACTTGGCCAAATAAGGCAGCTAATTGGAGGCAGAGTGGGACATAAGCCCAGTTCTCCTAATTTTCACTCCAAGGCTTGTTACGCCCTATCAAGAAATGACTAGCCCTGCCCAATCCTGGGGGCAATGTCAAGAATAGTGGTATTTGTGGCCAAAAAACGTGAAAGAAGTTAGCTCTTCCACGTGCAGAAGAGCTGGGGCTCACAGTCGTCAGCACACTGGGTGGCATGGTGACATCTAAGCCTGGGCGCTGGCCCTGAGCCCAGGAGGCTGAGGCTGCCGTCCTCTCCTGCATATCGCACTTGCCCCGCCCTCCCCACATGGAGGCAGCAGGAAGTGCCGGACGGGGGCGGGGGAGCAGTCAGGAGAGCGTGGGTCTCGATGGACGCACATCCCTTTTCTGCCTTCCCATAGTCAGGAAATGAGAGGCCCAAGCGATGTTAATTCCTGTCCTGTGACGTGATGTCTGGGGGGCTCTAGACATCTGTCATTATGGCCCTGGTTGAAGAGACGGAATATAGCTTGTGTAGGAAGGAATGATTTCCAGTCCAGTCAAGGCTGTGGCTAAAAGTGTCAATGTCCTCAGCCTGTGTTGTCAGTTTCCTCCACTCCGTTTAAAGGGCTAACTTTGAAGATCATACATATGTGTGCATGTATATGCATTTTTTTTTCTGTGCGTTCTATGAAGAATTTCAGTCTCCAAGCACTTTAAGACTATGTCTAAGACTGTAGATCTAAGCTCTCTGCACATCTGATCTGGTGCTACCTTCCTGCCATGCTGTGAGGTGGGAATGGTCACTGCCCTGTCATGGGGGTGGAGGTGGGGCTAGAGAGAAGTTAACACTTAAGCCCAAGGCCAAACAGCTAATACACGTCTGAGCCAGACTTTGATTTGCGTTTTATCAAGAAAAGGTACAAACGATTGAAATAATCCCAAAAGATTCATAGTGTAAAAAATACTAACTGGTTCCTTGTCTCATCTCTACCCGCCTCCATTCCTACTTCCAGAGGCCACCACGTTCAACTCCTTGAGCTATTTTTTACTCATGTTGGCCTCTATGTTTCTAAATAATACACGAATCCTGCTATTCCTTGATTTGTCAATTTTGGAAGTAACTAAGTTCCTGCCTTGAGAGATGAGCACTTGGGGCTCTCCTTTATCACCCTCTTTCCAATTTTCCTCTTTCATCCTCAAAATCTAATAATATCAAGATGAGGAGTTAAAAGAAGAGTAAGTATGAATTGTTATGACCATGTAGATATGGTTCACTGGGGAGCCCAAGAGGGTGACAGCAATCTCCTATTATTGTTGCCAACCACCTTGGGTGGGGGTCCTCCTGGTTGCAGCCCCATGTTCACCCCTGCCTTCCACAGTACCCAGTGCATCTTGGGCTTCTCAGGGGACCCATGGAGCAAATAGGTCATGTTCCCACCTCGCTCTGTATGTACCTGGAGTATTGATTATTTCATGCTGCTCTGTCTGTTAGCCCACCTCTTTCTCCTTTTCTTCATTTAAAGATTTGTTGACATCCCTTGTTGGCTGTTGGCTCATTCCTGTTTTCTTCATGGGTTTAGGCATTTTTATTCTTTTACTTCCTTTTGTGACAGGAGAGAAGGCAAACGTGCCACATTTCATTAAAAGCAACAATACAGTATTTTTTGAAACTTTTCAACATTTAATGAAGACTTCATTTTGTCCTCAGCGTTGTGCTAAGCGTTTGCTCTTCACACAAACCTCATGAAACGGGTCCTATTTTATTTTTTATTAGTTATAGAATATTCAAACAAGTGCAGAAATTTAACAGGAAACGTTACGTAGTCATTTAGAAGTTACTCCATGTCAGTTAATACGTAAGACTATTTCCTTCCAATCTCCTTAGGCTTTTCTGTATGGTCTGAAGTAGTTGTAATCTTTCTACAGCGTTCTATGTTGTGTTTTTATCTAATGCTGCATCATGTGTATATTTCCAAATTGTTATATATCTCTCTAAATTATGCATTCGTGCACGTGTGGTACATTCGTTCATTCATTCATCTGTCTACATTTCTACTTTCACAACGCTCCCAATCTGCTGACAAATAAAAGGTAAAGATAGCACAGTGTTATCGGCGACAGTTGTCATGTCATTCCATCAGGTAGACACACTGCGCTTCACTAACTCATTCCTCTATTTGTGGACATCTGATTGTTTATGACTCTCCATCGCGAAAAGACCACAATGAATACTTGGGTACGCAAAGCTCTTGCCAGCATCCAGGTTACTTCCTGGGGGCACATTCTCCAAAGTGGAATTTTTGGGTTTGAGAATTTTATATCTTAAGACCCTGGATTTCTTTTGCCAAATTAGGCTCAAACGGTTGTTCTTAGTTTCATACTTACCAGCACTGAATTAAAGTGGTTTTTTCCATCACATCCTCGCCATCCTTAAGTATTAGCATGAAAAAACTTATTTATGAAATTGATAGATACACAGTGCTTTGATGTTTAAATGTCAAATGCATACGGTTAGATATGAGTAAGTCAAAGCATTAGTATCTTCGAGGGATTTTTACAATGCTTCCACCCTGTTTTTTGCTAAACATTTGTGTTACTGAGACTTGAGTTAACTTTCAAAAGAAAAAAAAAAAGACGGAGTATTGCACACCTCCCTTCACACACACACAAAATCTGTGCGTGTGGTAGATGTGTCCAAGGCGGAATGAGATGTCACAGTATTTTTAAATGTGCCTTTGACAAGTGTGATTTCGAAACAGGACAGATCTTGGAGCCGACGTTCCATCTGTGCTTAGAGCTCCCACGTTGGAATGAAGAGTTTGGGCATGTGCCTTTGACGTGAATCAGAGAGAGGGCATAATTCTGCCTTCAGGGAGTTGATATGTCAACATGATTTTGACGTGGATTGTGTGTGTGTGTGTGCACGTGCACGCACATGTGTGTATGCACCGTGCATATTTAAATGCTTGTCATTGTGTACTTTCTATTCAGGGAGAAAAGGAAATGTTTATTAAATATCAACAGTTTATAAATCATTTAGTGCTAATAAGAAAGCTAGGTGGTAGCAAGATCTGTTTTTCAAACAAGGAAACTGAGGCTCCGAGAGGTTGAATGACCAACCTGAGATTGGAGCCCACGTATATCTGGGCCCCACAGAGTTAGAGAAGAATATTTGATTTGAGCCTCTAAAAAGGGTGACAGGGATGGACTTTCGAGTTCTATCCTCGTCTGGGGACCTAATCTCCTGGGCTTGTTTCTTGTGAGTGTGTGTGTAGAGGTAGCCCATTCAGAATCTACTGCGAAAAGGGGATTCTGACGCTCTAATTGGTCAGTGGGGATGGTGTGAAGATGAAGGTGACGTCTGAGGTCTCAGGGCCTGTCTTGGGTACATGCTGTCGGCTAGACACTGCTCTAAGCACTTCGTTTTTATTGCTCCAGAGAAGGCTTCTAACACATTAGCTGATTTAAACACAGCAGGAGTTTGCCAAATGGGCAAGTTTCAGAAAGTCTTTCCAGAAGAGCAGTTTGCATGTGCAAAGGCCCTGAGGCATGAAACAGCCTGGGGCATTCAGACATTGGAGACTGTTTGATTCGGTATGGCCGGCATATGGCAATCAGTGGGATGAGGCGCAAGATGAGCAGTAGAGAAAAGCTGTAACCTGAGCACGGAACTGGTACGAGCTTCATACTGGGTTTGGAATTAGACCTGGGCAAGATCTCTTGGGGTGGGTGAGTGAGCAGGAAAGTGACAGCACACGTTAGGGCAGGCAGGCATAGAGAAACATGTTAGGACAACACAGATCATCTTTCACTTCAGTTTAGTTGAATTCAGTGAATATGTGTGTGCCAGCCACTTTTTGATTGATGGATTCTGAATTTTCATTTATATTCTAGAAAAGGCACTGTGCTGGGGGTTAGAGGTCTTGATTACAAGGATAGGACCCCACCTTCTAGTCAGGAGAGACGTACAGGAAGAAAAATGTAAGGAGATGAGCCACTGACCACAGTGAAGTTGTTTCCAGGCTGCAGTGGAAGCGTGGAAGGTTCCCCCACATTCCCCGCAGACCATAGGGGCATCGTGGCCAAGCCAGGGATGTAAAGGATGATGTGCATTTCCCAGATGGCTGAGAGGGGAAAGGAGGGCGTCATGGGCAGAGGGAGGTGCATGAACAGAAGAAGCCCAGGGGCATGCACGAGATCGCACGTAGAGCTCAGAATAGAAGGGCCAGCAAGGGGCATGGGGGAGGCTGGATGGGATGCAGGCCAAAAAATAAGATGCCCTGGGTACCACAGATGCCTGAAGAGTGTTACACAGGGGCTCAGTGAGCTGCACAATGATTCCAAAGCTCTCCTTTCGGGCTGTGAGGAGGATGCCCTGGTGGATAGACAAGCTAGATTTGGCGAAAATGAGAACAATTGTGTCATCTGTGTATAGAGTACCCTTTTACTCTCTTTGAGGAAAAGTGCACATCTTTTTAAACAAGCAAAACTTACGTAAAGATGTCATTTCTTCATAAGAGAAAATGCCCATTGCTTCTTAAAAGCCCCACAATGACCAGTCCAGAGAGGATGCTCCAGGTGAGCATGAGTTGTCTTCCCAGGTGTTGGCCCCTGCCTTTAGGATGACCACGGTTCCCCCTCTCCTGTGTGCTCAAACATTGCGTTATCCAAGGGCTCATTTCCAGATATGTGACGTTGTGCTTTTCATCACTACTTCAGAAGCACTTCTCTTAGAAGTGCCCCTGAAGCAAATTGAGTATTTGGATTAAGCCAGAGGAAAACACAGACAATGAGTCTTTAGA